ATCGCGCATACCTTCTCAGCGGTCATATGCAAGTGTGGCTGCTAGTACGCCATCCAGCCCCAGCAAAAACACCTCGCCGCCACCATTCCCCTCACACTCATGTCACCCTCTCCAACCCTCGGCATCTAAACCACTAGCCCCTACTCCAAAAGCCAGAACATCAAGCCCAAAAACTACGCCGCCCCACCGTGGCTCGCCACATCAATCGTCGCCTGTCCTCTCTGTCCACGACCTAGAACTCCGGTTCCAGAGCAACCAGAACCCTTTTCAAAACCCACACCGTTGTTACCTATCACAAACAAGGCCCACCGCCGCCGTTGCACAGCTGCTGCACGCGATTGCAGAACTCCTAGAATCTTGCAACTTTAAGAATAATCCTACACTATACTAACACTCGTACGCCAGCAGGTTCCGCTTCATTCGCCGACAAAGGGACACTGAACACTTGGAGGAGAGAGCCTCAAGAATACTTGCTACTTACTAAATACGAGAGGTATAGGAGAGTTCGCTAGGAAAATACAGAGAGATAGATATTTTACATGTATGGGCTATTAGGAGGTATGCCATTACCAAGGAATTGCTTATGTAATAAACTACTAGTGCCCTCTAGGCTAGAGCCGGGCGTAATAAAGACATCCATCCATCTTCAGAGTTTAACATGCCTTCAGAGTGAGACTGTTAACATCTACTCTCATCCTGTTCCAGCTGCGGTGGCGTTCTTGGTAACTACTTCCTGACCCTTTACTTCTCCTAGAACCTCCCACGAGCTTCTTGGGCCGACTGGTCCGTCTTTTACATATACTTGTCGATATCAGTGATTTGATTTGGTATTTCGTCAAAATGCCATACACTGCTGTGCCACTCTGCCTACTATTCCGACCTATGGGGTCGTTTGGATGATGTCGTCATTGTCTTTCGAATACTACTAGGCTACTTCATATCAGGTATCTACGTCATCTTCTATGGTGAGCCGAATCTACAGAAAATCTACAGTTCAATAGTGCGCACAGTTCTACCCTCGTCATGCGCCGGTATCAGTCACGCTCTGCTAACCTAGGCTTCTAGATTAGTACACTGGGCCTCTTGACCCGCTTTGTCGTCGTGAACCCTCGTCTACAAAGTAAAATATGGAGAACTCTGCGCCTTTCAGCCTTCGTGGTAACAGGACTCTCAGAGTTTACTCCAGTTATTCATGCTGCCAGCATCTTTTCGTACGGACGACTTGTTAAGCAGGCACTACTACCTCAAAGGGCTAACTATTCTTATAGGGGTTATATTTTATGCAGAAAGCAATAATAATATAGTCCTACTATGCACAATACTAATCGCTAGTACTGCTCAGACACTGCCTTGAATCATAGAATCCAGGAAAGTTCGACATTTAGGACCCCCCCCCCAATCAGATATTCCACTTTGTATTGTAGACTGAGAGTCAAGGGAGCTATATGGTTTTCTAGGATTGTGAGAAGTCCCAGCCCAACGTTGATTAGACAGCCCATTGTAGAGCCCTCAGGCTTATAGAGACAAACAGTTTTTCAAGGCTGCCATTGGTTAATCTTCTATTGACGTCTGAGACAATTACTAGGCAGGCCCTTTTTTAGAGGCTTGGCGCTTCACGGGATTTATTTTCTCTAAGACGTCGTCATTTGGAGGAGATAAATGCTAATTTGGTGCAAGTTAGACAAACACAACAACAGGGGTCTGTCGAAGAATAGTACAAAGAGCTTGGAGCCGGCCAGAGAGTCCTTGAAGAAGTTGTTCAGTTCTATATACCTAGAACGTGCTGGCTGAGCGTATTATATGCTCTAATCTATCCCAGAGTCGTGAGGAAGCTCAGTGGTAGTCTGGCTAAAGAGAGCTGCGCCATGGTGGCCCTCCAAGTTATCAATGGACTCGTTCCGTGTTCTTTTGTACGTAGGGAGCCTATGATCCGAAGGAACTGCGTTCCAGGCCCGACAGTCATTCTCACGAAGCAGAATTGAGCCGGTATATGCCATCTGTGGGGTGCCTTGAGATTTTGCGGTGTTCCCAGTGGGATTTTGTTAAGGGTGGAGATAGAATGACTTAGAATACGGGGGAAGCCCACTCGAAAGAAAGAGCAAGAGTCTGTAATCCTCTAGAAACCGTAAAATTAATGATGTTCTTTTGATGGAAGGTCAAACGAATGGTGTAATGTTCGTCAGTATGCTAAATCAGGATGCTAAAGGAACCCCCGCACAAGGGCTCCATATCACCACCATCCCTCATTAGGCATGGCGAGGTGGCGGGAGATCGACGCTGAGAAACTCTTCCCCAAGCTTCAGTTCATCCCCCTGACATCGTCATGCCTTTGTGTGTTGTGTTGTCGACAATTTTAGGCATCGCGTACGCCTTCGAAGCATGTGAGCCGCTCCTTTTGAGGGCCTGGAGATTGATTTTATTGCACAGCGGCGCAAAGCGCTGAGAGAAGATTTGAGGAATGTGGCTTTCGAATCTTCTCTTTAGCAGATTGTAGGAGACTTGGGATCGCAGCATTAGAGAGCATGTGGTTGGGACAAATATCCGGTAAAGGTAAGTGATGTAGTAATTCGTATTATTTGTTTGTGGGTCTCGTAGATTCTTGTTACTTGTGCAGTCTCCTCTCGTCCTTTTGCTTTGAATACGAGGAAGAGGTGGTCCATGCGGACCTCGGAGAAGGTAAGCATGTAGTGTGGTACGATTTTGGGATAACAGAAGCTACTGCGGTGAGGAGTTCGTAATAGGTAGTGAGATTCGTTCCTCCTCTTCGCTAACCCTTCGCTGTCGTCCATGTTGGAGGGTTGAGCTTCGAGCCATGTTACCGTCCGGCCCTGCGACCGACACAGCCAACCGCATAATGATATAGGAGACTAGGAAACTCGACAAGCTCAACCCCATAGAGATTTTGGATGCGATCTTCCTATTAAGAGCTTCTGAAGACCGTCGTTGGCAAAGTCGCTTTCAATCCACCTTGAGACGATCGAATACGCACCTTTCACAAGTAGCTCTAGGGGAGACGGCTATGTGATCTTCACTCACTGTCATCGGCCGCACTCGCACTCACCTATCATGTCCACCCTTAATCCTACGATATCTTGCTCCTTCTCCGTATATGTGCAATAATAAGAAGCGACGCGAGACGCAAAGCAATACAATGCTTCATTGGAGACAACATAGCCACGAGATCTGAAAGAGTGGGGAAGATGTGTTTGGAGTAAGCTGGCTGCGTACCACTTACTACAAGAGACCCTTCTTAAGTCGCAACTTATAATAATAGGTAAGGATCCCCTTGCAAAACCCTGTGTCAAGCGGCAGCAATGAGTCTCAAGGCCCATAAATTTGCTTGGATAATGCAACCACCCAAGACTCAACGCCTTGGCCGAATGAGTCTGACTCCACGACTCCAGCTTGAATAAGCAAGGGCCACATAGAAAGGTGAATGAGAGTGGCAGATTCCTTGGAAAGGATCCATGGATCCCAATATGGGCACAGAATCCAGCCACATTGATATGAGGCGTAAGCCCCGCTCTTGAGTTTGTCCTCGTTTCATTCTCGAAGCAACAAGCCTCAGTTCCAAACATCGAAGGATTTACTGCTCGGAGATGAAAATGTCCAGTGTCAAAGCGACTCGGATTCGTTTGCACACTACAAATCTAAATATTAAAGACTCTCCTAGAAAGAAGAGCTATATTCAATTCAGCCCACCGGACATCGCTCATGCCCTCTATCTTGAAAGGGTTACAGAACTGATATTGCTTCGGAGGGTGGAATTCTTCGAGTGAGACCGCCTCTGGGGTTTGTCCAATCCCATTGGTGCCTTTCGCCCCGACGTCAAATAGCGGCTTCCACGATAGGCCTCCCTTACCCTGGGCTTTAATATTTTTCCTATTGGTATTTCTGGAGCCATATTCACCGGTCCGAAGCTTCGGTCATCCACGATGGACCAGGGCCGCTAGTCGTGTTGTAAGCGCATTACGAACCTATTTAGAGGCCATTTGATTGTATACCCACTCCGTACATGTATATTGTACGCCCCTTCCTAGTTTCTTTAGCTTCCCTAAGGGATATTCTCCTCACTGCATCTCAGCTCTTCTGGCATATTGACCTGTTTTTTCGCAGCCTGATTCCAACGGAAGGCGTGCCAATGGTTAGCCAGGCCGATGGAAGGTACCAGGTCTGCAGGCGCCAGCGTTGCCGGCACACCCAGGACCCATGATGCCTTACTTTCCTTCTGCATAGAGTTAACACTTCCTGCAGAGCTATATCTTGAGGACATCTAAACTGAAATGGCTTGCTCTGAGCTCCTTTGTGGAAGCTTTCTTGTGGTCGTTCCTCTCGGTGGGGAATTCCCCGCGTGGTGTACCGTCTCATGCTCTCTGTGGCTCGAATATGACTGGCCTGCGTTCTGCATTTCTTCCAGTGTCACTCTTTCTAGTCCATTGCACCTACTTCAGAATTGCAGTGTGTCCATGAAGTAGGGGCTGGGAGATGAGCAGAGAGTTGTCTGATGATGCTGTTCCTCCCTGGCCTACCTAGAAAGGTCTTGCCCTACCCTGCGCTTAAGGCCTCATACCCTGGCGCTCTAGCTTACAACTATACTAGCCTATGGGAGTGTTGTTACACGTCGAGGAATGGGTTTAGTGATTGAGATCATGCATCCCCATTGGACAGCCCCGGTCCACCGGCCTCGAAGCAACGCCCTGTTAACTTACTTTTTAGGGAGATAGTCTCTATATTATGGTACCTAGCCAGAAGGATCTTCACGCAGGTCACGAAAGGCTTCACGGCTTCAGGGCGGGCACCATTCCCCGTTCAGATGCCACAACCCCACAGAGGACAATGTCTGTTCGCCTAGGGGTATACTCCTGCCCTCTACGTATATATATAACAGCTCCTAGCTGACAAGATTCCTTGTTCAGTATGGAAACGCGTCTTCGGAGAGCAGAAGTGGGCAAGCCCTCTAGGACGAGAGGAATGGCCAGCAAAATCTGGCTTCAGGCTTCAGACATCACTATTACCACCAGCAATCACCATAATCATGATCACAACAAGTCAAACTGCAACAGACATCGTCGTTCATACTCCAACATGACGTAAGATCTCCAGACTTTCTTGAAATAGGCAGTCCGTCCTCCGAATCCATGCAAGACTCCAGAGAGTACTGGCACCATTGCTGACATTATACCCTTCTGGCTCCTCCTTCTCGTCGGCTTGGCCATCAGAGCCATTATGAAATGGGCTCGAGAATGGCCGTGGGGGCATTGAACTCAATAAGGCCGAGCCGAGACCTCGTCTACTGACGTAAAGATCCCATTTCCTACACCTAATTGTCTACCATCCCTACCATCCTATCTCCACCCCCCACCGATCCACAAATTTCCCACTCATATCATGCCCCGAACTCTGAATCACTTTCAAGCAATCTACCACACTCTCTTCCACACTTATCGCCCCTTCCTCTTTCCACTCCACTAGCCCCGTTTCCACCCTCCCTGGATGCAATAGCAAGAATACCACATCCGGGGCGTCAATACTGAAGCTTTTTACAACAGAATTCAACGCCGCTTTGCTCGCACGATATGCATAGCCACCGCCCGTCACATTCGAAGAAACAGAGCCCATACGGGAAGAAATAACGACGACTTTTGGCAGAATCTCCGAACGTGGTGACGAGGCGGCGAGTTGGAGGCTCGGAAGGAACGACTTAATGACACTGAACGTTCCAAACGAATTCACTTCAAATGTGCGCATCATTGTGTTGTGATCCATGACGTGATATGTTTCTGCTGCTGCAACATTGCCTTTCTGACTGCTCACAATTTCTGGCACAAGGCCGCGGATCCCGGCTGAGTGGATTAGGAGGTGTATTGGCGTGTTTGCGAATTGTGAAGATATTGTGGATAGTGAGGTTGTGTTTGTGATATCGGCTTTGAAGAATTGCACACCTGGTGACAGAGCCAAGGTTTCTGGAGCCGGGGGTGTGATATCGAGGGCAATTATCTTGGTATCCGATTCTGTAGTTGAAATGTAGTGTTTGAGGAAAGCGAGGCCAAGGCCGGAAGAGGCTCCTGTGATGAGTATTGTTGGCATGGTTAATTTATCCCCCCGTTCTGCCTCAGTGACGTTAATACAGCTTGGGCCGAGTATCGGAATAAGATTAACAGAGTAGCCCTCTTGCTAGATTCATCTGGAGAGAAAGTATGTACTTGAATTTGTCACGAAAGACATTGGCATGTGCAGGAAACCATCCCCAATCTAGCTCTCGGACCGCTCTAGTAAATGCCGAAGGGGCTGAGCACAAACGCTTGCATTAGCGCAGGATAATTACCCGTCACCTTCGAATGGGGGTTGCCGAGAGTGGGCTCCAGTGCGAAGTTCCCCGCAGGGTGGGAGCCTCAGACTACGGGATGTAAGAATGTAAAAGGCTGTGTGACTTAGAAGTTCGACGTCTTCGATCTCCTTTTGCTAAGATAATATCTGGCACCGAATTTGGGTTTCAGATATTCCTTCAGTGGACTAGGATTGTGAATTTTTGATTTGAGTTAAAGAGTGGATTCTGTGTACAGAATGTTTTATGAGCCCGGGATAACAGATCACGGGCTTCCCAATGACCCATTCAAGGTAGCTAGCAGCCTCTTCAACCCCTTACCAGCTTTCGACCTTGTTACGAATAGAAGACATCACTCCTTCCCCTTCCCCTCCACCTTTATCCCAACCTCAGCAACATCCTCTAATCTTAGTAGCATCCCCTAAACTCAACATCGCCCCAATACCTACAACACTAACACCACCCTACCAGGCCTGCGTGATCCCCCGGCCAATAGGCTGGATATCAACGCTCTCACAAAATGGCACCGCGAACCTAGCTCCATACTCCCAATTCAACAACCTCACCTTCGACCCACCATACGTCATGTTCTCGGCGAATCAAACCCCGACCACCGGTCAAAAAGACACAGTCCGCAACGTCGAGTCCACGGGCGTGTTCTGCTGGAACCTAGCCACCTATGAACTCCGAGAGCATGTGAATTTAACGGCTGAGGGCGTTGGGAGCGAGATCGATGAATTCGAGCATGCAGGACTGGAGAAGGAAGACGCGAGATTGAACTCCGTGGCTGTGCGAACCAAGGGAAAGGGGATGGAGCGGATGCAAGTACCCATGGTAAAGCGCAGTCCGATTAAATTCGAATGCACACATTACTCAACCTTGCGACTGCCTGGGAATCCGCCGATGGGGTCTGTAGACGTTGTAATAGGACGGGTTATTGGGATTCATATCGACGAACGCGTTTTGACGGATAGGAGAATTGATGTAAGGAAAACGGTGCCGATTGCGAGATGTGGGTATTATGAGTATGCAGCTGTGAGGGAGGTGTTTGAGATGATGATTCCGGGAGATGATCCGGCGAGGTTTGCGGGGTTGGAGGGGAGTTCCAAGGGGAACAGGAAGATATGGGATGAGATGAATGGGGAAGTGGATGCGGGGACTGGGGTTGGAGCCCAGGAAGGGAAGGCTGATGGGTAAGTCTTTAGATGGGAGGGCGACGCATGCCTGAGTAGATTAAAGGTAGACTTTGAAGTACGTCTGGACGCCATAAACAACCTACCAAATGCAAATGCACTCCTTCCAAGACGCCCCCACAAATTCCCACCATTTTTTAGACCTTAGACCTCATACCTCATACCTCATACCTCATACCTCATACCTCATACCTCATACCTCATACTTCACGCGTCATACTTTACACCTCATGAGCCTCATCTCCCTGCTATCTTATCCTCTCCTACAACTGTCCTATTACTCTCCCCCGCTCCTTCCCTTCCACCCCCAATCTTCCCCGCAACTTCCAGACTACCCTCAATCCCACTGACCAACCCATCCAACGCCCCAAACACATCTCCGCCCGCCCTGTCCCTCGCCTCCTTCAACTTTCCCTCCCCCGGCTCCCCTTTACCCTTTCCTTTATTCTTCCTCGGTATTTCTACTCCCTCCACCTTCAGCATATACCCCTGCTCAGCATCTTCCTCGTCAAAGCTGGGTGCAGACCTCACCCCCGAATTCGTAACCTGCCATTCCGCCGACAGACTCTGTGCATCCAGAATGGTGTGACCATCGGCGCCAACATCCACGATCAAAAACCTCTCCTTAGCCCCCGGTATCGGCGGTGGAAGGGGTGATTCAACGGCCGTGTCTTGAACCTCGCCCTCCGCTCCAGTGTCTTGCCCTTCTTCGCCCTCGGGGGCGTTCTGCGGGAGATATTGTGTGTCGTCTAACCCTAACCCGCGCATTGCGGCCGCGGTAACTATGACGGGGTCGTCGTCGGCGAAGACATAGTGGACGTATGGATGGTAGTGTTCGCCGGTTGTAGTATCCTCTACCAGTGTGAAGAAAGGGTTGAAATTTGGTGGCGGGAGAAGGGTTTGTTCGGAGCCGGGTTCGGGGTAGGGGATCTGGTCTTCAGCGTCGTAGGGCGGGTCATCAGTGTAGTGGGGCTCGGGTGGTTCATCTTGTGGTTCAGGTGGCTCTTCGAGGTGTGGCTGAGCAGGCGAGCGAGGTAAGTTAGAGGGGTGGGCTAGTAGGGTCGGTGGTGTAGGATTTGGATTTGAAGGCATGATTTCTGGGTGGAGGGGAGTTCGGAGGCTGGGGTAGGGCTGAGCTTGAGTTGGAGCTGGAGCTGGGAGCTTTTATCGATAACGAGCGGGTCCGTGCAAACTGGGGTCCGATGCACATTGCACGATGCGCGATGCACGATGAGCAGGAAGTGAGTTCGGAGAATTCGTGCTTGGTATTGAATTGATGGACATGCTTAGGTCGAGCTGAAAAAGCATGTCCCCTTCCATTAACACGCCAAGATATGCCGGCATTCAACTGTAAGCTTGGGGTGGTGGTGGTGGAGCGGAAGGAAGTGTGTTGTTTTTTGTATTGATCATCAGATGGAGCCCCTAGGGCAGCCATGGTACATAGAGAGAGGTACAGGCACTAGTAGATAGTGGCTTGGCCTGATTACATCAACGAAATAGGGTATCGACCAAACGCCAATTATCAGAGAAGCCCCCATCACAGTAACAACAGCATCCAACATCCCTATAGCAGTGGCCCATAGTCAGCCTGCAAGTGCTTTTCTAGGAGGGGGCTCGCAAAACTGACCGGCAGTGCCACTCGATACCCTTCCTTTGCGATGAAAAGCGCAAAATTTATCCACCCGTCCAAGCATACAACAGCACACAGACATCATATTTGCGTGACTAAATGGCGTGTGATTGCGATGAATGGGTCAAGCGGGGGTTTGCGTAGTGATATTAGAAGTCGGCGTCTGCGATGGTGGCGGAGCGGGAGCTTCTTGAGACTTGCTCTTGAACGCTGGAGCACCCATTAGCGACGCCTCAGCCAGGATTCAAGATGCGCGTACGTTGGCGACACATGGGACATTTCTCCTGCGCACTCTCTTGCCGCAACCATGAGAAGATACAGTGCTATTCCCCATTAATTAGCACCAACCGACCGTTCCCTGTGAGAGGCCGTATACCATGTGAAATGAATGATTGCATTCGCCAAGCACTGTAGATAAATGAGCATTAGACTTTTCAAACTGTGCAGTTTGACTGACACAAGGGGCACTCATCGCCCGGGAACTTGCATCTGGAGCAAGTGCTGTCGTACGGGTTGCGACAGATTCCACAGACGTCATCGTCGGGCATGTCCCAGCGCCAGGCGGCGATGCCATTCCACTCCCGAATCGTGACTTTCATCTTGTCGTCAGTGCCTGGTGATATAAGTCGTTCGAAGCGCTTGTGTTGTAGTGAGCGCAGTAGTATTTATGGAGCACATACGCGCGGGATGGGACGGGAGTGAAAACAAAAACACGTCCAAATGGCCAGGCGGTGAGGGTGGCGGTCACCATCACTCCCACGGCATCTCACGATTGCGCCAAGACCAATTCCTTTCACTTCTTCGTTAATCAACCAATTCCCGGCCATCTCTGCAAACTTCACTTCTCCTTACTCTTCACCAAACCATGCAATCTACCACCGTACACCGTGAGTGATTGAGCCACGCGGGTGAGTGACGTTCTTCCCCCGCGCCCACGTGACTGCAGCCCGACATAGCAAATAGAGGGGAGGTGCCGCCGATCAAGACCCCCAGGCCCCTCAATCAGCACCTGACAATGACAATGGGAGTGAGAGCTTGCTTGCACCGGCGTCTTAACACTTCATATCCCCACCCAGCTCCATTCCAATGTTCCTGACTAACCCTCATTGCCTCTCACCAGCGTCCAAGATGCTGCACTCAAGCCTACACTACACTCTCCGGCCGCTCTCCCGCAACTTCGCTCTGCCATTGGGGGCAAGGAGAGCAATGTCTCAGTACACGCTCTCCTCATACCTTGTCACCCCCGCCGAACTCAATTCCGCACTCCAAAAAAACCTTCATTCCAAACTCTCTACTGCACCCAAAATCATCCCCCTCTGCGCATCTTGGTTCCTGCCCAACGACGGCCGTGACGGACGACAAACTTTCAAAGCATCTCGTATTCCACACGCTAGGTTTTTCGACCTCGATGCTGTTAAAGATCCCAATTCTCCGTACCCACATATGCTTCCGTCGGCAACTGATTTTGCGAGAGCGATGGGCGAGCTTGGCGTCCGCCGTGATGATAGTGTGGTGGTTTATGACTCGAAGGAGCTCGGAATATTTAGTGCACCGCGAGTGGGCTGGACGCTGCAGGTCTTCGGACACCAGAACGTGCATGTTTTGAACAACTTCCGGCTCTGGTGCGAGCAAGGTTATCCGGTCGAAAGCGGAGAGCCCGCGCCCGTGGATGTAGTCGAGTATTCAATCCCAGAGCTGGACAAGAGCAAAGTAGTAGCATTTGAAGAAGTCCGAGAAATCGCGAAAGAACAGGGGAAGGAGGGTGCAGAGGAGGTACAAATCCTGGATGCAAGGAGCAGTGGGAGATTCAAGGGGACTGAACCAGAGCCTAGGAAAGGTAACGAACCCCCATACGAACTCCAATTCGTATGCAGAACTGATAACAGACAGGCCTCTCATCTGGCCACATTCCCTACTCTATCTCCGTCCCTGCCTCCGACGTCCTCGACCCCAAAGACAAAACCCTCCTCCCCAGCTCTGACCTGCAAGCCCTCTTCAAGTCTAAAGGCGTTGATGCCTCAAAACCCATCATCAGCAGCTGCGGAACCGGCGTCACGGCTGCTGTTCTCGATGCAGCTCTCACCGAAGCTGGATTTGAATCCGAGAACAGGAGACTGTATGATGGGAGCTGGACCGAATGGGCCCAACGAGTATCTCCCTCAGACAGTCTGATTCGCAAAATTGGTGATTGAAGTTACTGATTTGGTGGCTTGGTGCGTTTGATGCGTTAGGTGGCTACTACAATAGCCCTTCCATGGAACGATACCCTTACCCCGATATCCCTGTCTATCATTTAGCAAATGCGGTCCTGTATATAGCTATCGAAATTGAGGGAATCAAGCAGCCAATGTCACTTTCCTAGTACCTTGAAGATGCGCCGAGGAGGTCCTATAGATAATAGAGATTGGGGTTATACTTAGTCCCACCCCATCCAAGTTTTGCAAGGAACGCTGTCAGATATGGCTTTCACATTGTCGAAATGGCTGTTGGTTGGAAGTGGTGATTCGATACTATTGTCGATATGTACTTTAGTGTAGACCACTTTGATGACTTTGATGAAAATCCGTCCATCCAAATATGCAGATGCTAATGCAGAATTTCGTCGCCCGCCACTCATCTGTCCACCGCCACCAAATCCGCCCTTTCCCTCCCCCATCCCATCTCCTCAAATCTCTCTAGTACTGCCCAGCAGCCTGCTGACAGGCCTTCAGCTGATCCAAATACCACCCGCAAATGGTCAAGCTGCCCTGGTTCTCATCCATGCACTTGCGGAAGTTGTTAATATCCGTCGCGCAAGCCCCGGTGGCGTTCTGGGTGCTGGTTTCCTGGTGCTGTTGTGCGAATTCGGTGGATGCGGATTGTTGCTCAGCGGGAGCGGAACTGGAGCCACCGCTGAAGAAGCCGCCGATGGCGTGCCCGATCGAGGAACCTACTGCGACACCGCTGGGGAGGAGTTAGTGTATCCGTATATATATAGATAGGATTTTCTCATGGGTAGAGATTTTGTGTTAAGCAGCGCGGGCGGGCTTGAGGGAAGGTGGAAATAGGCCAAGTCCGTCTATCCGTCCGCAGCTTTGCTCTACAGACAACTACATTGCAAAAAAATCTTCACTTACGCAGCCGTACTGGCCATATTGGCAAACAACCCCGGGCCTTGACTCGCCTGTTGCGGCGCAGCAGATTGCGCCGGAGGAGCATGTTGCTGCTGTGTTGGAGCCGCAGCCGTGGAAGATTGACGGGCTGGTGGTGCAGCAGGGGCACGGGCAGCGGGTTTGGGGGGCGCTGCTGTTGGGCGGCGGGGAGCGGATCCACCACGTTGACGGGCCATTGTGATGAGTTGCTGGAGCTGGAGAGAGGCTATTAGTTGTAATTGAGGAGGTGGTTCGATGGGAGAGATAGGGTTGGAGAAGGAGAGGGAGTGGCGGTGATGGTGATGAAGATGAGAAAAGAGCTTGGGGAGGTTCGAGAAGGATCGGCGAAGACGGGGCTTTCGGAGGTAAGGGACCGAGGTATTGGTGGAAGTTTCCGAGACGAGCGACCAGTAACGACCAGTCTCAGAGTCACGTGCATGCGGGGCTTATTTTGATACAAAGAAGAAATCTTCGAGAAGGTGGCAGAAAGTCAACACTGGGAGGCTTGAGATATATAGAGCAGGATACTTAGTAGAATAGTAGCATTGTCTATAGAAATTGATATTGCGGTTATGCTCTATACATTTGAGAAGCTTCTTCTCAAAATCTTACACTCCGCTTCAACCTTAGCCCGTGGTAAATTATACCAAGCCTGTGTCGCTTTCTCCTTTATAGCCTCACTTAGAGGATTGATCTAAGTGTGTATGAGCCCTAATATGCTTAAAGATCTCTTTAGATCCAGCAGCGCTCAATCTTGTCAAGGTCCGGAAATTGAGGTAGCCAAACAACCAGACGCATCCATTTGCTGCACCTAGCCCTATCTTTCACAGCAAACTTCCTAGCCTTTGTATAAAGAGAAGATTTGCTCTCAGAAATACTGACAACCCGGCTAGAAAGCCTATAGATTTCGCTAGCCCGTGAATGTAGTAGAGGACGGAGGACCTGCTCTCTGTACCATAGCCAGTCAATGCCACCTTTTTAGCTTCCTATCACATTGAACTCTCTCAATATTGGGCTCCCACTCAGGCCTTTTGAGCCTGCGAGGGTAGCCTAGTGGCTGGGGATCTTTGGCATCCTTTTGGCTTGTATTTGCATTCAGTGCTCATTCGTACCAGGGATCTGTGCCCACTTCCTTACGCATCCTTGCAATAGAAGTTCCCTTTGTTCTCTTTGTGAATGATAAGGCAATTCTACTCCTCCCCAGCCCCAGTTTCTTTCTCCTAGATATAGAAGGGACCTAGGCCACAGCCCTCACAGATTGCACCCTAAACCATCACTGATTGAACGCAGTAGCTGGCGGACGACTATAGCCGAATGGATTGGTGCCCACAGGTCTTGAGACCTTAGTTTGCCTGCGTTGGTAGTCGCTCTTGATAGAAATCTCGTCGTTGAAGAAGAACATACATTGGATTTTGAGCTTGCCTAGCGCCCACCTGTAGAAGACTAACTGTGCCCGCTCCTAGGATTCATCTAACTCAATCTTACAAGGAGGGACCCTCTTACTAACCTCCGTCTTCTTTAACACCTCCTCTCCTGTTAAATATGGCATCCGAACCCCCTCCCATTCCTCTACTATCCTTATTATCTGCTTGTGCGATATATCTTAGTACTCCTCGTCTCTCGTCGTAGTCAACCAAAAAGCTCCAGCAACAGCAAAACCTTCAGGGAAACGCTCCTCACGGCCACGATTGCTTGGATCTTTGAGATGTTGTAATAGAGTAGACAGACTAGGGTCCCCTGAATCGCAGCGGCCGCGCACGTGCCGATAGAACTGCTGGGCGCCGTTGGGAGAGCAATTGGCAAGCTTCTCGGAGACATGTACCCAGCCGCGCCCCTCGGAGCACATGGTAACAATTGCGGCATGCATCATTGTTGATAATTGACATTTAGGCCTCATGGAGGCATTATGACGATCAAAGAATACTAATAATTTGCTTATCTAGTAATGCCGATGGTGGGTTGAAGAGTAATCTTGACAAAGCCGACTTCTCGCAGGTGACTCCGTAACTTCCTGACTTCTCTTCGCTTCGCTTCACGTGTAAAGGTACTGCAAGAGACTACTTGGAAAGGTCTCAGCTTAATACTGGGCAGTGTATTACCGTATGCGTCTGAAATTTTGCAATTAATATAGTAAGTGGCAGTTCGCGGTACTCAGTGGTGAATATAGGATCCACTGCCAGCTATCTCGTGGTGATTTTACAAGTCAGGGTGTGGACAGAAATGGATGTGCACCAGGTACAAAGTCCATTAGACCCTCTAGCCATGATTCAGGCCTAACCCTCCCCAGTTTCTCCTTGAATCTTAATCCCATCCTCCCCCGGCCTAGTTTCCACAAACGGTACTGCCTCTCCCATCTCCAGCTGGATCATCGCATTCTTCCCCTTCACCAAGTTCATCATCATATAATTCATAAAGCACCTGATCCCCAACTCCTCCCCTCTCTTCACCACCCACCCATTAATATACTCAATCTCCGTCCGGCGCCCTGCCCTCACATCTGCCAACATACTTGAAATGTTATCACGAGTCTTGTTGGCAACGCCGACAACCATGGTTTCGAGACGGCCTGGATCGAAACGCTGTTCTACGTTCGGGATATACTGGAGTTCGGGCATGCTGCGGATCACGAGGCTGATTTCGGAGAGAAGGAGGCGCATGGCGCGGGTTAAATGATAATTGTAAAGGATAGATCCGTTGCGGGCGTCGAGCATGACGGTCAGGGGATTGACAATGCAGTTTACAGCAAGCTTTTCAAGTTGTAGTTGAAGGAGGTCGGGAGGAGAGAATGCGGTGGCGCATAGGACAGGCGTGCGGAGCAGAGATCGAAGAAGATAACGACTGTTAGGGGTCCACCTGGAGAAGTATGGCATGGGTTCTCTCATGCTGGAGTTTGGATTTGCAGGGTTCTTTGGTGTCACGGGAATCTTTGCGGGTTCATGAAAGCCTGGCTTGAACTGAAGTGTGGGCGAATATGGTCCTGGTTCCTGATTTCGTTCATGGGGGATAATTCCAATAGATATGGTTCCAAATCCAGCATGGGTTGCTGTAAAAGGGTCATCAGGGCTTGTGTGCATGCCATGGGAGTTGATTCCTAGCATATAATGTGGTCTGGTCTGCGGGTCCGGAAATATCTCTCTGCTCACTTCTTCCACGGTGCCCATACCGTTCTGGAAAAACAGAATGACGGATTCTGGATGCAGTCTATGCTTGACGGCGGATAGTGCGCTTAAAATATTCGGTGCCTTCACGCACATAATCAGGCTATTAATTGGCTCGTTTGATTCCCCATCTATTAGCTGGTGCGTAGCGTCTGGAGAGACCGAAGACGTTGATGGGTCTTGTACATTTTCCTCCGGCTTGACTTCTTTTCCGTGAAAGCGAGGACGCGGGATCGCTAGCTCCACATCGAAGCCTCCTTGCTTCTCTGAGCTGCCATCGGTTATTAATTGCAGTTTTTTCGACGATTCGTTCCATTCTTTCAGTAAGCCTCCGCGGTGGAAGAGTAGCGTAATCGGTGGTGGATTCGGAATGCCGCGCAATGAGTGTGCAATGAAGCGTCCCACACTGCCTACACCCAGGATGTGAATCCGTCTATCGTAAATGGGTTGACGACGGTAAAAGTCTGCGACATTGCGCAACGGGGCTTTGGGGGTTGGGAAGCTGTTCTCGTTATCTTTTTCGGCGCTACTCTGTATTAACTGGTGGGAATAATTCAATTCGAAGCATTTACCTGGTGCCCGTTTTTGCTTGCGGATCCATATCCTCAGGACTCCACCAACTCCTCAGCAGCCCTCCCGTCTGGTAGTGGGCCACCCGGCCAAATGAATTGTTACCTGGACCACATTTGGGATGTGCATGCAGTATCCGAGCCGGAAGCTTGGGGAGGAAATGGGAAAGTGATAGGAAAGATAGATGTAACGATTTCATAAGATCATAGGCAGAAGGGAAATAATTGCATCTAAATAAGAAGTGAGCGCAATTGAGGTTCTTACAGAGTTCGTGAAAAGTAATTGTCTATGCTTTGATGCCGTCAAGGATCTGGTCGACTGCGCGGAGAAACCTCGGGCCGCGCTCAAGGAGCGTGAATCTCAACTTTCGAAACTCTCTCTTCGCCTCTGTGACTTCTGTAGCGCAACGCTGGCAAGCGTAAAATACAGCCATGGATGACACGCTTGATCTCCCTTCCATGGTCGAGGACCTCGAAGCCAACATCGACGACCTCTCCGAAACACTCCGCCCGCTTCTCTCAACCCCTCTTTCGGACCGCGCCTCCAAGCTCCCTCTCCTCGACAAAGCAAAACTCTACGTCCACGCTGCATACGCCATCGAGTCGCTCATATTCTCCGCGCTCCAAGCCTCTGGCATTAACGCCAAAGAACACCCCATCTTTGCCGAACTCGCGCGACTCAAGGGCTATTTCAAGAAAATAAAGGACGCGGAATTAGGGCCTGTGCCGCGTGCGAGGATTGACAAAGAGGCAGTTGGGAGATTTATTAAGCATGGTTTGGCTGGGAATGATAGGTTTGAGGCGGAGAGGGTAGAGAGGGTTTCAAAGGAGAAAGCAAAGGCGAATTTGTTGGAGAGAAAGATGCATGTGAAGTTTGACCAGGAGGAAGAGGATAGACAGTGGAGAGACTATGAGAGTAAGAAGAGGAAGGTAGAGGAGAGCAGCGCGGTGGAAGAGGAGCATGGCGTGAGCAGCGAGAATGAAGAGATTTATGGTCCCGACCTGGACAAGAAATCCGCGCCCATCGAGCCAGCAAGGAAGAAGCAAAGAATCACCGCAGCAGACATGATAGAGCTCGACTCCCCACCCTCCACTACAGAAATAGAAAAGAAAAAGAGCAAAACGAAGAAGCATAGCACGGAAGAACCTGCTCCGTTGGATCTTGACAATCTCCAAGGAAAGACGAAGAAACAGCACAAAGCAGAACGTAGGGCTCGAAAAGAACAAAGGAGAGCTGAGAAGGCTGCGAGAAAAGGGTCGTCAAATAGCAGCCCAATCGTGCACCGAACGAAACAGACTGAGGGGACGGGGGAGGAAGCACCTGGAATAGAGGAGACTATCTTTCCCAAGAACAACAGCGCACCCAGGACACACAGCGAGACTTTCCAAGCATTGCTTCAAGGTTCGTTTTCGAAGAAAGCGAAGAAGTCATGAAGTAAGGTAGTGAGCAGACAGGCATCGACCACTTGAACCACCCACTATTAGGCAAAGCGTAAGGTTTGGCTGGCCTAAATCAAGCTAGTCCATGGGACGTAGCTATCATTCTTGTTGACGACGGAGCTGTCAGTCTATGTCCAGGGCAGTGGGCTTGAAAGAGTACACTCATGAGTTTTCACGGGCAGGATCATCACTTATGCATGGTGACAAGAGAGATGCTGAATCTTCTCAGCCTATGTATTAGAAGTACAAGGCTGCCTCACCCAACAGCCCTTGATCTTCGCAATCCAACCCATATGAATTGCTCCGTATATCCAAGTTTGGCCCTCCCATAAAATGCTGAGCGCTATTCAATCCTGGCGCCGATTATCAATATTATACAAATATACTGAACCTTTCACCCCCATTTGCTTCCAAACCCAAAAGTCACTCGCTGGTATTGTACTATACAATCGCGAACCGAAACCGAAACCTTTTATATGCGATAACCCCCGTTGATGCTGTAAGTAAACCCGGACCGTTCTTCCAAATATCAATGTAGGAAAGCCGGCCACTAGCAGCCGTAATGAATAAATGCATAATCCGGAAAATAGATAGTAAGCGAATGTAGAAGATAATGCGGATACTTTGAAAGTCGTCTTTCCGTCCTGTCGCGGCTGATAACTGAAACCGGTCCCTGAGTTATGCTTCGATATTTAAAACCCGGAATGCGAGGGGTGTGTCTATTCAAACGCGCCGGGGATCGCCAGACTTAATCTCGCGTCCCTCTTCCTCGGTGGTACTGTCTCTGGTGTGGAGACTGATCGCTGGTGCACCTGCTTCTCTTCTACCTTTATTTCCATGGACTTCCGGACTTCGTTCTGAAGCTGAGCCTCGGCTTGCTCTTCAACGTTCTTGTCTTCCTGTTCCGTAAGAGACCCCTTCGGTGAAGGTTCGGCGGAGATGACGGTTTTCCCAATGGACACCCTCTTCACCTTGTCCTCATCTTTGGACTGAAAAGGGTCATCTTCACTCTTTCGTGTATCCTTACTTGGTTCCGTCATGTCCACAGCCGAGTCTAGAGGTCTGCCGTCGGAAACCTGGCTCTCTTCACTCGGTCTTGTCCCATCTCCTTTGTCGTTCCCGTTTACAAACGTCGGACTACGCGGGCTATCTCGGATAGGGATGAATGAGGGTACCACACCCCCGCCTAACCGAGTCCAGAACATGCGCTCTCGTAGCCGCACACTCTCCTCCCACGCAGCCTTCCTCTCATCTTCAGTTTCCGCTCTCCAGTGACCTGCCGCAATCATCCTTAGGAATCCGATATAATCGCAAGTGGCCCGAACCCTACCAAGACACCAGTCACATAGCGGATACCGTTGCGCCTCTTCGCTTTCAGACGTTTTGAACCTGTATTTTCTTGTATACTGTTCGCCTTTCCTGTTCTCCCCGCATAGGGAACATGGGAACACCGGACCTCGGAACTTCGGGATGGGCGGATGTGGCTCTACGACAAGTGATCCGGCCGTAATGCTACTAAGCACAGTGCGCCGCGCCATCCACGATAGGCCGGGGGCAATGTCAAGACGTAACGTTGGCTCAATGTCTTCAGTGAGCGCTCGTTTATAAAACTTCTCATCCTTGAGATTCGGCATACCCACACCAGCAAGGGAGTCACGGGGGGAATTCGTGCCGCCCGAGCTTGGAGATTTGGCGGTCCCTGGAAGAGAGGGAGTGGAATTGTTGGTGAGCGAGCCAAGGCCAAGCACATTAAGGCCACCGTAGTTGCCACTCGACACGCGGCTTGCTGGTGCCGAGGAACGGCCACTGATTTTGAACATGTCTTGAAAGTCCTTGAAAGATGGGAGGTCAGATCGGAGAACGGGATGAATTAGATGAGAGAAATGCAGCGGGTGATCTGGAGGGATCTCGTCAGAGCCAGGCGTATTGGGGGTCAAGTTTGCAGCCTCAAAGAGCTTGTTCATTTTGTCGGCTGGAGTGATTCCTGGGGTGGAAGGAGCAGTGGTAGTTGCAAGGGCGCTGCTTTCGTTCTCATCGCGATCCGAACTCATCTGCTGCATGACGGCTTTGAGGTCCTGCAGCTGCTCTTGGTGAGACGACAGCAGAAGCTCCGTGTCGTTGAGTTGCTGCTTGAGCTGGTCGTTGCGCTTTTCGGACGCCTCGGTTTCCTTCCGCGCAGCTGCCACCATCTAGGAGAGGGGGGATTAGCTAATGTTCAGCCCAAAGTGCAAGTATAAGCCTACCCCATTCGCTTCTTCGAAAAGAGCAGACGTCAACGCCTCCACCTCTGCGTCCGTCTTCCTCTTCGCCTTCTCCGCCTCGACCCTGCGCCTCTTCTCCTCGATAAGGTCGCCAGACAACTGTTTCTCCATCTTGTCATAGACCTCTTTGTCGACCAACAGACCCCTCTCCATCATCTCCTCATGCTGCTTGACCAGTGTCTCAAACTGTGCCAGCTTTTCCCGAGCAGCATCCAACTCATGCCTTGTCTGTTGCAGTGAATCATCCAAGGTAGTCTGGTGGTTGATAGCATTGACCAGCTTTGTGCTGAGCGTCGCAACCTCTTCGCTGAGATCTGGGTGCATGCTCGAGTCTGTAGAGCCATTTCGCGAGAGTGCCGACTGGGGTGTGGGCGATCTAGGATCGGGGATAGTGTTCATGCCCTCACTCTCGGAGCGGAAGAGGCTTGGGGCAGCTACTCTCCCCAGCTGTGGAGTCGAAATCGACTTGGTGACGTGCTTGTTCATTGGAGTGGGAGTCAATGAGCGGATCTGGGATGACAATCTGGAGGGGGTAGTGGAGCCTGAGGTGGCTCCAACCGCGTGCCCCCAAGGGGCCGAGGAAAAGTATCTATAGCACAAGCGACAGTTAGCATGCGTGGTCACAATGGCTGTGTGTGGTGACCGGAGTTTTAATTAAGAGACGTTGGGGTACGTACTCAGCCAGCTTGACGAGGGAGACCACTTGGGGGGGGGGGGGGCAGCCGGCACCCTTGCTTGCCTTGGAACAGGGTTTACGGGCGAAGCGGACGAAAGAGCCGCGGCAGGACGAACAAAGGAGTGACGTGGAAAAGAAGAAGAGGAGGAAGCAGAATGGAATAATCAAGATGGGCGCATGGGGGACATTAGAGGGTCAGTAATCGCCCAGGACGTGAATTGGGGGGAGGGAGACGTGACGAGGAGGCCAACGAGTCGTGAGTGGAGAGAGGAGGCCTGGCTTGTTACTATCGGCGGCAGCGGCAAGTCGGGGAAGGGAAAGGTCCAATGCGCGATGGGAAGGATGATGCTTACTCGCCAGCGGCAAGCAGGGCGCCGGACATCTGAGCGCCGCCGCCAGCCTCGCCAAAGCCTCAATCCACGCCGCCTGCTCTGGACGGGGCATTGGAGATGGCCTTCCAATCTAGCCTTGTGCGCAAGGATACAGCACCGTCGATGTCCCAGAAATACTTGCATTGCGATGGCCCCTGACAGACATTTTTGGCAACGAAACAATTGCTTCTTTGTATGAGCTATCTCTGAATTGGGGGCGGCGGATGGAAAAACTCTGCACAGAAAGTACACTTGTCAGGACCGTGAATGACGTTGCACAGCGTGGATGCGTGCCGGATATGTGGCCCCCCAGAGCACGGCAGAATTTAATATCGAAGCAGCATCGTCATGAAAATTGATAGTCCCCGATGCACTCTGCCCCGGGCGTTCTGCGCCTCAGCGTTCTGCCCCCAGCGTTCTGCCCCTCCAGCGTTCTGCCCCCCCCCCGACTGTCCGCCTTCCTACGCACCTTACCTGCGCCTCAGGCAGCTCACCTGCGCCTCAGGTAGTAAATATGCGCCTCAGGCAGCAATTGGGCTGTCCATGACCCCCCGCCGCACGTGCGCTCCTGCAACACCAAGACACTGTCGTGACTTTTCTCAAATCGTGATACCCCGCCCAAACACGACCACCCACAACCTACTCTAGCACGCCATGGCTGATGCAGATCTGGAAGAAGTATGCATCTCCGAGAATCCCATGGTGTTGAATGCGGCTGACATATTGTGAGATTCGCCGAGCGCGCGTGCAGCAGCTGCGGCAACAAGCCAACGACGGCGCCGGTGGAGGAGAAGGCTCGGAGCAAGATGCGCAGAGGTGAAGATGGTCGTGGCAGGGTCCCAACTCTGTCATGCTGACTGACGCGGTTTTCCAGGCAGCGCGAAGGTAAAGCGCCTCCCACCTGTCTCCAACGCCGCAATGCTCGGTCTCCGATATAACACATCGCTCGTGCCCCACACCCACCCCTCCTTCCACGCCTCCAACCCCCAAAATCGCACCTGCTGCCCACAGGCCCTCCCCCCCCCCAAAAAAAAACAACAACAACTAACCATTCCCCAGCCGACCAACGCCAAACCATCCTCTCCCAAATCCTAACTCCCGACGCCGCCGACCGTCTGGGCCGCATCCGACTCGTGAAAGAGTCTCGCGCCACCGACATCGAGAACCGCCTGATAATGCTCGCCCGATCTGGTCAATTGCGCGCAAAGGTCACTGAAGAACAGTTGAAGGAGCTCCTGGGCGCTGTGGCAGAACAGCACGAGAAGCAGGAGGAGAAGATCGTGGTGACGAGGAGGGGAGGCAGTGGGTGGGATGATGATGATTTAGATGATTTGCTCAAGGATGTGTAAAGGATAGCCTGCGATTAATATGAAGTAAACACTCTTTAGACCGAGAATTCTGAGATCATGAAGCATAGGATGGTCTTGGGGTAGAGTTGGGTGAATGCATGGAAAGGCGTTTGGATCGGATATTCCCCCATGACGGTTCCGCAGGTCGAAAATGGTCTATAATCATTGATTCATGTTATCAGGAGAGATAGCCCATTTATGAAATTCCCTTGTGAGAATAGAGCCCATACCCTACAGCACAGCGCCCATTTTCAAACCCCAGAAGCGAATGTAACACCGGTGTAGGTAACACCAGTGTGGAATATCCGTACACCCTTCAAACCGATGCCCTCATATCCTTCGTACGCACCCTCGTATCTGCTGGGCAAGGACTTGAGGTTGCAGATCTTCCTCAGGCCGCCGGTGTCAATGTCTGCTCAACCCCAATTTCTTCCTCCAGATTGGCCAGGGCTTCTTCCGCTGTATCGAGCAGCCCGGCCCCCTTCACTAGTTCACTATCGACCATCGTACCGGCAAACGGAATCTTCGGCCCATTCCCAACCGTCTCCCATTTATCTCGGACCTCCTGGGCTTCTCCATGCTTCAAAGCACCAGTTGCCATGGCTTTCGTGACCAATTCCTGGAGCTCATGCTCAGCCTTGACAATTCGTTTCTCGAGACCTTGCCTGCCCATCTCCAGTTCTGGGTCATTCTTTGGCGTAGCTTTGAGAGACTCCTTCATGTTGATAAGCCGTGCTTTCTGGTCGTCGATCTCCTCTCGCTCGGGAGACATTCCTGGTGGCAGTAGTTCCCGATATCCTGCATCCTCATCGTCCTCGCCCTGTCCCTCTTCGGCAGCATGCTCCCACTCCGCCTGCATGGGATCTGCTATGATGACTTTGAAATCTGGATTGCGAAACTCGGCCGGGTTCTGGGCGACCTCTTCGAAGAAGTTGAGGATGCATTTCTGAAGTTCTGAATTGGTGAAGACGCATTCACCGATTGAGCTGAGACCCCCCGCGAAAGCAGGACAGATTGGGCTTCGGTCATCGCTATCGTATGAGGGCTCTCGACTGGATTGGGCTTGGTGGGCGGTAGATAGTGAGAAGCGGTTGAGCAGGCCTGAGATGGCGGGAACCGAGGTCGGTGGAACAAGCGTCTCGAGCCAGCTGACAGGTTTACTAGGCTTAGCCGTTTGGGATGAGGTTGGCGCGCCATCTGCACGAACGGCCGATGGTGGCATTTCAACACAGTCGTGTGGATCAGATGACAGAGGAGACAAGATCCACTTGCGCGCCCTCTGACGAAGGAATGCCTTGAGATTCGCATTGCAGATCTGCGAAGAGACATAGCTGGGTTGGGCGAGGGCTAAGGCAGTGATTCGGGAGCCGTACTTATCCACTAGGGGCTGCAATTAGCATTCTCATTTTTCGCAAGGTCCAGTATGTTCGCATAGACTCACTATCGCCATTGAGGACATCAAGAAGGTAGTCAGCGCCGTTCTCAATCCCAATGGCATAGACCTCTGCATCTGGCGCCACAAAGTCCGGGTTCTTGATGATTCGGTCGAACACGGTTTTTATGTGTTCTTCTGGAGTACGATGCCCCTCGACCCTGTTCTCGACTTCATGGATTTTGATGGACTCGTGACAGATTGACTTTCGCGGCATCGACAGCCATGAACGTACCGTCAAGGCCTCGTTGTACTTGTGGGAGTAGAGCAACTGGCCCGTGTTCATGACGATCAGTCCCGGGATGTCTTTCTCTTTACCTTCGACACCAGCACGGTCCCGGAAGATGTCGAACTCATCCCCAGACTCTGTGGAGCGGTGGACCATCTCTTTAGCAAAGTTAACAATGGTTCCGCCATTGAGCCCAAGCCCCCGCTGCATTTGTCGATAGGCTAGTATGCCGAGGTCTTGCAGGGAGTCATTGATGATTACGACAACCCGCTTTCGTGATTTCAGGATCTTGGCCGGTGGAGCCAAAATCGGGATATGGGGTTGAGCCTCTGGCTTGGTAGTAGTCAAGGTTGGGAGGTATAACTTGCTGAGTCCCAGGGCAGCCAGTCGGTCAGCAACTTCTTGTCTCCAACAAACTGAAGAAATGTCAGTAAGCTTCTCCACAACCAACCTGGACAACTTAAAAACACAACTCACTCTGTATTGCTTCTCTGTGCACCTCATTGTGACGCTCCTGGTTGCTGAAGTGATATTGAAACCCCTGGTCGGGATACGCGATCATGCGGATATGACCAGCCTCGTTGATAAAGTATCTACGGGCATCTTAGCAGATTGAGCTTCGCTATAGTCACAGTGATCCATGCCCCAATTTCTTCATGTCGGCTGGGTAAGACGCATCGGGCGGTAAGCCCTCCTCTACGCGACGGAACATGATGTCTCTCAAGTAGTTGCAGTCTTGTCTCACAAAAGCTGACGGATCAGTGGAGATAATGGAGAGTAGTTAGGGGGAGAGATTGAAGGAGGAAGGAGGGTCTGAGGTGAAGGTCTGTTTACTATCCAGGGTACCTAAATAGTCCAAGTGCGTCTGGTCGCAGCCTTGCATGAAGCGGTGTATACTTAGCCATGTGGCGTAACCGACGCGATGAAATCGCCTGAACCTAGCAAAGTCTATGACAATGAGAATGCTGCAATCACGACGCAGAGAGAGCATAAGCATACAGTCATGTTCGTTCAGTATTTCTACATGTAAGTATGCACAGTCGTCTATCACCAACGCCACCTGAATGACAGACACCCATTTCGTAGTATACATATGTCCTGAAAGGGCTGTATAGGTTTGGGTGGATCGGAACCCCGTCGCCCTCTACCAGCTTGCCTTCTTCACCCCTGGTAGATTTCCCGCGAGCGCATTCAAACGGAATTGGTACTACAAAGTGAATTCGGTCAGCCCAAAGGTTCTCTAGGAGGAATTGGGGAGTGACAGTGCTAGTGCTCAGGGGAAAATGGGATCCGAAGTTGCGATCTCGGGAAATAGACATACTCTCCCCATCCTGAAGTCGCTGAAGACACCCCTACCCTTTCCACCCATTATACACCGGTTCTTAACCTGTGTGAATCTCGTGTAACAATGCATTTGAGACAATTGTAGCTGTGCTTGGGCCCGGACACGCTGCGGGAGTGTGGTATTGCGGATGATGTATCGAAGGGCTTGTCTAAACCAATTCCTGTGGTCAGCCACTGCGTCTACTCATCAAGCAACCGACATATCCGTCAGGTCCTGCTATTACTGGGAAAAGGACTGGTTGGGATGGCACCTTTGCGGTTCGTTCGCAGCGAATACTTTCCGCTTTGTGTGGTCGCGTATGTTCCGAATATTCGCGAAACATCCAATATCGAGCATCTTTGCTCGGAATTGAGACATTTTGGAGATGTAGAGTTATCAATTGCGGAAGTCGAGACAACCTGCAGGATCTTGGAGTGAGATGTGATGCCAAGCTGATACGAAGCAGGTACCTAACTGTTTGGTCGGGAGCGGTCACCTCGGGCAATTTCGTTGGTCCGAAGCCCTGGGTGCGTCATCGCCTCAGATTACTCTCTGAAACGGAGTATATTGATCACATCTGAAATATCGATGAGCCACAGCGAAGTTGTCAGATGCAAACCGTTTTCGCATAATTCACGACAGCGACACATCCAACTCAACCAACTCCTCCGCCGTCCAAAACTTCAAGGATGAGTCCCAACATGTTCTCCAGAGAGGATATTCTCAACATCTATACTCTAATAAGTCCTAAGCATGTAGGGGCATCTACTGCACCTGGGATTCAAGACCATATCCCTTCTTTGCTAGTTGTCCCCAGTGGAGATATGTTCACAATTCGAGACTACGCGCTCCACGACTTCAAATCTCGAGTCACTACGGGTAGGCTCGAAAATGAATTCTTCCAAACACACTGACAACTTTGTCAACAGCGACAAGTCGACTATCGGTGGCATCCTTAAGCAGCGAATTAGGGGTATCTGAATGCGACATCCTTCAGTTTGCTCAAGAATTCCCAGATCTGCTCCTGCTAAGCGCAAACAATCTCGAAATTATCCCACAGTAAGATTTATCAACTAGATCATTGATCCCATTTAGAATGTAGTAGAACGCAGAATCCCTAGTTCACATTCGCTAATCAAAATCAGGACGCAAGCAGCTCCTGTCGTGCAAAAATTTCAAGAGCTTGCAGCTTCCCAAATAGTTTCCGAAACAGCATTCTCCCAGCAGCATGATGTCTCTATCAAGAGCCTTGACGCTTTAGTAAATTTGCCGCCATCTGCTTACCCATATCACCTTACGAGAGGTAGGTACAATCCCCTAAATCGGTTCACTACTCTCTCGTCGTCCTTCATTCCTCGTTTAGGTTCCGGCATTTGTTTACTAACCGCATAAAACGTCTATAGTGGATAGTAGTCATATTGCAAGTACCAAGTATTTTAAGCTTGTAGAGGATGCTGTGCAGGAACTTCTAGTTTCGGGCCAAAACTCCGTTGTGTAAGTACCTCAAATGATTCCTATATTCATTTACCTATTCTAAACAGAATTGTGCAATGTCTAACTCGAAGCAGACCCGTCGATCTCTGCTCAGAGAAGCTCCCAGGGATACCACCCAAATGGTTGATTACGAAGATGTTGGACGAAGTGTTAGGCAAGGAAGTCGACAAGTCCTGTTGGCGGCTTGCAGTCTACGAAAATGCGATTTCTTGCATTCCTAAAGAATATGAAGTCCAGCGGCGCTCAACAGAGCTCGGTCAGCTAAGAGATGGAAAGGTCCCCTGGATCAACCTCCAGAATCTTTTTGAGGAGATCCGCGGCCTCCAGCATTCTCTCAAGGATCTACAGGACTATGCCAATCAAATTCCTGAAATCTGCGTCCAGGATGCTACAGCGATATCAAATCCTTGGCTTTCTCGGCTTCAAAATGACTGCTTACGCGCGCTAGAGGAAGACCACTATATAGACGTGATGGTAAGTGCGGTTACTCATTTCCTCGTATTGCCATTCTCATGTGTTATACAAATGAGCACGCTTATTAAGGCTGACCCCCCTTTAGGCCAGGGTCAATGACAGTTTCCCTGCAGAATGCAAAAGTAAGATATTCACGGAGCTGCAGTCCACCATCGTCGATGCTTGCAACGGCGCCTTTCCGGATATGAGTCCACCACACACGTTCGATACTTTTATCTTGACCTCCAGGGGGTACAATATCAACCGGGACCTCCTGCTAAACTCGGCGAATTTACATGCACAGAATGAGTGGCAAGGCCTCCAAGGGCACCATGACAAGGAACCTCACTTCCGGATGTCACAGATCCTTAATCTAAGCGATGGTCCCAAGCCTATTCTTGCTCTAATGTGTGAAGACAAAAAGATTTCCAAAGCCATCAAGGAAAGGTTTTGGAGTGAGATATCCAATTTGGAATCGGCAAACGAAGCGGAGTTTAGGGACTTCTGGGCAAGACATGTGGATGGGCGCACCCAAAACTACGCGGATGCCTTGGCCGCCATTGACGATCCAAAACTGCGAGACGAATTATTGAATGTCGTGTCTCGCTACGTTCAAAAAGACCTCCTTCCAGATTGGATATCAATGGCACGATCTCGAGGGTTGGTTCGTAGCCCAAGCGTCAGAAGGAGGATTCATGGGCTGGAGCGCACGTCCCAAAAGGATGAAGTGAAGATACGGGACCTCGTTTCGCCAACTGATCCCACACTTGTCGAGCAGTCAAAGCAAGCCCTAGTAAGCGATCTGGCCCGGAAGATGGAAAAATTGTCTGATGGACTACGACTCTTTCTCATACTGGTCCTAATTCTACTCGCTGAACACAAGCCAGGCGTTGTATACGCAACGGCTAAATTTGCACCTAGACTGCTGAAGCAACTCAAATCATCGTTGGACGTTGAGCAGTACGAGCAGCTACAGGAGTGGAAGGACCAAGTAAAAGCGGGGAAATTATCTCCCGGGGACATCGCCAGCATGAAGCGGCTGGCTGCAGCTGCAGCCGGGAATCATAGCTGAAGTCCCTTCATCGTATCTTTGATCCTTGTACAACGGCTATCTCGAGTCGATTTGGAATTGGGATGTCGGATTTGATTTGAGATTGACCTCGTGTAGACCTGGAGATGGGGCCAGGCAAACACGCGGCGGACGTTCAAGCTAAATCAAGGCGACCAGTCCTTCGGCGACTGGATTGCAAGATCCAATAATGATGTAGCAGTGTGGTGACACAACCTGAGGCAGGATGGAGAGTAGAAAAAGGAGAACGGACCTGAGTTTCCTCGGCCGAGATATGATTGGTGATAAGATCTCAGCGCTCCTTGTTAGGCTAGCGTCCTTGTTTGAAATGACAAGCATTGTCGCAACTTCCCCTCAACACCACAACTCCCCTCCCTCACAAGTTCCATCACCGATGGATTCTCACTCGAAGGCGTCAATATGGAATAATCGCGCACGAAGTCCGGGTCCGCGGCCGTGTAGCGTAAGGTTCAGCTTGTTCTGGTTCCGCAACTCGCAGCTGCAGGAATCGGCCTTGACCACGCACGCCATGTTCCTCCTCTACCCCGGGCCCTAGCCAGCCTGCGAAGTACCCCGGACTTGGCCGTATTGATGCTGCAATTGCCCGAGTTCGTGTTCTTCGCCTTTTTCTTTCAAGTCAACTTCGACTGTGTATGTCATCGTCTCAGAGTCAACTTTCAATTCTTCTCGAAGATGGGAGGGTGTGCTGTACGGCCGCCGTTGGGTGATGGCACCATCTACACGGCGTCGCGCAAGCTCAGCAACCGCAAAAGAGGATTAATAAAGTGATGCTCAGGAACCTCGCGGAGCAGACCGTGCTCGTCGGCATCTAGATTAACCCGCCTCGATCTCGCAGTGCCGCCGTTTCATTGGCGAGTCAAGGGGCTTTATGAAAGGTTTTCGGACTAGCGTGGATTGCGTGCTCTCCCAAGGCCATGATGCCTTCCGACACTGATTTCAAAGGCAATCCGACAACGGAGTTGGATTTATACTCCACTTGGGCGCTTCTTCTCGACGACTTCTACGCTGCCCATTCGTGCTCTGCCTCTCTTCTTTATAGAATTTGGTGCACAAGTTAAAGGAACCATTTACTCTCCATTTTAAAACTACCACCTCACGTGCCTTTGCCATTCTACTACCAAATTCACTCTTAATCACCATGTCATCGCCAGTACCGTACGAAGAGCCGTACGAGGACTCGCCCACCATCAACACCACAGAGTCAGGATATGCCTCAGGCAACTCTAGCCAAGACAGTCTTCCAGAAGTCTACTTCAGTAGACCACATCTGAAGTTTCTCAACTCACAATTGCAAAAGCTCGAGCCACAGGGTATGTTTTTCTGCCCCGTTTCATCCGAACACCGCCAGAACTCTGCTAATATACTTTAGATATTCTTCGTTGGTGCATCACGTCACTTCCTGGGCTCTATCAAACAACAGCCTTTGGGTTGACCGGCCTTGCCACCTTGGACATCTTGTCAAAACTCTCTGGACCGATTAAGCCTAATGTCGACCTCATCTTCATCGACACTTTGCATCACTTCGACGAGACACTTTCTCTAGTTGACCGCGTTCGGAGACGCTATGGTACCACCATCCACATCTACAAACCTGCTGGTACAGACACTGCCGCTGAGTTCTCTACAAAGCACGGCAACAAGCTCTGGGAGACCAATGAAGAGCTTTATGACTACGTTGTCAAACATGAGCCTGCGCAACGTGCCTATTCCGAGCTCCAAGTCAAAGCCGTGTTAACGGGCCGCCGTAGGAGCCAAGGTGGAAAGCGCGGAGATCTTGATATTATCGAAATTGATGACAACGGCCTCATCAAGATCAATCCGCTGGCGAACTGGTCATTTGCGCAAGTGCAAGAATACATCCATGCAAACAATGTTCCATTTAACGATTTGCTCAACAACGGCTACAAGAGTGTAGGCGACTGGCACTCGACTCAGCCCGTTTCCCAAGGAGAGGACGAGCGATCCGGGCGCTGGAAAGGGCGCGCCAAGACCGAGTGTGGTATCCACAATCCCAAATCAAGATACGCCCTATTCCTTCGCCAGCAAGCAATGAAGCAGCAGGAAGAGGAACTGAGCCAAGCCCTGCAGAAGGTGGCACTGGATGCATGAGCGGATGTCGTGCTATGGAGGCGTTCTGAGTGGTGATTTCTAGCATTTTAGCATTGGCGTTCAGGTCACATCGAGCAGTTCAAGAAAGCGTGAGCATTACTCCCCCGGCAAACGCTGTACATGTGCATATACGCACATGCAGTGTTCTCCCGGGGTAGAGATACAGAAGAATGGGTAAATAAACCCAATATGCAAGTATTCCAAAAAAAAAATATTTCAAGATTGGATAACCACTGTGACGGATCCAAAAGTAACAAGTGTTCGTGACACGTACTGGAGTTGGACATTTGGAATGCCCGGCATGAAGCATGTTGGGCTGAGACCACGAGACGTACAACTTGTGGAGGAACCTGACAAAACCCGCCCGTGCGATGGCGCAATCGCTATCCAAGAAATTGCCGATCAGACGTTGCTCCGGTTGAAGCTAGCCCGCCAGCCAGTGGCCGTAACGCTGTGCCGTGTGGTCGGAGGACCTTGGAGGGACCAGAGCCGCCGATGTCAGATAAATTCTTGTGAAGCCCACCTTGAAAATTTGCCCGCCACTATTCTCACCTCTTCTTTTTGATACTTTTCCTCCATTTTCCCCAGTCGCCCTCCTGCTGATCATTCTCAGGCTTCAGTGCTGAGTGACGTTGCAACAAACCCTTTGAACCCGTCATTCCACGACGCGTATACAACTTGCGACGACGAGCTTTGACGGCCCCACGATAGCCATTGGCCTCTAATTTCCCGCTCTTTAAAGCTCATTCATATTCCTCTTCCTCAATTTCCCCTCAAATCTTGAAAATATGGCGAACCCACCTCATGGTACGCTGACCAGCGCTGTCCTTCCGCCGCCAACAAAGGATTCAGGCTAACCAGTTGCTTAATAGGCGGTATCCTCAAAGACCTCATTGCGCGCGATGCGCCGCGTCGAAAAGAGCTCTCGGCAGAGGCCGAACAGCTCCCTGCCATCTTATTGTCCGAGAGACAGCTTTGTGACTTGGAGCTCATCTTGAACGGAGGATTTTCTCCTTTAGAAGGTCGGTGGTTCTCTTGTAACGCCGATGTCGCCCCTCCTGTTTGTGCTGTTTGCACCTCCCTCCCATCTTGGCTTCCCATCAGATTCACTACAATGTCATACAATATACCAACATGGATTGAAAGAGCAATGGCTGACTGGGAATTCCGTAGGGTTCATGAGCGAGAAGGACTATAACGGGTATGTCTCGACATTGTCCGTCCTCCCCTGTGGATCTAATAGATAATAGGGTCGTCTCAGACTGTCGGCTTGCAGACGGAAACCTGTTCAGCATACCTATTACACTTGACCTCTCGAAAGAGACGATAGAAGAGCTCGGAGTAAAACCCGGTGCTCGTGTCGCACTTCGCGACTTTCGTGACGATCGAAATTTGGCGATAATCACGGTTGAAGATGTCTATCTGCCAGATAAGTAAGTACTGGAGGATGCAAGACCCTACAGTCCCCTACTAATATCTTTGCAGACAAAAGGAGGCCAAAGAAGTATTTGGAGGCGATTCAGAGCACCCTGCGATCAAGTACCTCTTCAACACTGCTCGGGAATACTACGTCGGTGGCAAGATCGAAGCTATTGACAGGCTGATGCATTATGACTATGTTGCGCTGCGATGTATGTTCTAACAGCCCTCCTATTACTCTCACAATCGCTTATGCAATCTTCAGACTCTCCTGCTGAACTCCGCCTGCATTTTGACAAGCTTGGCTGGTCCAGGGTTGTTGCTTTCCAGACAAGGTATTGTTGACTAATATCATATTAAGAATATTCCTAACATTCACAGAAATCCTATGCATCGCGCACATCGAGAGCTCACTGTCCGTGCCGCTCGTGCTCGTCAAGCCAACGTTCTGATTCATCCTGTCGTGGGTCTTACTAAGCCAGGGGATATAGATCACTTTACTCGTGTACGCGTCTACCAAGCACTTCTCCCCCGTTACCCCAATGGAATGGCTGTTCTCGGTCTTCTTCCTCTTGCCATGCGTATGGGTGGTCCCCGAGAAGCAATCTGGCATGCCATTATCCGAAAGAATCATGGCGCGACGCACTTCATTGTCGGACGTGATCATGCCGGTCCAGGCAAGAACTCGAAGGGTGTTGACTTCTATGGTCCATACGACGCACAGCATGCAGTTGAGAAGTACAAGAGTGAGCTCGGTATTGAAGTGGTGCCCTTCCAACAGATGACGTACCTTCCGGATTCAGATGAGTATAAGCCAAAGGACGAGGTTGAGGCTGGTGTCAGGACGCTGGACATCTCTGGAACTGGTTCGTCTTCAAGCTAGACATTACTTTAATTAATCCACTCACTAACCTTTTATTAGAACTTCGCAAGCGACTCCGAACAGGTGCCGACATCCCAGAATGGTTTTCCTACCCCGAGGTCGTCCGCGTTCTGCGCGAGTCCCATCCGCCGCGCAGCAAGCAAGGCTTCACCGTCTTCTTGACTGGTTATCAAAATTCTGGCAAAGACGCAATCGCCCGCGCTCTCAACGTCACTCTTAACCAGCAAGGAGGACGGTCTGTCTCTCTTCTCCTCGGTGAGACCGTCCGCCACGAGCTAAGTTCAGAACTCGGATTCACGCGCACCGATCGTGACATAAACATTGGACGCATCGCCTTCGTCGCATCGGAACTCACCAAAGCCGGCGCGGCCGTGATCGCAGCACCAATCGCGCCATTTGAAGGCCCGCGCCACCAAGCGAGAGAAATTGTCGAGAAATATGGTAGCTTCTACCTTGTCCATGTTGCAACCCCGCTCGAGTACTGTGAGAAGACAGACAAGCGCGGTATATATGCCAAGGCGCGTAACGGCGAGATCAAAGGCTTCACGGGTGTGGATGACCCGTATGAGACGCCGGTAAAGGCGGATCTCACGGTCGACATCTCGAAGAGCAATGTCAGGACCATTGTGCACCAGATCGTGCTATTGCTCGAAGCGGAAGGCCTGTTAGAGCAGCTATAGGCGGGTAACGTCGGGGGTGGATTTCTATGGCGACAGGGAATACGGCTCACCAGAGGTTGGTTGCAGGATTATGTGATTATAGACAAGTGTTTGGCCTCCTTGCGATAGACTGGGCATCGAAGCTTGACTTGAGGTCAACTTAAGCTTATGCATCGGATCGACATAGGGATTACCGGACAGATGCACGAAAAGTAAAGATTTCCTTGTTTCTGACATCTGGGCTTGCGTGTGGCTGTTCGGTCAAATCTTAGCTTCCGGTTGGAAGATGTGCACGTGGGGACAAGGGAAGGAGGGGGATAGATGATGATCAATGCATGCAGGTTCAGTTGGTTCCCGATCACGCAATTCACCAGCGTCTTGCGTAATACGGGGGTTAGCGAGGGGGATGGAAGCTCAAGACTTTAGCATTCTTATGCAGTATCTCAGGCATCCTTAGTTGACACATCATATTGAGATTGTTTCCAGCAACCTGTGTTTAGCTACATGTTGTGTCCGCAACAAGGGGTGATGGGAGAACCAGCACGCAGCAATAGCGCGATATCGTTATAGCAGACGCTATACACGTTACGATATTTGTTGTTGATTGCTTATTGCTAGGGCCGAAACTCCATACACCTATCATCCGTCTAACAGCCACACGCTCGCATGCGAAATCTCCCATTCTTACTTCGAGCGCCCAACAACAACACGTCCTTGTGCTCTGACGTCTCACACAGGCTTCCTTAGCATTCGCATCGCTTGCAGCATCAGGTTTCCTCCTATTATTCGCTTCGATCTCAACGTTTACAATTCTAGAGGGGACGAGATTCTTCAGTCTCATTATGCTCTACGTGATCTGACGATAACACTGCTTTAGAAGACTTAGAAGATAGGTATCGATCCAAGGCTGTTCGGCAGCTCCGTAACATGGACCTCTTGTAAGACCGTGTAGCGGCGCTCAGGCAGGAGGAGAAAGCGTAGAGCGGTATGTGTGGCGGTATGTAGGTCAATGTCCAGGCACCTAGAGCTATAGCCTATAGAATATTCTTAAATACATCCTGACACACTGGTTTTACCTGCGGAATCAATCTTCCTTGAGGATATCCTCTTTGGAGGAGGGTAGAAGCAGAAAAAGTAATCTAGGTATATCCAGCCGCATTTATTGATGGAGAGAATGAAGCTATGTTCGTTGGGTGGAAAAAGATGTTCTGTATAAGTTATAGTATATGTAGACTTCTTCTCCCGCTGTTAGAGGTCGATGAGCTGAGCACGCTGGTGTCAGACAAAGTTGCTGTGATGTCAACCTGCGGTAACCAAGTACCCTTTGATATCTTGCTTCAGCTCGACCTCTCATCTAAGTGATGGAAGTAGTCCGGCAATGAAGGAACCCATGGCGTAGCAGACTATATACGGTAAATTGAGGTCGTTTTTTGGGAAGGTGAGGCGAGGGGTTCGTATAATCAGGGTAGTGCTATTATCAATAATTTGTATGGGCAAGATATATGTGAAGAGAGGTGCTAGATAAGGTGGAGGGAAAGGAGTGCAGCTCTTACTCGCCTTATTCTTTCTAATGTTTATTATTAGGCATGGGCGAGTGCTTATTTAGTGTCAAGTGAAAGACTCATGGCACTTTCAAAGCTATTATTGAGAGAAGTTGAGGACGACCTCTCGCCCCATGTGGCAATCGTTCTTGAACTTCTCTTCGGCAAGTGAAAGAGCAGAATGCTCCTGAACTCTCCCTGGCTCGGCCAGATATCTTTCCACGGTCTATATCCAGGATTCTTATCCAAATAAGATAGAGCTGAGAATGCAGCAAGCTTCCTATGTATAGTTGCGTGCTCCAGCCGATTGAGAAGGGTCAAATATCATTGAGTTGTAACGCAAGAAGTCGAGTTAACTTTATTTCTTAAGGATATGATACATGAATTAGAACTATGAATCAAATTGGAATGAACATTAGGCAGACTCCACTAGGCAGGAAACGTCCAGGTAAAGAAAAAGGAGAGTAGTACTGAGCTCCCAACACTACTCTACCCATCCCATCACACGAACCCAAGAGGAGCAACGACACCGATGGCAATCCCCCATTTCCTTGGGCTCATTCAATGAAGTGGATATATTCCTCTCCAGACTCCAAGCTGCATCCATATTTAAGTCAATATTCAAAGTCAAGCAGAACAAGGCAGGATCACTAGGATAAGGAAATATGTGGCGCAGAGGTGTGGCTGAAATTGTTATCGATTAGCCCAAGCTCCTGTCGGACCATCGTTGGATGATGCGGGACTTCAACTCATTTCTCGTCTCTACTTCCAATCCCGGTCTGCCCTTTAATACTGCTTCAATGGCTGTACCACTCACCCGGCCTGTCTTAGGCATCGTGTGTGCATCGGCAAGGAATGTCTCCCACTCTCTCCTCCTTCCCGCCAGCTACAGATGCTTCTCTGTGCTGAACCGACCGCCTCCAAACTATGATGGCCACATACCGTTGACGAGGCTCGAAAGACTTGGGTTAGCCATAGGATCTGGACTAGGGAGCTTCCTCAATCCTCGAAGAGGCGGTATAGCACCAATAGCTTTGCTTACTCCATCTCCAACTTCGTCCACTAAATCAATTCTTAGACCTCATAGCGGCCTTCGGAGAGGCCACCGCCCAGCCATTCTTCATAAACGCCTTGCGCAATCGGATGCTTTCACATCCAACCGGCCGCCGCATTCTTCGAGATCGTCCTCGTCTAACTTCAACGTCGCTCGACATACCCCGCCTTCGCTCCTTGCCCCCAAATACGCTCGGCTTCGCGTATGCCTCGTGGCTAGACCGTGAAGGCGTGTCTCCAGATACGCGCGCACATGTGCGCTACATAGATGATGAGGAGTGCGCATACGTAATGCAGCGCTACCGAGAGTGCCACGACTTCTACCACGCCCTGGTCGGGCTCCCAGTATTTAGGGAGGGCGAGGTCGCATTGAAGGCTTTTGAGTTTGCCAACATGGGCCTACCCATGACGGGATTAGCCGTATTCAGTGCTCTGACCTTGAAGAAGGCCGAATGGAGGAGGTTTTGGGAAATCTATGGACCATGGGCTGTACGCAATGGAGTAAAGAGTGATGATGTCATCAACGTGTACTGGGAAGAGGAGCTGGAAACAGATGTGGATGAGCTCAGGATGAGATTAGGTATTGAGAAGCCTCCAGATCTACGATCTATTCGGAAGATGGAGAGGGAGGCTAGGAAAAGGGAGAAGGGGGCCAAGGAAAGAGCCGCAGCAGGAGCTATGTGATATTGTAAAGGTGTAGCGTATTGTAAGTCTACATGTAAGCGAATCTGCTTCTCTTCACTGCATCGTGCATATTACCATCGATTTCTTAGTATAATACTTACATCTGTGTATTGTGCGAGTTAGTCCTGACAATCCAACGTTCTATCCTCAGTCCTGAATCCACTGGAGTCAAATGTCATCAACACTTCAGAGGGGCAGTACTTACCCAATACTCTACTAATCTGAATGCTATATACTATCGTTGGCATAGATTGAGGCCGGTAGCACATTCCCTCGCTTCTCCCTCTTTTCATTCTCTGCCAGGCCTCATTCCCCATGTAGACTTAGCTTCTAGTTTCTCGCATTAGATTCCATCAAGATCCTAGCTGCATCTATAACTTCTTAGAGTCATTTCTCTAATTCTGGAATCGGGCCCACAGGGGGTTGCTCAGCAATCGCCTGGTTCACTACCTGCACAAATGTCCTCCAACGAATCTCTGGCCCTGATGTTCTGGAAGCGCGGTCGTCACTGGGTTAGCTGTATCATCACTATTAGTATACAGGAGCCGGAATCACGAGCGTCAGTAGATACGAAAATAAAGCGATCTATCAGGTATGTTGTCTTCACGTGTGATGGATCCTTGGTCGATCCCCAATTTCCGTATTTGTGGTCCTGGGTTCCAGTGTTCTTGCCCTTGCTCTTGTTGTGGTTGTTATTGCGGTTATTTTTGTCGGTGCCGATGGCATTACTGTAGCATTAAGATGAAGCAGTGCTGTGGGTTGGGTTTCCTGTGTGGTTCTTAAGTGAATCCTCACAAATTCATAGGAAATCAGGAATGAGAAGAACATCTTTAGATTTTTGAAAGAATGAACGCGACCAAGTATACTTATAGAAGGGTTTGAGGAACGGTGACAAGGTAAATACAGTGCTCGAGCTTCAGGAAGACCAAGAATGGAAATACTGCATGGCGGGATGAACTGATCTAATGGCCCAGACACTCCGAGAGCTGAAGGGGAGAAAGTGATGATATGCTGTAGTTAGTGGATATAATGAAACTCAAATAACCACTTGTTCCAAACCATCACCTCTCATGAATCTTGATCAAGGAGTTACTGGAACGAGAATGGGTGGGAAAGCACGGAATAAACCGAACTCCTCATTCACGGCATTCTAAGATGCATGATTAGTGGTCTATCCATTTCAGCACTATTCATGAAGTCGAGAGAAATTCTCTGCCAGAAATATTATTACCTTGTTGCTGAACGATTTATAAAATGTATAAAATACGAAACAAACTCCTTTTTGATAATCCGAATTATCAACTCCAAATAAGACCCCAAGCAATGCCTACTTAAGATTCTAGCTACTAAAAAAATTCCATCCAATACCCCACTATTGTTTTCAGGAATGCCGACAATCACCCTTTGGTACATTCAAGCTTCCCGTAGCAACCGCATAGCATGGCTGCGCAAGGAGCTATGCCTCAACTATTGCTTTAGGAAGAAGCAAGCGATGAAGGCTCCGAAAACATTCAAAGGTAGCCATGGGAATCCACTTGTGAAAGCTCCGATGCTATGAGATGGCGAATCGACTGATGAAAGTGGTGCGATTACTCGCTGAGCACAGCTGGCACTGAAATCGTAAGCGACGATCCTGGGATGGGAAACCAGAGCAGTGACGAGCGTTGCGGCTGAGAAACTAGGTGAAGCCTATGACGGGGAAAATCGTCTGATTGCCAACGAGCTCTCATAGCGCATCAATGCCCTTCTGTGGCTTCATGCGTCGGATGCTGCCTTTCTCATATGTACACTTGCCATCACCTATACACACTAGAAATTCCCCCTACATGGAAAGAATAATGGTGGTCTTGAAGCGATGGAGGATTGTTTATCAGTCAACATACAAAATAATCTCGATTAGCTAGATACCGAGTTGTCCTTAAGCAGGAGGGTTTCTCTGTGGGGGTAAAGTCACAGTGGCAGATGCGGTAATACTATTCTCTATCCATATTTTACGGACGGATTTGGAGTAACAAGGAAAGAGTAGGCCAAGTGTCGAGAAATGATTAAAGCTTATGAGGACGTATCGGAAGATAGTGGAGAGGACAAGACATAAGATCGGGTAGCGCCACAGCAGATATCAAGCGATAATGTTACTAGCCAACGAGCGAATATGCAATTGCAATAGAAGACTAGGTCGTAGCATCCGTGAATAATATCATACATTTACTTATATATCATAAAAAGAGAGACACATTAAATTGTGCGGGCCGTAACGACTAGGTTCGGTAGTGCCAGCCTAACCAATCCTTTGCCGAATCTTACGAATTGCTTGAGTTACCAGACTTTCGGGCCAAACGGCTGACCTGGTGGGACTGGAGCCTGGATGGCGGTATCCGTGGCATCCATAGTGCCAGAAATTACGGTATTACCCCTACAGAATGTTAGTAACTTTTTTTTTCCAAAAAAAAAGGATCGATATCGGCAGGCTTACCACCACTGAGGCGCATCAATCCTATTAAGAGTAAAGATGAAGAAGATCGTCAAGGTACTAATTGCCAAGCCAGTGTCCAATCCGACAGCAGTGATATAATTCAATCTTGACCACCACTTGAAATTCCTTGTCCGGATATATTTCTGGAAGAACCAACCGACAATGCCCCAGGTTAAATAGTTCAAGGGACTGGCAGGTGGAATAGCCTGCCCGCCACCAAAGATTAGAGGAGTCATTGCATACTTCAATTTGGGAATCTTTTTAGCTGCATAATGAACGATAATAGTTGCAAGAATTCCGGCGGGGAAGAACCAAAGCAAGCTAGAATATATTTGCCCAGGGCTGAACATTCGCTGAGGTCCGAGGAGACCCCATATGATTGATGCTGAAAAGAAAACTCGGCCGCCAGGGCATGAAAAGCGTTGCTTTTGTTCGAGAGTACAGACGCCTTCGATATTCTCGAGGGCAAAATTGAGCATGCCTGCATTCTTCGTCAGTACTTGGTGTACCAAACCCATAATGCTGAAATCCTTACCAATCTGGACAAAGGCAGAAAGGGTCGTCGCAACGACCTGTGCGGTGAACATCGTGCGTGGAGGAATCTTCATATAATGACCACTAGCAGGAATATTAGTCCATAGTATTCGACGCTTTTGAAAAAAGAGAGACCCACAATTTCAGATCCCCAACAAAGCCTAAAGCACTGCTGGCGGTAATGTATCCGTAGGTCTTGAACATCATTAATGCTAATGGCTTTCCGGGCTGCATATAGCCCATGATAAACTCGGTAATAACATTCAACCCAATTTGCAAATTGGTGATAGCTTGGATGATGCCAATCGGAAGCGACATTACCGTAGCGAAGGCAATTGAAATAAGAAAAGCCCACCATGCGAACTCGGTCGGATATGCCAGAACGACAATCAATGACAACACAAACATGAGGAGGAATAGAATACCAAACCACCACTCAGGCACTTCGGGGTATTTCTCCATCATCTTCATGTGAACGTCTTTGTCCTCGGTCTTCGCCTGGCGGAACTGGCTGACAATTACTTGCCCGTAATTTAGATAGGTATATACAACAACAGATGCGATAGTTGCAAATGAGAGCCCGTAAGTGAGGGCAAAGGTAGTCGACATAAACAATGGAGAGTAATTCTTGTATGCCGCCTCATTGAGGGTAAGTTGAGGTGTCGCGACAAGACTTACGTTGTAATTCTGGCCCATGTTGTCGTACGTCGTGGAGTCGCTATAGGAATAATTAGCGATCCCAGACATGATTTCATATCTAATGCTCACGCACCTCATGGGCAAGAACTTAGCAAACCAAGCACCACTGTAATGGATCCCAAGAGATCCGAGGACGTAGAAGAAGAATACCCCGAGTAACGTGTTCCCAATCGCATGCCACGGTGGAATCATAGGATTTCCGGTGAATCCCGTAATCGTGGTCCAGTCCAAAGTCAGGGGAAGGAGGCCTAGTCCTGATGTGCCCCCGAAAACCTGATTGATCACGGGGTTCTGGGGATAGATCCATGTGATGAAAACGAAGATGCTAAGAAACTGCGCGAAGAAACCCGGAATCCAGTAGTACAAATATGAAACCAAGAACACTATACCAAACCATTTGTACCTTGACATATTACCTCCAAAGACCGTGGGGTCTAGGTCTTCATCTTTCTCATGCATAGCATGAAGGAGACTGACACTGACAAGGTTGCTGGGCCAAATCATTGCCGCAGGGTAGACAAGGAAACGTCTGAGGATGCCAGCGATGCCATATCCAATGCTTGAGGTGGTAATTGTTAGAAGTAGTTGGAAGGCTATGCCGAAGTCTTGTTTGTAGAACACCTTCTGCGCAAGTATAATATCGGTTGCATACGCAGTGCCGAACGACACATTTGCCATTACAACAATAATAGCATGTTCCTTCACATTAAATGGGCCGGGGTTCAGGTTCCAGGTGATCCCAAATGTCTGGTGTTGTTTGGATGGCACGAATCTCGCCCAGGTGTTCCCGAGAACATAGGCCATAAGCTAGATGAGATTAGCGTTGGGTATCAAAAGAAAAGACGACTATAGACGAACCTGAGCAACAATGACCCCCAGACCAATTACCTAACATTGGAGGTACGACGTTAGTACAACTCTTTTTAGTAAGTGGGTTTGGCACTACTACTGCCTTATCTATGTAGGGTACTTTGAACCGTGACAAGAGTAGCATCCCAGACTTTGCAGCAGAGCATGGAGTTTGTGTTCCAGTGTTACGTACAGGGTTCCTGAGTGAAAATAGCTGAAGGAATGTTAGCAGCTGGAGCAGTGGTAAGCTTAGTGCAACATACTGTGTTGACGGCTGCACCGAAGACGGAGAGAATGAGTCCGAGCACCCATGCCCGAATAGTATTTGCTGGGAGATCTTGGTCGTAATTGGGGACAGCGGCTCGCACTTCGGCATATGGCGAGTCCTCCTTCTCCTCTTCTGTATCCATAGAGGCAGTCTTCTTGATGATGGATTCTTCGTCTTTGTCCGGGCTGTAGACGGATGAGTAGCCATCGTCGAGATTAAGGTCCCAAGTAGTCAGACGTTTTTGAAGGTATGTCAATGGTGTATCGTCCAGGGAGTGTATGGTGCTTGACTTGGAGAACCTCTTCTCATCAATTGCGCTAGACTTGGACCAGCTCTTCTCATCCATTATGCCTCTGAAACCCAATAACAACCCGTATTAAAGAATGTGGGTCGAGGTACCAGACCACAACACCACAAGTAGGAGAGAAAGGATATGTACAAGTGAAAGAAAGAAACGAGCGCTGCTCCTGAAAAGAGAAGGTAAACGAAAGTGAGGACGAGACTCTTGATCAATCAACCATGGTGAACTCGAAGGTGAGGGGTATCTCTTCGGTGTTCCCAGCTCCGCGTAACAAGGTCCAAGTTTGCTTCATCCTTATCAGTAACTTCTCAGGATAGACAACCCATCCTCTCCTGATTCGTCCATCATACATGATCGCGAAGGTGCGACGAGACAGGAAAGCATACCTGTCGATCCGAAGACGTCCTTCCGCATACTGATGCTGACCGAAAACATCATCCAGCAGAGCTATGGTCACCATCCTGGTGAATTGTAGTTTCAACTGGATAGTATTGTGCTTGTCGCTTGTTGTCCATTTGCGTGGCTGAAACAGGATGAGGTTCAAAAGTCTGGATCCAATTGTGGCAAGAATCAATACGGCGGATGCTGCACTATGCAACCGTGGACCTTGCATTGATCTCTGCCGAAACCATAACCCAGAGCATCCTTGGTTCGAAAAACGTGCCTGGGATTGGACAAAGGTCAACATCTTGGGAGCCAGGTCCCCGAGAAGCGCTAAAAGAACAACGCGGCTGAATCTTCTGGCATCTCGAAACAATTATCAGGGTTGCAGTGAATATATTTTTTCTCTCTGTTTACGATAATGGTTCGAGTAAATGCAGGCTGAAAACGTCTGGTGGTTGTAGTGAGTGCGCCCTGCAGATACTGGTGGCTTTCATGCGATACGTTTGCATCGGCGTAAAGGTACAGATGTCCGTGGTAGACGGATACTTGATTCGCTGACAGGGTTTAAGGTCGTTTAGGCCATATCTAGAAGGTTCGGCTTGACGGATGGTTTTCAGGTCATCCAAGTCTGGCCAGAGGGGTTTGACGGTTGAGTAGATGCCCGGCAGACATCAGTTCTTTAAGTCACATTCGAATCTATATTTGCTCTCAAAAAAGGTGAGCGAGTGACTCATTCCTTACTTCATTCTCTTTTAATGTTCATCCCTGGTACTCCTCAGTTGTAATGGCACCACCGATATGGAGTTGATGCATAACTGGTATGGGTCGTGGGGTGTAAGAGACGTGCAGAACGCGTTTCAAGATTTATGTTAGCCTATGGGTAACCCTGGGGGCTGGCGCGCCTCTTCTGGGAAGAATTATGCTTAATGATCCTTAGCAGATAAGCGATTTTGAAAACCCGGATTTCGCAATGGTGTTCCATGACCTGATTGGAGGCGGCTGGCACACTGTACGCGTTGAACAATGCAAGGGGATCTACGGCAAAGGATGAGGACGAGTTGGAACCAATTGAAAAAGAGCTTGCGAACTGAATGCCTTCTGTTCATAATCGTTCAATGAAAGCAAATGTGGAGTGGGCGACTTGAGAGAGGTTTGACAGAATAACCGTGTTATCGACAACGCACTCTGAACACTCCAACCTGGGAAGGCTTCAAGGCTGTTTCATGCAGGTTTCTATGTTTGCAAACCGAGAACTGGCTTCCTTTTCGACAAATCTCAAAGGTCAAACTACCACGGCATGATCCTCGTCCGCCCCGGTCGGTGTTTCACTCCTTATCGCATTTGATGCAGAACACAAAAAGACTGCTTTCAGGGCAAAGGCATGCGTTCTTTTTAGCTCTCTTTAATTCCCCAAGAGACTTGCAAACATCTTCTCTTGTGGGGTGAGCCAATATTGGAGTTCGAGCGGAGATTATCGGAGCCGCCAGCCAAGCCTGGTTCGAAAAGCCTCTTACCTTTCCCTTTTGGGTGATCTTTACGGTCAGGAGTTTTCTCGTCGCACCTGCCATTTTGATCGCCCAATAGTAGGGCTAGGACAAGATTACTCCCTGTCATTAAAAACCAATAGTATTAATAACTGTTCTTAGGTAGCTCTAACAGCCAATGAAGATCCTCCAGATGGAGATATATCGGCCCGGGCGAGTCTCAACCCACCGACATGGCGCAACTCATCCCCCCATTTACTATATGTAGGAACTTGTAAATCCCGACACCTCTCGGGGAAGTCATGGCATTTGATCAGATCAGGCTCACGCATCGATTTTCAGATAGTGACCAGCTTTATTCTGTTGCGGTCCTTTGCCTTGACGCCAGGAACATCGGTAGTTTAAATACTCGGGGCACCTCCGCTGAGAACTCATACAATCACCCTACGGTAGTCTTCACTCCTTATAGACAGTCAGAATGTCTTCTGCTTTAACTACTTTCGTCTTCGTCCCGGGAGCCTTTTGCCCAGGTTCCTACTATCACAAAGTCATCGCAAAGCTTGAGGCACTTGGGTACGAAGCTGTCGCTTTAGACCTCCCCTCAGTCGGTCCAAAGCCTGAATCCAAACCAGCAACCGGATATGAAGACGCTAGCTATGTGAACTCCAAGGTTACCGAACTCCTCAACCAAGGCAAGAATGTCGTCCTCGGTGCAAACTCATACGGCGGTTTCGTAGTTACCGAAGCATCCAAAGGCTTGAGCAAGGCAGAAAGAGAAGCTGCGGGCAAACCAGGTGCTTTGATACATCTTGTTCTGATGGGGTCTTTCCTTACGCCAGTGGGGAAGACTGTCAAGGATATGCTTACGGGTCATATCCCCCTCGATTTCGAAAGCGAGGTGGAATATATCGACTCGGGCCCTGCTGAAATTGCCGGCTATGCCTTCTTTGGGAGTCTTCCTCAGGAAGACCAGATGATTTATGGGGGCCAGACCAAACCCCATAGTGCCGCGAGTTTTAGAGACCCTCTCACCCATGCTGGGTACGAACATATCCCGACAACGGTGGTGATTGGAGAGCTAGATCGGGCTTACTCTCCAAAGGTGCAGCATGAGAATGTGGATGCGGTTATTGCAAAAGGTGTAGGCCAGGTCAAGAAGGTCGTACTTCCGGTGGATCATATCCCGATGTTGGCTCACCCAGACGAGATTGTCAGTGTCTTGCTAGGGGCAGCCACATGAGCTGAACGAACAAAATCGGCCTATCGGCTCTGAAAACTGGACAAATAAAGGAGAAGATGGGTCAACACTTTAAGCGACAAGTTGTATATTTGTGGCATTGGAGTAACAAATGCAAAAGGACAAACTACTGCGTAAGGGAAGCAAGACGGAGACGATAGCAAGCGGTTCGAAGACACTCCCTACCTATAGATGCATCAAAATATTTATATCAAGATGATCCTTCCTTGCGTTCTAGTACTCACTTCTTTAGGGTCCCTGCATATAGCCCCCGGCCTTACACTCTTGCGTCTCCAGTGCCAGCTGGGAAGATATCATCTGTCCCCAAGTTCGATACCACTCAGCTAGTTCTGGTCTCCAACCTCGGCATGGCATTACATGATACACCATTCTAATAGCTGCTAGGAGGATCTATGAGAAATTGGATTTGGCAGCAGTCTCCAATCTATCGAGACCTCGAATCATCTTTAATCTCTGACCTTTGATCCACTCATGGAATCCGAACCCCCTCTCCTCACGAATGCGTATCTCATACGTAATGAGTATCACAGCATCCAAGATAAGGTTCGCAAGCGCACAGAGTGCGCATTTGCTAACGTTAATGGTGCGCATCTTCCTTCCGGGAAATGGAAGTAAAGTCTTCGAGATATTTGCAAATCACCCGGGAATCGAATATGCCGTCTATTAAGTTGTCGCTCATAACACACGGGATCTTAGCAATTGGGTTGTGAGCAGTCACCCCTTCGTTGGTTATCGCTGTGTCCTAAGTAAGGTATCGGGAATACGACCACTTTCTGGACGGTGATTGCTTGCCCGAGACCGAGTTCGAGCGCTGGGGTGAGCACTTTCCTGGCATAGGGCGAGGCATGATGGTAGATTAACACCATGTTGGGGATTCTGGAGGTCTTCTAGACATTCTGTGATGATGGTTTGTCGCGACTGCACATTTCCAATGCTGAAGTTCCATCGTGGGGACGTGAGGATGAAGTCTTGTGGAATTTCGAATGACTAGCACATTGAGCTGGTCTTACTAGTGTTCCTCAATCCTTGCGGCTAGAGCCATAGTTGGAGACATATACACCCACTTCACCACCTCGGCACAGCTTCAGAGGATCTTCGAAGATGAATTTGGTTGGGTGATTCAATGCAATCATCACTCGCCCCTTCGTCGCATCTCCACTCAATCTTGTCCGTCTAGTTCCAGAAACCTTCGTAGCATTGACGGCATCCATATGCCTCCTGATATATATGCCCCTGGAAGACATGATTTCCTATATGGATCCAGGACTAGCCATTCGAATGGCCACACGCAGTTGATATTTGCAATCATTGGTCCCTCTGTTCCTAAAACCCACCTTCTTCATTGGCCACCGAACTACCCTCAGCAATCTCAAACGCATAACGCAAGTGAGCCATCCCAGAAGGCCTTACTTCTTCTATCAATTCAACTGTCCTAAGTTCGATACCTATTCACTTTTGCCTATCATCTAGAAACTGCTCATCCCGGTGTAGTCCGCTCGCTGTCTAATGCGGTATAAGACGGACAATTTGAATAGATACGCCACTTTATATGGTCCATTTCTCTAGGAGCTTCGGGCGCTAGCATCAGGGGTGGATGGCGGAGTGAGTTTGTTGTTTAGAAAACGTTCTTCGAGTTTTGGATGATGCAACGCGAGGCCGCAGTGCATGTCCCGTCCCATTGACAACATAGGGATTTTGCGATAGTTCACATCTAAGGCTACTAGATCGCATGTATACCGGCCGCATACTTTCTTCGTAGTATATGTCGCGAAGCCGTGGATACTATAGTACTCGGTGAGAGAAATCGAGGGACCATAGTGAAATAGAGTAGGGTTCTCTGCGGGCGATATTATGATTACCAAGACTATTTTACAATTGTAGCAATAGAGAGCTAACGGACTGACGGTTTCTCTTCTGATGTACCAACCTTGAGATAAATATCCACATTTACAAGTTTGGGTTTTGCCCACACGCTGTGTTTTACCTAGTAGTTAGATCCCATTTCTGGCGTCGACCCATTAGAGCGAAGTGGAGGCGGCCCTCTTACAATGGAAGGGATCAAATATATGCTCTCATTAGGCTGAAGGTTCCTCATATAAGTTGTTCTCTCTGAGTGTAGACCTCAAACAAAGTGCGGCATTTTTACTCGTAGGGTTTCAACTGTTCTTCCGTCCACTCCCACAACTTTCCTGCCAAGTCCTCATCCTTCATGTACCCACTGGCCGGTACAAGATCCCCAACTGGTTGATACATACTTCCAGACTCGATCTCCTTCTCCGCGATTGTAGCAGCCCAACACGTATTGTAGGCTCCTTCATGCAAATCAATTGTCTTCCACCATGTCACCAACCAGATGAACAAACGATCAAACCACCCCAAGTTCGATATTAATCCTGTCCACACTGTTCCTGGCTCCAAAGAAACCACTGTAAGGGAGGGGTATCTCATCGCCAGTTCTGATGCGTAGAGAATGTTCGCGAGCTTGCTTTGGCCATAGCGCATCCATTTGGCAGTCATTCCAAAAAAATCTTGTGAAGTTCGCAGGGATTCAAATGCGATGCCTCCCGGGGTCGTGTGGGAGGCACCCAAGGAAGCAAGAGATACAATACGTGCCTCTGCGTGCTGTTGCGAGGTCTGCTCCAGGATGGGGAGAAGATGTTTAATGAAGAGTGCATGCCCGACATGATTAATGCCGAATTGAGCCTCGTAGCCATCTTTGGTAAGACTGGGAGGTAGTGCCATTACTCCAGCGTTGCATATCAAGACATCCAGTCGGTCCTCGTTGACAAGGAAATGCTTCGCGGCTTGAGACACTGATGTCAGGGATGACTGGTCGCAGTTGAGAAAGGTTATTTTCGAAGGAGATATTGCTTCGATCTCGGATATCAAACTTGAGGCATTGGCGGTGTTGCGTCCAGTGAAGTAGATGTGCTTCGGATTGTGTTTACAGAGGTTAAGAACAGCTTGCCTACCTAATCCAGCAGTACCTGATAGCAACATTAGCATTTCGGTTCAGGATTTTCAGGACCGTAGCCCCTACCGCCTGTGATGAAGAACACTTTGCCCGATAGATCAGGAATATCTCGATCCGGGTTATAGTGAGCTCTAGGGAGCATGGTAAACGTGACCCTTGAAACAGGGGCCCGGGTGCAAGAAGGTATGGATTTAAGGCTTTGCTGTGAGGCCGCTATAATTTTTTAGCAATGCGTGCTAAGTAGATATGCGTTGGTGTTCGGAGGTGTGCAGTGTCGCAGTGTCGCAGTGTCGCAGTGTCGCAGTGAATTGATTTGACCTATCCGAGACTGGGCTTAGTAGCACGTGACACAAGTCATGGCTTCGTACTAACATTCGTAGCACCACACCCAAAGGCGATACCTACTAATCAGTCAGCTAAGATATTTAGCAGTTCTCGAGTAAGTCGTGGAAAGGGAAGAGAGCGTTTCGGAATAAGCGAGCTTTAATATTCATGGTCCGAGCGTCAGAGTGGACAAAACTTCAATCGTGATGATTTTAGCAGAATTCTTCTCTCACACGATCCGCGTTTCAACACACATGGACAGTCTCATGGATACTACCGCCCAACACAAACAGCTTTTAACCCATCGGCATCTCCATCATCCGTTCAACAGCTGACACAATGGCTTTTACCCCACGGCGGGCGACTCTGGGCTGGGCAGCAATACTAGCGTTATTTCTGATCTTCTTTTGGTATTCACGAGATGCGCAAACACAACCTTATCGCGCGCACGGCGATGGACATAGCCAAGGCGCAGGATATTCAACCCCTATTGGCAAGAGATTGGCTTTCTATCCTGGGACAGTCAAACCGCCAGGATCCAATTATTCCCGAATACTAGTGCTTCCAAAATTGAAGAGCGAACACGTTGGTTGGATATCTGAAGAGCTTCCCGGCTTGCAAACCGCCATCTACGAAGTTGATAATCCCTCTGCGGATTATCGTGTACCAAGGAATAAGGGCCACGAGGCTATGGTTTACCTAACATACATAATCGATCACTATGAAGACCTGCCGGACACCATAATCTTTATTCATCCCCACAAATCAGCATGGCACAATAATATCTTACTCGACTTGGATACCCCAACCACCATTAAAAGGCTGCAGGATGATCGAGTGGGCAGACAGGGTTATATGAACCTCCGTTGCCATCTCGATCCAGGTTGTCCGAATTGGATCCACCTCGATAGAGCCGAGGTCGATTTCGACCAGCACATCAAGCCCGAAGAGCAGCACTTCAGCTTCGAGCTGTTTCAAGCCATGTTCCCCGGTCATAGACCTCCCCCTGTCCTATCTCAAGCATGTTGTGCTCAATTCGCTGTCAGTGGAGAACGGGTTAGAGACAACCCAAAAAATCTTTACGAACATCTCCAGATATGGCTGCTTGAGACGTCCTTCGAGGACAAAGACTCTGGTCGTATCTTCGAGTACATGTGGCAATATCTCTTCACCAGAAACGCCGAATATTGTCCCGCCATGAACTCGTGCTACTGTGATGGCTATGGGATCTGCTTCGGCAGTGCGACAAAGCTAGATGACTGGCTCAAGAAGCTGAAGAAGAGAGAGTTGGCGGACCAAGAACTAGACGGGGCGCAGAAGGAAAAGAAGGACAAAGCTACTCTCGATGAGATAAGCAATCGGGTTTGGAGGCTGAACCAAGAGCTAAACGCAGAGAAAGCGGAAGCTTACAAGAAGGGCGAGGATGAGAAATATCGAGCTCTTGAACGCGAAAGAGTACCAAATTATCCCTGATGAAGTATTCCTCGGTTCAAGGGTTCAAAGATATTATCCGATTGCAACAGCAAAGCCTAATCATGAGAGCATTCCAAAGTTAGGGGCCGCTACGGGACCGTTCCCGCACTCGGCTCTACAGCCCATTCTGCCATGTTTATAAGGTGCACCTTGAATTGCGAGGCAGGGTGTTGCGGTCGCGCTTGGGGAGGTGAGGCTGGAGCTTACCCAATGGAATTTTTGCGATGTGGCTAAGTGGGTGACTGTAGTATTGTATTGGTATGCATCGAACCCGGGATTTCCAAAGAAGAATAAGTCCATTTTCAGTTTTACTTCGCAGCGTTGAATGCTGCTTCGCCTCGGCGCACAGGCTACGTGTGGCACAACTTTTCACCTGCATATCATGTGCATATTTTCCTCAGAGCCCATTAATACGTACATACAACCTCAAGAATCTGCTGTGCATGCTGCAGCAATTTTATGGTCGCCTGAATAAGCCCTAGACAATAATCGTCAGCCAGACCCATCACTGTGCTCTGAACTACCCTGCACAGCCACACGGTGGCTTTGAGTCACCAGCGAGTTGCGATATTTGAAGACCCGGATATGCGATCAGTCCAGAAAGCTATTTAGTTTTCAAACAACGGAATGGACTCCTTGAACGTGTTGATGGATCCGGCGGCCGTGCAATCTCCGGTAGACTTGAAGAAGCGGCAAGTGGCCTTCATATCAGACCATATCGATATCACGCCCTCCCAATTCTCAGACAACTACGCGAAAACGCTCGACAATGCAATCCACCGTGGAGACAGTTTTGTCCTCTAGAATGCTGGGGGTGTGGACACTCTTGCACTAACCTACCTGCGCTCTCACCATATCGACCCATCTCGAATCACGCTGTACATGCACTCTCCGCGGACTAATCGCAAGCTCAATGCTACTCAAATCCGTATCAACAAAATGAGGCTAGGTCCTGAGGTAGAAGAGAAGTACCGGAAGGAAGGTTACAATGTCAAGGTCATCGAGGGTTATCATACTGAACGGGATGCTGCAATGACCGAGGACAGTAGTTACGACATCCTATGGGTGAGGGGAGAGGCAGAGACTAGGGTCCTCTACGACACCAAGTACAGACCTGGACGAGTGAGCGGGACTCAGAAGAATAAAGACAGAAGGCTTCTGAAGGAGAAGGAACAAGGTCACTTGAGTGTAACGTAGCCGTGAACGAACCGAGCAAGTTTCGGGCGCCTCAGTATACCGTTCCTGGGAAATTACTGAACTAGAATAACACAGTTTCAGGGGGGCCAGACAAGTCAGAGTACTGCAGACGATTGCGAATATCCGGGTGTCTCAACGACATCCCATTTTGTCGCGAAGAATCACGCTTGAACCCCATAATCCTCGTTTGTTCTTCATCCATTTCTAGGACCACGCTGCGAAGAACATCATCAATAATGATTCCTAGCCAGACTTAGTTTAGACGGTACTTTCGGTCAGGTAGTCCAATCAGAAGTACTACTTACCGTCCTTCCTCATTGGATGATACGAGGATTGACGCTTTGGCTAAATGCGGCTAGCACCGGACAAGCCTAACAAATCTTGGATCAGCAGGCCAGACCCTTTAACGTTCAATCAACCTTCTGTTTCTTCTCATTACCTTCAAACAACTACTTCCGCTCACCCTCCAAATTTCTTTTTCCGACGGAGTGCCTCTTCTCCTTCCTCTTAAAGATTTGTTCAATGCTCAGGTCAGGCGGTTTTCTTGCCTGACAACTTCACATGCGAGCCGCTCATCATGTGCTTCTTCAACCACAACCACGATAAGGCAGGGTCTAGGTAATCCCTACCCCTCTCCTTCAATAGGCCCAAGGCCCAGCCTTGCACGATCAAGAACCCCAGCTACATGCACATCACATATTGCTCCCGTCTTGGGTAGTATTACAAGCTCTCATGATACTGGCAACGTGGCTCACTTTTGTCCCCCTTTCTTCTTCGTTACATCTCAGACCCTTACCTAGTCGCCGCATGGCTTCAATCTTGGTCTCGCGTGACCTCAAGCGCATATCTGGACTCTTCTCTACGCGTGCTCTTTCCCCCATTTCTCTGCAAATCTTTGCCTCCCCTGGAATGGCACATCTGAAGGAATTGAGACCTAAGTATCCTTTCCCCCTGTCGGAAATTGGGTGTAGGAACAAGTACTCAATTGTAACGTCTCTCCCCAACGCCATACCAGCTATCCTGGTCGCCTGCCCATGATCTGGTTGATTTCTCCCCAATCCTTCTGACTGCACCCCAAGACTTCTAGCCCAAAAAGGTTAACACTTTAGATCTTGACCACCGCAGATCTATCTTATTAATGCTTCAAGCTACAATTTCTTCCTGGGCAGCTATGGAAGGAGGCATGCCGAGAATTCCGGAGTAAATGGAGGAGAATTGCATCCCAAATAGGAGCGTTGATGGACGCTGATGGATCATTCAAGGCAAGTTTGGTGTTTATCTGCGGGCTGGAATTGTATTGTTTCCAGCCAACCACTGGTTCGTTTCCCTTGTTCATTCATTTAGCCGTTCCATTCCAGATCGATACATCTACCAGCTCAATGCCGCTGCTCGCTAATCACTCTATTCGAGGATATGAGTCCCCTGCCGTTTATGCAAATCAGAGTTCGCGCTAAATCCTCCACAACTACCCACATGTCTTGTCAGGCACCCATACTTCTAGCCTCAACGCCGAATGGTCGGCTCGGATGATGCAGCGCATTATCAGCAAATCTCCCACTGCAGGGTAACTGCATCACGATATCAGAACAGTTGCATTCTTCGATGCACCCTCCACTACCACTCTAGGTGCAATTGGCGGTCTTCGGACTCCGGGGATTAAGCGTGATATCAGAAAGCCAAAGATCAGATGGGAAATGTGTCTTAAGGACTGGGTCATTTAGATCTCCACTGTTCCGGGTAAGAGATACCCTGGAAGGGCAGCCCCACACAAACGGCTGTCCGAGATACTACAAACTTTAGGCGCCAGATGTCTGCCCTAGCGAAACCGCTCATTTCTTCTTCATAACGTTGCTTCCTTGACAGGTCTCATTCCCGCAGTCGGTTGCATTTCTTCGAGAAGCTGTTGCATTCCCTTCGCTGCGGCGTCCTCTCCAAGGTACAGTAACATTTGACCGTCCCGCATGGCCTGCGTATAAGTATCTACATTATTGTCCTCTTTATATCCATAGATTACTTTCTTGGCTTTCGGGCTCTTCATTGCAGCAAAATGCGCTACTTTGCAGCTTTCCTTCTGGCTCTAACCTGGTCTGCACAAGCCGCAGTTTTACCTCAACCAGTGGACATTAAGGATAGGGCTACTACCAGCTACCGGAATGTGGCATACTTTGTGAACTGGGTAAGCTCTAGGTGCATACACAAAAGGTTGGCCGATATTTCCGCTAACACTGCGTGCTTAGGCTATCTACGGGCGGAACTTCAATCCCCAAGATCTTCCAGGAAACCAACTCACTCACGTGCTGTATGCATTCGCTAATGTTCGGCCCGAGACTGGTGAGGTCTACCTTTCCGATACTTGGTCCGATACCGATAAGCACTATGCTACCGATTCTTGGAACGATGTTGGCACCAATGTCTATGGATGCGTGAAGCAATTGTTCCTTCAAAAGAAGAAGAATCGCAAGCTGAAGGTCCTGCTGTCGATTGGAGGCTGGACTTACTCGTCGAACTTTGCTCAGCCTGCTTCAACCGTTGCAGGAAGACAGAAGTTCGCTTCAAGTGCCGTTGAGCTGGTGAGGAATCTCGGATTTGATGGTGAGCCCATTTTCTCTAGGATTATCATCGGTATTGCCGCTGACACTTGGACAAGGACTCGATATTGACTGGGAGTACCCTGCGAGTATGTTTTTGAATTTACAATTCTCCACCACTGCTAACTGTTTTCAAGATGACGCACAGGCGAATGATATGGTCTCATTACTCGCAGAAGTCAGATCGGCAAGTCTCCTCGCTTCTGATCAGGGCGACCAACTAACGATAGGTCAGGCATTGAATGCATACTCAACTAATTATGCCGGCGGACAACATATGCTGTTGACCGTTGCCTCCCCTGCCGGTGAGTTTAAGTACATACGCAACATCAGAACAGGCGCTGACTCACCCAGGCCCAACCAACTACCAAAAGCTAAAGCTCGCTGCCATGGACCAGTATCTGGATTTCTGGAACTTGATGTGAGTTTGCCCTCACTGGATCCTATCTCTGCATCCTTACGTATACAGGGCCTACGACTACTCTGGCTCCTGGGACACAATAGCCGGACACAACGCCAACTGGGACCCATCTACCTCTAACCCGGGCAGCACACCTTATAACACTCACCAAGCAATTAAATACTACACGGCCAACGGGGTGCCCGCTTCCAAGATCGTCATGGGCATGCCACTCTACGGACGCTCCTTTGCAAACACCGACGGTCCTGGCAAGCCATTCTCCGGCGTTGGCCAAGGAACTTGGGAAGCTGGTGTCTATGACTACAAAGCACTCCCTCAGGCTGGCGCAACCGTGTATACCGACAACCAGATCACCGCAAGCTGGAGCTACGATTCTAGTCAGAGGTTCCTGGTGAGCTATGATACGCCCGCAATTATCCAGAAGAAGGCCGAGTATATTAAGAGCCAGGGGCTGGGTGGGGGAATGTGGTGGGAGAGTAGTAGCGATAAGACGGGGGGTGACAGTCTTGTTAGTACCGTAAGTGACCCGTTCGCTTCTCCGATTCACGTTGAAGGATATATATGCTAATGTAGGGTGTAGTTTGTCAATGCGGTCGGTGGTACCGGCGCCCTTGATCAAAGTACGAATCTTCTCAGCTTCCCGGGTACTAAATACGACAACCTCAAAGCGCAATTCCCGAGTGGTTAGACGAATCCTTTACGACGGACCGTTGCGTGGCTCGGATATCTAGAAGCGTGCTACTTCACGCGTCTACAGACAACCTTCCGAACTTTACTTCTCTATATATATTCTCACTCTTATCCTTGACGCCAGTTGAGCTGGCTGTTCTTTCGCTGCCAACTTTCTGCACAATTCTTTTCGTTGCAACTCTTTATAGCATACATATATCTGCTTTGTCCGACCGTTCTATCTTTCATCGAATTTCCTACGTACATGCATTAGGATTATCTATCGGCGCTAGAATTAAAGGACTCATGTAAATAGAAGCCGCTCGCTAGACTTCATGAAGATACAATGACGTCACATTCTGGTACAGTCAATGGCTGCGTGTGTATAGCGGTGATATTTCTCTTCTCAATATGACTGGCAAAGACCAACAACTCTACTAGCCTTCTTCCCAACCAATCCATCGAAGTAAGCAAGCAGAACATCTACATCTAGCATGTCTACCTCTCCTAAGCTCGGGTTAGAGCTCCTCAATACCTTCCCGCCCCATAAAATCCTTACGTATTTCTTGTCATCGTGACCTTTCGCGGAGTACAGTTCAAAGACAACTTCGGAACCCATTCCAACCCATACCATGACGTCTACCTGCAAAATGCTCAGAAGCCTCGACACAGATCCATCGTGAGCGACGTTGTGTCGATAAATGACCTGACTCTTCCCAGAAATGCTATCGCGGAGATTTTGCGCGAGTTCCGAAATCCACACTCCAAAGGATGCTGTAGAAGCCTGCAGCGATAGTGGCGAGTCGCGATAAATGAAGGAGTACTCGTACTCTCCTAGTCTGTAAACTGCGTCTGCTTGCTTTTGGCTGATGCAGTTCGCCGAATCGTTGATCTTACAGGGTAGAGGTTTTGCGTGACATTGCCGTGCCGAGAGATTATCAAAGTAGTGGTCAAATGACTTGTGCCAATCTGTGGCGTTGGGAGAAATCCCAGAGACGGAGTCCAGAGATTGGAAAAGGGAGCTTGCAGCTTTCAAATGGGAAGTCCAGGGTGGCGAAGTGCTACCTACACCATAAGAACCGAAAAGGGTGGATGATGATGCGCAAGAATATGCGGGTTCTAGGGAGTCGATGGTTGTTGGTTGGACACGTAGCGGTACCGTCTCAGAGGGTTGATACATTCCGGAGATGAGCATGCCCGCAACTTGGCTTGTAATCACATTGTTCGTGACCCGAAAAGTCACCTTGTTTCCTAACTCGTTGGGCAAGAATCTTAGCAGGTCATGGTAGACTCCATAGAGGTCTTTGCCGTGCTGCCAAGAATCGTCCAGGCCCTCCTTCGTTATCTGTGGAAATTGGCAGGTTCCATTGAAGCCAGCTGCTGCGAATGGGTTGATGTCGCTCGTGAACACGCTCCAATATGTTTCAGTTGAAGTGTTTCCGCCAGGACTTAGAGGCTGGCCGTAGTAGAAGAGGCCTTGATCTGAGCAGCTCCACGGATATGATTCTTTCGGGAAGGTATTGGATGCATAAGGCGTTCTCTTATGGTGTCTATGAATCTAGCAATGCAAGGGTTAGTGCAAGAGTGGATGTATGTAGCACACTTACGACAGAGTACGTCAAGAACAGGTCAAGACGGCTGTCCCCTTGATAACGGTAATAAAGTTGGAGGTAATATGTTGAAAGATACTCACAACTTCAACGTATTCCAATTCATATTCATTATTAGCCACTGGATACTCTTCCGCTCTTACGTGCGGCATGTTGCACCAATTGTACGAGCCATACGGCGTACCTGGTGGAAGTCCTGAGCCGTTGAATATGAAGCCATGAGTCCCGTTCCCGTCGATAACCTGAGAGAGATCGTTGATCCATGTCTTTTTCGGGGCGTGCCAATTCATATTAACACGAGGAGCCTGAGAAGCGGTCAGGGGAAGCCAGAGGAGCGGGAGAACATGTTTGGAGAACATGGTCCGGTCAATGAAGAGAAGGACTGTGAGCGCCGTGCCGAGCAAGATGAGGGCGCTGACGAGGATCGAGCGCATATTGCGCATGTCTTATAGAAGGCGACTTCGGGATGAGGCTCATTGCGGTTGATGGAGCCGTGATGGGCAATGAAGATGAGGCTGGTAATGGATGAATGAAAGCTGCGATGAAGGTCCACGGGCCTCCAAGACCTCCGGCGATTGGCGCATCCAATCAGACATGTGGGGTGTGCCTAGTGCCATGAGAGCTTGTCTCGACCTCTCCCTCTTCACCACCAGAATCCCATCTGAAAACTGCTCTGGCCGACTAGGATATTTCAAAGTCACCCAGTTTGACTACGGCATTTCATCTCTCGCACCACCCAACTCAACCTCAAGTAGTTCAATTTTGCCATGACAATAGGAAAACCCTTTCGCCCAGAGGCTTTGCTGCAGGCCTCCTCAAATTCTCCTTCTACAGACGTCTCGTCTCATTCAGCCCTTGTTTTCTTCGATGTGTCTATATCAGATACAAAAGACGCCGCTCAAGGAGCCTCCCAGCGCGCGATCGCGAAACCAACGCGGCTAGTGCGAGAACCTCCCCTGAGAACTTGATCACTGGATCCAATCTTCATAGTCAACGAGTAGCACAGTCATCTCAACATCAAGGTCACGAGGCATTTTCCCTCAAATGGAGCCATTCTGCTTACGATTACCTTTGAACACCTCTTCTGTGACAGCGCTGACGCGCGGGGTGTGTGCATGGATCGCCGCCTCTTTTATCACAGTACTCTTAGACCAATCCAAAGCCAGAGACCTACTACAGCTTCAGGCGACCATGATAAGTAGTGTATGTGCTCCCTCTAGTAGTAGCACTCTAAGTTATGTACTACACCCAGTGCATATACCTTCCCCCCGCCAGTTGTGCTCAATTCTTGTAGTGGAAACACCGTTGTTCCTCCATTTTGGATGCCTTTAGAGCCGTGAAGCTTTCAGCGCTACAATCTCTCAGATACTGTTTCCAAAATACAGCTCTAATTCAGAATAAAGAGAGCTTGACTCATCTTCTGGGTGTCCGTTGTCTGCACAGCTGACATGACATTATTTGGTTACGATTAGGGTGTCTTCGGTCAGTATACCCGGCCCCTAGTCCACCGTACTCTCTGGTCGTGTAATAGGAGGAATTTTCACTCCAGATTTCCTCGATCTCTTGCAGCTGACTGGAAAAACGGCTTTGCAAAGAACCGATACCCGCGATCTATGACATTGGATGTTTCTTCTGCACTATTTCAGTTATCATAATAGGGGACCTATTGGGACGGAAGAAAAACAGGTTTGCTGGGGACAACTATAATGATCATGGGTGCAATTATTCAGATTGCAGCCTTTAGTACAGCTTGGATGATTGTTGGCAGGTGGGCAACGCTTCACTCTCTAAGAAAGCTCAATTGGACGTGACTACCAATGCCTATTCTCGCTAGAAGGCCAAGTGTATGGAACCTTCTATGCTGGAAAGGATCTTGCTACGTTCTACAATACCGGGGAGCATGCCATAAGACTTTGACTGATATACAATATCATAGGAGCATAGCCGGAATTAGAGATGGTATGGACGCTTTGACCGCACCTGTGTAGCAAAGTAAAATCTCTAAAGCAAGCTAGAGAGGTAAACTGATCGTTATAGAGGTAAGAATCTCAGTTTTCTTACGAATTATACTACCTACTAGCCATTCTGGATGATCATGAATATCGCCAGCTTTTCACTATCCAATCGGGTGACATACAACTTCTCGTAAGTGCTCGAAGACTTCCTCGGCCAGAACCTGGCTTCATTAACAAGAACTAGGTTTGTTGCCGGCCCCGCCTACCAGAGAGTTCCATTGGCATTCCAGCTGTTGTTGAACTCACTCCTCCCGGCACCGAGAACTGGCACTGGAAGTTCTACGTCATTTAGACTGTCTTTAACTTCGCTTTCACTCCAACAGGTAGGCCCTACTCCCAAGCAAACCCGTGACTCTCAACTAGTATCCTCGTAGTGTACTTCTTCTATCCCGAAACTGCGGGACGTACTCTCGAAGACATCGACCGCTTCTTCACTGGTGACGCACGATTGCTGGTCTTTAAAGACAATGAAGCAATTTCAGAGCAACGACCAGACAAATTCGTCCAACATAAGCATGAGGAAATTAAGAGAAATAGTAGTATTGTGCCCGCGGATTCCTCTGCGGCGACTGAAGTGCACCATAGAGCTACTTTGGAGCGCGAGGAGATGGAGAACGGGAAGAAGGAGAATTATGAAGATGTTTGAGTAGGAGGTACGCTGGATAAGGAGAGTGGTGGGTTGGATTGAGAGACACTGGAGGTGGAAGCATCAAATTAAATACGTACGGATGTCGTCTGTAGGATCGGGATGCTGGGTGTTTACTGCTGGGCAGGATGTGCGATATAAGACTGTGAACATTTGTTTTGGGATATGATTAAGTATTGGAGATACGTGTATTTGCAACGACGCAGATAATGGCACTACTCATTTCTACCCACAACATGTTAACACCTACAGCTCAGAAGTTTAAAAATTATGGTTTGATATATTTAACCTCTTACTTGGACACATGAGAGGGGTCAGAGGATGTGGGATTCAGCCACAGACCCTCACCTTATTGGGTCCGTTTCCAAGTAAAAGGTTAGCTTCCGCCTGGCCGTGATATCGGCTCGACGGAAGGCCCCAAATAGTTCTCTCTATCGCCCTGATAGCTTAGTTCCTGCAGGAGACACCATATCATAATTTCAGACACATTGGAACCCTTATGAGGGTCGATACGTCAGCTTCAAGACGCGCACCCGTGTACCCACTCTTCACTCCAAGCTCGCACAAACTCCGCGTTCTTTGTCCATGCTGACAAACGGTACTGAGCCTTAGACAAGGGTACAAAGCGGGGGAAAATACTATCCTTAATCCAGAATCATGACGAGTAAGCTGCGGGGAAACATTAAACTGCGGAGGCGGACCCGGTACCCGAGACCCCAAGAACCGGATCAGAGAAACCTGGGGCTAGGACAGCGTCACTGTGCAAACGGAATAAGTTTGTGAAGTATATATTTGGTAGGTATGGTACGTAGATCAAAGCGGCTCTCGTCCGAACCTTTGATTTTAAGCGCTCTTACTCAATTTGACCGTCTCTCACACTGGTTTCCATGTTTTTTCTAACCCTTAAAACTTCCCCATGATGCACACCCTTCTCCAACTACTATTCTCCCTCCTCTCCCTCCCCCTCATCCTCACCCAAAACCTCACATCCACAAACGGCATCGGCAGCACGCCCGCAGATCGCCACTACGTAACCGCGTCTCAAGCGCAAACAATCATAAACGCCGCCACCACTAACGCCACAGCCATCTCCATACCCCAAAACATTGCCGTTGTGGATCCTTCCGGTTTACTCGTTGCATTTCGAAGAATGGGTATGTAGGGAAAGCTTAATTACCGCCGGCTCTTGCCGCGAAATTTGATGAAACGAGACACAAATGAGTGCTGATTTTAGGAACGGGGGGGCTAGATAACGCATACCCAGGCTCTATCGACATATCGATTAAAAAGGCGCGCACAGCCGTACTATTCAACGGACTGACCTCCGCCTGGTTATACGATCAGAGCCAGCCTGGAGGACCCCTGTACGGGATCGAGGAGACGAATGGCGGGCTGGTTGTTTTTGGCGGCGGGTGAGTGATTGATGTGATGCCTTTCAAGTTGCATCGGATTTTGGCGCGCATGGGGAATGGAGGTTGCTGACTGGGGGGTCTTTTAGGGTTCCGATATATCTTGATGGGTACTTGATTGGGGGTGTGGGTGTAAGTGGGGGAACGGTGTCGCAGGATGTGGAGGTCTCGACAGCCGGGGTTATGGGATTGGGGGCCACGACGAGTCCGAATTGATTCTGGATTTCTGAGGATGAGTCGGGAGAGCCCAAATAGAGGGAACGGGATATATATACTGAGGTTGTGATGTTGTATGCAGAGTGTTTGTATATGCGATTTTACATCGACATCCTTTCCACATCGTATTTAGCTGGCCTTGAACACGCTACAGTGAATTGGCCGTATTGACTGTTGTTAATTAGTGAAATTTATATGTCCTCGAGCTATATGAGAGAAATCCTCACCGGCTCCGTAAGGGTGGTTTTGCAAGATAGCCTGTGAGTCCCCGTTTCGAGCGGACGAGACTCAAGGTAAGTGACCTACTTAGTAAATAGCAACCCTTAGATTAGGTTTCGGAAAAAGTAAACAGGAGAGAAAGATAGAGGAAACAAAGAAAAATATGAATAAGAAAGATGAAGAAGACGTCACCGTAGAGACAACGGGTGACCATTCTGCTAATATGGGCGGAGCGACAAATCACGAAATTTTCAGAAGAAGAATCTCGCAAAATATTTAATATAGGGGGCACTGTAGTATATGTTATGAAACCCGGAGCAGCTGAAATCGAAATTGTGGCCTAGCTTTCGCAGTCGGGTTTCGAGTCGGGATTTACTTCGGGATGCGTCCAGATCCTGTACAATCACGAAAAATAAACCCAGGAGAATATCTCCAATGTAAACCAGACCTCCAAACCTTGTTTCTACGTATGAAATTATTTATTTTGCTACCTCCTCGTAACTCTTGCCGGCATACCCTCCCTCGGTTTCGCCGCTGCCAATAAAATCTGATACGCCTCATCGCCAAAGCATTCCTGAACTCCTTGCTTTTGGCTCTTTTCAGCCGCCCAGAGAGTTCCATCCTTGCTGAGAGACTCAAGCTCGTTATAGGCAGTTCTCACATCGAACTCTCTTGCGGTCAGGGCTAATATGATCTTCATTTCGAGTAGCGCAAGTTCCTGTCCAATACAATTGCGCGGGCCTTTCTCAAACGGCCTGTAAGCATTGGGCTTGATCTTGTCGGCATTCTCGGGGAGAAAGCGCTCTGGCCGGAATTCTTGGACATCCTTGCCCCAGTTGCGCTCATCGCGGTGGATACTGATTGCTGAAAGCCATACGAGCATACCCTCCGTAGGAAGCATGTTCCCAGTCACTGGGTCCTTGACGAAGTAGTCTTTCCTGCCAATGCGAACAGTTGAAGCTGGAGTCCACATCCGAAGTATCTCTTTTATAATGGCGAGGGTATATTCGCACTTGTTAATAATATATGGATCTTGTCTCAGTTTCTCAGCAGCATTTTGCCCTGTCCCAAAGACCTCATCTAGCTCCTGGCGAAGTGTTGCAAGCTTATCCGGGTGCTTGCTGAGGATGTGATAGCAGTAACAGATCGTCGATGCTGTAGTGTCATGGCCTGCAAATAGAAGAACCTCAAGGTTGTCGATCGCGTAGCGGCGGAATTCAGCATCCATAGTAGCGGCTCTCGAGTCAACATCTTTCCCGCTCTCCTTGAAATACTCCTCTATCGCGAGGTCGATGCCTGATTTCTTTCTGGATTTTCGTGCCTGGTGTTCATTGCGTGTGGAAAATTTTTCATCCAGGACCTTGCCTAGGTAGCTGTCCATTTGTTTTTTGTAATACCACCAGAAAAATGGCCTCAGAGGGTGATAGTGGTGGAAAGGATCGAGAGATTGCGAATCTGGCATCCAGGTCAGTGTCTTTCGCATTAGCTCCACAAACTCATTATTGGTGGTTAGTGCGTTGAAGTCATGGTCACAGACAACTTTTCCAATGACATCTATGGTGATCTTGGTTGCCTCCTCTTCTAATCGAAAGACCTTGTTTTCAGTTGCATGCATGTCCAGGATGCGGGCAAATTCCACCGTACAATCGACAATAATGGGAACCTGGCTAGGGTTAGTGATTTGGAATGATCCGATGCATTTCAAATTACCTGGTTCATGAGATGTCCGATGGCAAATCCTGGATTAAACACCGTTCTCCACTTTTTCCAGAGATGACCGTCCATAGTGACTAGGTTTTCGGGTCCCGCAAGGGGCTTAAGGAAGTATTTGATATTTGGAGCCTTGAGGAGACCGCTTTTCGCGGCCACTTCTTCAGCAACATCGCTACAGAAGATGCTGGTAAGTCCAACGACGTCTATTTGGGAAGAATGATGGGGACCTACGGATCTATGATAACCATCATAGGGTCTCTGATTGGATACGCGTCCATGAAGAAAACAGGTGGCAGATCGTAATCCTTGGTCAGGTAATGCGGGAATACGTGAGGATGGACCCGGTTTGGCAGCTTCGAAACACATTTTCCGATGGAGATGAGATGTCCGAAGATGGGTGAATGGGGGGGTCCAGGCTGATAGGTGTCAGTGGATTTACGAAAATGCTGTCAAACATGGAACAATGTGTGTATGTTTTGCTCCAGATCGTGTTTCGTTGAAGGCTTACCAGCTTTGCGAATTGTCTCCGAACTTTAGCCACTCTAAGGAAGAACCTGGCAAGATAAAGGGTGATCAAGACGGCGGCAGCAGTCGCATAGGGATGGCCGTTCAAGATTGCCATAGTGGAGTGATATGGTAGAGGAATAAAAGACAGGTGAGACGCGGGGGCTGCAGTTATCAATCATGGATAAAAGCAAGCGGCAAGGTGAGTGTTGGCCTGATATGAATCGCTAATTACTGGTGTTAGTAGTCCTGAAAGACGCCCGTCAGCACGTCGTACGAGAACGGAATGGTTGGTGTTGTGAAGCCTACTTTTCACGTGCGGGTGCCCCAAATACCTGAACCACTGTCAGCGGCCGCACGCTAGCAACTCTAAAACAGCACTGAGTGCCGACGGAAGCGTTTCTGTGTGGTTGCGCAACCTCAGCAAACGATACCGTGTTGACAATTGGAAGGTGTCACTTTAGCATGAAGTTGAAGTAAAGTTCTGCGGCGTGGCTTCGGACGAAATTAGGAGACTTGTTTGCATAAATCTCCGCCAGAAAAAGGACTGAGAGGAGGGGTAGTGGGGCCGATTGGGTTGTCGGCCTCGAATGTCTACAGGAAGAGACGCCCATGAGAGAGGGCGTCACAGACGACTGTTGTTTGCAGTGTCAAGAGACAACTGATAATTATGGGTGACAGCCACAGCGCCCCAGAGAAATTTCGTGGATGTCCCAGCGCCATGGCCACCATCTTCGAGGGCAGCCAATGATAAATTATCATTACTGCAGGAAATACTGTCGCGAAATTTGAATATTCCATTGGACGGCTGGCTTTTATATTTTATGAGGATTCTCGTGAAACACAGCACGCGGGTCTTTCCCAGTCAAGCTGGTGAATCGGAAACGACGCATTTCATGCAAGACGCAGGACATGCTTCCGTCTGTCCATCGAAACGAGATGATCGTGTTCTAGTGGGAACAGGACGGCCGCCGTCGCGTCGACCCCTTTCTCCCGCATGCAACCTCACAAGGCTCGAACCGTTGGCCGCGGGAAGCCGAGGGCGATGGCATGAAGGCATTAGTATCACTGATTCCTCCCTCCTGGTGCGCGGGATCGCGGGATCCAGCGCGAGACCAACACGTCGCAGGGTTCGCCGTTCCAGAAGAATTGCGCCTTGTGATAGACGACAGCCGTTAGGTAACGTTGTCGATGGTGTGGCGGGTTTCAGGCATTATAAAAATGCTCCGTGACATCCCCGTTCCCATTGGCTTGCCGAGGGCTCTTCTGATGGCGCATCCCCCCCTGAGCTGCTGCTTCTCTTCCACCAGCCTCTGCTGGGACTCTGCTGAGCTGCTCGCTGACCGTCTGCCACGAATTGTTCTGTCGTTGCCGCCCGGGTTCTGGCTCCTCTTTGGCTCCTCTTTACTACTCCGACGTGTCATACCAGTCCTGGCGACGTCCGTGGGCTGGCCACCCTCTCTCTCTCTTTTTTGCATGGGTCGTCCGTCTCCGCAGCTTCTTCGTTTTGCAGTCTGAGACTAGGACGGTCGTTTGCTGGCCCTGCAGTAGCACAATCTCCCCCCGTCCAGTCGCGCTCGCGTCGTCCATTTGCCGCACTGCACCAGAGAGGCAATTTCTCTCCTCCCACATCCCGGCCATTCACCAGGCTGTTGGGTGAGGAAGCGTCTCTTCCTGACCAGGCCAACAAGTCCGACACAGCATCCCCCTTCAATCTCACCCTCCTCCACCATCTGAGCAATCTCGTCAATCTCGCTGCATTGAGAGGAGTGAGCACCGCGCAGCCCAAAACCACGCTCCAACACCGCACCTAGGCAGCCCTTCTCCTTTCCCGTCTGCTAAATTTATCCGCGCGCGACCGCCCATCCTCCTGATAACGTGACACTGCCGCCGGCTCAAGATGACGAGTACAACTCCCACTCGCTCACCACATCCCTCGGCCCTCAAGAGTGCCTCTCCAGACGACACGGCATTGCCCCAGTATCCCCAGCCGCAGTCCAACGGCGACGCCCAGCAGGCTGCACCACGACGGTCGAGCTTCAATTTCTTGCGTCGGAAGAGTTCAGGAGAAAACCGCACAGGCGGCCATCGCAGTGCATCCGGCGGCAAGATGAGCAAGAAGCAGAAGGCTCTTGCCCAGGAAGAGGCCCTCCGTAAACAGAGGGAGGCTGCCATGCTGCCCAAGCAGCCACCTCGACTTCCCTCGCATTCACCTCTTCCCCAGATCGACAACTTTGGCGGCGAAGACAATCGTCCCGACTCCGTCGCTATCGTCTCCAACAAGTTCGTGGGAGCCGGACACAACTTCAGCAGACCATCAGCCGAGTACAGCATGGGACACAATGCGCGCGTCCCAGTGCCGCCCATCCCTGGTAGCTCCCCTCCCTACACTGACTTCGACCCGTACCCGCGCACCGAGAGCATGACCCACCGTGGTCGCTATAGCTATGCCAGTAGCGCTATCAGCTCTGTCAATAGCCCTCGCCGAGTGAGGAGAAGGAAGGACCCGACGCCCTTTAAGTGAGCAACCTCACATGACTTGAAATTTCTAGGCTGACCAAATCCCCCCCCCGCAGCATCCTTGTCATTGGCACTAAGAACTCGGGCAAGTCATCGTTCATCGACTTCCTCCGCACTGCTCTTGCCTTACCGGCCAAGAAGCGCCCGCACACCCCTTCCCCACCCACTACTGCACAGGATCCCGACTCTCCGTTCACGTCACAATACCTAGAGACAGAGGTTGACAATGAGAGGGTTGGTGTTACGCTGTGGGACTCCCAAGGCCTCGAGAAACACATCGTCGATTTCCAGTTGCCGGTTATTACAGCCTTCCTAGAGTCGAAGTTCGAGGATACCTTTACGGAAGAGCAGAAGGTGGTGCGCGCCCCTGGTGTCCGCGATACCCATATTCACGCTGTCTTTCTGATACTGGACCCCGCTCGTCTCGACTCTAATATCGCAGAGTCGCGCAAGAAGCCCGGCCAGAAGACTCTCGGTAACCAAATCTTCGGTGGGTTGGATGAAGACCTTGATTTGACTGTGCTTCGCGAGCTTCAAGGCAAGACTACTGTCATCCCCGTTATTAGCAAGGCGGACACAATTACTTCAGCACACATGCGCCACCTTAAGAAAATGGTCTGGGACACTCTGAAGCGTGCGAAGCTGGACCCATTGGAGGCGCTTAACCTTTCCGACTCTGACGAAGAAGACGAGGATCGCTTTGACGAGCGAGATGAAGATGCGTATCTTCACTCGTCATCTGACAACGAGGGCAAGTCCGACGTCCTCAATAAACTGCTTGACCGCTCGTCGTCCGAGGCTGGCCGCTCTGACACATCATCTACCTCGTCAGCTCCCCACTCCCCCCCAACTTCTCCACCCAGCGCATCGAAACGAAACCACGCCCGGAAGCCTTCCGCAATGTCTGCTTCAATTCAGAAGGAAGACTCAGAACTCCCCTATTTCCCTCTCAGCATCATCTCACCAGACCCGTACGAACCAGAGGTAATTGGCCGCACCTTCCCATGGGGATTTGCAGACCCGTATAATGCCGAGCATTGCGATTTCGTGAGACTTAGGGAGAGCGTGTTTAGTGAGTGGCGCTCTGAGCTTCGCGAGGCAAGCCGCGAGCAGTGGTACGAGGGCTGGAGGACAAACCGACTCGAGATAGGTAACGCAAAGCGAAGGCTTGCAACTTCCGACGGGCTGAAGAGTAAGGGACTTACTATCCCCAGCACCAATGGTCGCGCAGCCAGCGCTGGAAATGGGGGCCCCCAGTATCGTCAAGTCCGGAGCACTGGATACTAGTGTGGTCGACAAAGATGTCATTTTCGGGAACGGTGGCATTATAAGCGGGTGGATCCTACACACCGAACATGATGCACTCGTTGGCTTGACAGATATTGCAAAGGGGGTTCTGCAGGATCAGCGCGTCCTTCGCTACTCCGCCCGCTTTATTCCGGTCGGCGCCTAAAACTGGATTTTCTATGGCGAGCATTTTAATGGGCGGACACGGCTGGATTACCATTGCTCGATGCGGCCGAAAAAGATTACTGGATAGTGTGTAGCTTACGAGGCATCTTGGGTTCAACATCTCCTCGTCTTTCTACCTGGGACGCAACCACTACTCTCCAGACAGACTCATGTATTTCATTTGTTCTAGTACCCCATACCTGTCTCCTATGTCATTGAACAAGAAGCTCCCTTCTAAACCTTGTTCTCTTCGTCCCCCAATACATTTCCCCTTATGTACTTCTTCTCAATAGGTTTTGTTTTGTTTTATATGTTTCTTGAAGTGCGCATACCCCCCGTTTTTCTTTTCATGCATGCCTTTCCATTGTGCCTGAATCCTCGGTTCGCTCTGCGGCCTTGCGAGCGGCGAACTTGGAGGTGGAATTCCGCCATCCAGAATGCTTAATGTGGATTGAATAAGTTGGAGCGGGAGTATTCTACATTTCATACGCTGAGCGTAGTTTCATGCTGGTCGATGAATGGATTGGTGGATTGTGTTTGGAGGAGGAGGAGGAGGTGGTGGTGGTGGTGGAGAGACCTTCTTTGCTTGCCAGCCTTCGCAGAAGGTGACTTTTTGGCCCCTGACGTCCTACGTCTTTCATCTGTAGATATAGCTTGGCGCGAGGAGGCAGACTGAACTAACGGACGGACGGAATTGAAGAAAATAACTGAGCGTCTTGTTAATTCTCTCTCCACCTGCATGACCTCAATTGGCATTCGCAAACTGTCCAGTGATCGGTTGAACCGTCTTACTATCACGATTCAACACTCATTCACACGACTCGGCAAGTAACTAAGTCCGAACAAGGTCTCTTACTTCTTATACAAACAGAAAGAAAGTAATCGTCTTCAGTGAGCCTAAATTTTGCTTGCAGAGCCGCCAGTCATCATCTATAATTATTTTTCGCTATTTATCATGCATCGCATTATGCATGCATTTTTCTGCGCTAGCTCTGAATCGGTACCGAACGAGGACGCGATATCACGTGGGACAAAGAGGACAAGGCTTCCTTACTGAGGACCCAGGATTCCGAGCACTCGCGAAATTGGCCTGTATCAGTTGCAATTTGGAAGTTATTAACGTAAGATTCGTAGGAAATTAAGTAAATGTTAAGGTAGACTGGGAAAGCCTAATATATGGGGCAAAATGGAAGTCTGCGCCTGCCTGTAAAGTTCACGTTTTGACTCTTGGGGGCGACGGGATTTGGTTGACGGATGGATAGTAATATGCCTGGTTTCCGTTGTTACCCTAAGAAAGGAATTGGTTATGTGTGAGAGCAATACGTCGTTTTCGACACCTCGATTAGGAGCTATATGCGTCAATTTCACCCGTAGTATGTGCTGAATTGCGCGAGAGAAGTAACTTAGTCACTAAGAGGTAATTATTAGAGCCGACTAGATGGAGCTCAATACCATCATTACTATATCACACCTTCCCTCTAGACATTCGCCTGCTTATAAATACCACCATATGAGCCGTCTGCTTATTCAGTCATGCCAACAGCACACATATATGCTCATCTGCAATCCCAGTCGAAGCCACGAAAAAAGAGAGGAACTACGCCACTAGTGTATCCAGTAAGGGGTATATATGATCTTACAAGGAGAGACAGAAAAAATGCGGATTGTCGAATCCTCCCACAAATATGGGAACGTACGCATGTACGCAGAAAACAAAATGCTAATCCTGGATTCTGGGGGTGTTTGGTTTGCCAAACAGACTTCCCCCTTCAAAAAAAAAAAAACAAACAAACAAACGCCACGCTATGCGATGGATATGCTGAACGTAAAAGAGGCAAGGAAATAAGATGTGCAATGCCGAACAGCAAAGCAAGCGACAAAGCAAGCAGTCTTTCAACGCATGACCAAAAGATAAAGGGCCAACGAACTGGACTCGTCAACCGGATCTTCAATATCCGCTAGGTTGGGCCATTCTTCGTGCGGCAGGTTCCCGCTCAGCGTCGTTCCATGCTGACTGTTCCAGTCTCGTCTCCATATCTCGAATCTTAGGTCCCATCTACTCATAATCTTTCTTCTTCGGGACTCTATGAGGGATTCTAGACGAGTCAAGTTTTTCACATGATGCAATTCTTCCGCACCTTTTTCTCGCTCGTGATCTGCGTCTAGCTGCTGAAGCTCTGTTTGCTGCTTCTGTAGTTTCAATTTTGTGTTCTTCTCTTGTTTCGCCCGTAGTACATTAATGGCACTCTCATGTTTGCCGGGGAGCTTCTGTTGAATGAGATATTGACGAGCTAGCTTCTTGCGATCTTCTTCCGTCACAATATGTGCTGTATCCGGATTTGTGGGATTGGAACCAGAGCAATAAGCTTCCATATATTTCAAGGCAGTGGCAACATTTTGCGTTTCTTGGTCGTGGGATTTGCGGAGGTCGTGTTCAGCAACGATTTGAAACTCGTCTAGACGTTCGAGATCTAACACATGCTTGGCGAGGTCAGTAAGCTGAGATGAGAAGATAGCATGAAGGACCTGCCTGTTTCATCCTCTCCGATTTGGTCGTCTCAAGTTGGGAAGCAAGCCGCGTTAGTGTCCATTGGTGGTATGTTGATAATGCTTTTCGTTGGGTTGACTCGAACGCGGCAACACGCCGAAACTGTTCCTTTTGCTGGGCTCTCAGGCTTTTGAACGTCTCGTCCGCGAGGACTGAAGTGAGGAAGTCTTCGCCTTCCTGGGTTAGCTCCCTGTTGGGTGTACCTGGGGTAGTAACGAAAGACCCTGTAGGGTGAGATTGGGTGCCCGGGGAATGAGGGAGATCAATAGATGACATGCCGTCCTCGCTGTAGCCAGAGTCTTGCTGTAAATCATACACTGCGACTGGGGATTGCAAATCATCCGCCATCACAATGTCCGTCTCTTCTTTGCTCAGCACTGTTTCAAGAATCGACCGAGGCAAAGCTTTTCCGCAGCAATTGGGTGCCATATGTTCCTTTCTATCTAGAGCTTCTTGGATGTGCACGCGAATTGCGTATTTGGAGAGACTGTGGCCGCAGTCTAGCTTGGGACTGAGTGGTTTGACGTGGTGGCCATGGCGCGACCGAGAAGGGCAAGTGCTGCCAAAAGTGATTAGTGAAAGGTTCCAATGGCTATGGAAACTAAACAATACCTGGAGTCTTTCCTGAACATGGAAAACAGACTAGACGTCCGCTTCGGCTTCCGGGCGGTAGCGAGCTTGGATAGCACTGGTAGACTAGAAGTTGTCGAGAGCACCGAGGTTGCACCAGAGGCATTAGAAGAAGAATGGCGGTGGCCAATGCTAGGCCGAAAGCGATCCATAACAGCATCATAGTATTCCAAAGACAGTGAGGGCCGCGTGAATGGTGGAGGAGTGCGCACCGTGGGCGAAGGCTCCAGAGAGGGATTCTCTTTGGACGTCCGCGAAGGATGCGAGGTCATGGCAGTTGATTGTGATTCCCGGGAGTGAATTGACATGGAACTTCGGTGCTCGCTTAGTGCTGTTAGGGTCGATATAGCGGTCGAGAGGTCCTGCGCTTCGGGGTTGAGAAGGCGATACGGGTCTGCAATGCCGGACTCTTTGGCGGACATGGCGAGCTGCTCGTCGAGTGCATCCTCGTCCTCGTTGTCTGGCAAGCCCAGAACTTCTGCTCGGTATACAGCGTCTTCGAATATAGGGTCGGTGGTCAGGTCGAAGTAGTAGTCGCCTCCATTCCCTGCCATAGTTGCGCCAGAGCGCTCATGCGCCGGTTGAAAATGGTGATGTCAGGAGTGGAAGAGAAATGCCATTCGCGACTAGGGGGATATCGCTAGGCTTCGTTGCGGGCACCCATCACAGCGCGGGGGAGAGGAAGGAAGGACAGCGGCTCTGCGCAATTGCGGCCAGAGGGAGTGTTTAGTCGGGTGTGTCGGTGAGAGAGAAGGCTGGATGCAATGACAGCAGTTGATGCAGCGTTCCCCACATCCTCGTCGAGGGCCAGCCAACGAGCGCTGCGAGCCCAGCAATAACGGGCGGCTTCGGTGCGCTGGTGTGCCGCTGCGGAGTGTGCGGTCATGGCCGGAATTCGCAACAGCCATTCACGGTTTCTCGCTTGAGCCGCGGTTGCAATCCTGACACTCCCAACCCTTGCCCGACTATCATGGCCAGCAGGGGGAACGAACAAAACAATTTCACTGCAGCGCCTCACCGCCGCAAGCCTCTGCGGACTTCGAAGATAGACGGCTGTCGAACCCCTAGCCGCACAGGGATGCGACGAGGTCCCGCAAATCCTTCAGCGAAGGAACGGTCCCTCCCGTCAGGCAGTGCTCGTGATTCATACTACTATCAACAGTTAGTCTGCCTCTGCAGACGTTAAACCTGGTCTCTGCACTTCGATAGCACGGCCCTGAAGCAATCTCGCTGCTTGGGTGAGCTGCCTCGATGAATCAGTCTTCTGGGGCCAGTCCACTCCTGACATGTCCCTATCTGCGGGGCCCCTTCGGTGAGCTGAAGGGACTTGTCTTGCTCAGAGGTAGTTGACGAGAACACAAGACGCTGGCAACTGGCAGTCCTCCTTGTCGGTGTTGTCAATAACTGGGGCGGGGGGAAATCGGAAATGAACATCAAGTCATCCTGCTGCTCCAGTCCGTCGGATGTCGTATCTATGGTAGACTACTGGAGCAGATGCATGCACGCAGGTACCCTGATCCGAGCTTGACCTCACCACACATCATCGTCCGTGTTGAAAAAAGGGTTGATTATACATATCAGATTAGGCCTTCACCTATCCCGACAAGCGCAATTGAAGAGTCGAGTTTGATAGGACTCGAATTTGTCTGAAGCCTAGACACTCACGGCTCGGAAAAAGGGGATATCTGGCCATGAGATATCTCTAGAGCAAGGAAGTCACTGGATGTAGTGGCACTGCAGGGCTGGGATCGGCTCCTGGCAGCACTGTGCGAGGACTAAGACATGCAATATAAATATCCCCCGTACCATGTTGCTCTCTTACCCTTGTAGAGCCTAGTCTAGTTCAACATTATGTGCAAGAGGTAGTGCAGCCAGGCTTGGAATTACCACCGGGCAGATCACTCAGCTGTCGAACCGGACCAGTTCTATTTCAAGAGATAGCAGAAATGTGACTGCTGGTTTAGCGCCTCAATTGTGAGATGTCGTGCCTTGACGCAATGCAGCCAAGTCCTGCAGGTTCTCAACTCGCTAATAACACACTGGCCTCAACCGTCTCCACACCCGTCTGTTCTTGCATGCTAGGCACTTGTCTTCGCGGAGTCTGAGTCGAGTCCTCCACCACTTCAGGTCACACAGCCCTGGAACTCGGTCAATGATCGAACGAGTGCGGCTCTGGAATTCGTTATCAGCGACGCCCGAGACCTTTACAAATGTCCTTAGCCAGCAGAGATGTGAAGCCAGATCGTCTATTAAAATGACTATTTGGCACGACCGTTGGTTCTTAGTGCTCTTGAACAATACATGCAGAAGAAAGGAGGTGGTAGTACATGGAAAAAGACTATGGTGTCGTATGCAATAGGTGACCTCCCGTCGGTAGGTCGCTCAGTAGTAAGGAAATCCAGGCCATGCTGGTGTCGACGGGCCCTCGTCTTTGTGAACGCCTTGGAAAATGCGGATGCTCATGATAAAATGACATGGATAGTGGGGTCTATCCCGCAATGAGGACCCAGAGGAGGAAAACTGTTCAGATCAGTAAGGCATTTGCAAGGGGAAGAGCTGGGTACACTTACATATCATCAAAACGCCAAACATTTTAGCCACGAGCCACCTGTTTCCTTGGACCCGACTCCAATACTTCATCAATTCCCGCTGTGCGCCCTGCACGTTGTCCACCACATCTTCGGTGTTTGCGTCAATGCGCTGAATCTGCTCGCTCTGCTCCGAGACCATCTGCGCAAGTTGACCGAATATGCTCCCCAGTTCCGCTATTGTGCTCTCGATAGCCTCGATGGCCTGGCCTCTCTGTTGAATATAGACATTCTGCGGCTGGGCTTCCTCCATGAGCAAGAGCTGTGCGTCAGACTGTGGGCCACTTCGAGACAGTGCAGACGATCCTGACGGTTCCAGGGACAACATGTCTTGCTGCGCAGCGGTGGTGTTCTTGAAGCCTCCGGGTGATCTTCCTCGGGATGGGGTCTGGTATAGAGGGGAGTCGGTCCTGGCGGGGTCGAGGTTCGTTTGAGAGTGGGACGCGGCTGAGGACACAAAGTTCTCGGTTCGTGATCGCGATGCCTGGATATTCTTCGTCCGCACCTCTAAAACGTCCTTGAAGTTACCCGTCACATCCGCTAGCTTGCCCTGTAGCAGCATCACAACGTTATGACTGTGTTCCCCCTCCTGGTCACCGCCACCAGCTTTGGCATTGGGGTGTTGCTTTGTGGTCAGCGCCTGCAGTCCCTTGATCTGGCCATTCAATTGGGACAAGTCTTGCTTTATGATGAAAGTAAGCTCGGCGATCTCGACCGGCCGATCGTCGAAAAGGGTCTTGCGCTTCGCCAACTGTGCGAGTCGCTCGAGTTTCGCCATGGTGCCGGAGATGCCACGGCCAATCTCGGCAGCATTCCGCGCGAACTCAGAGCGTTGACGATGCACAGTGCTGCCGGCTGCCTCAGCCTTCTGTTGAGCAGAGAGGAGGGATTGGCGCTGGGCTCCGGTCTTGGAGTGCGCCTGCCGCTTCTGCGCTTGCGCCAAGATCGACCGGAACTCGTCGGTGCGGTCCTGTATAGATACAGCCATAGTGTAGGAGTCGTCTAGAGCCGAAGACAGTGGTGTGCGTTGAGTCGGGGTGAAGGAGGTTCAGAGGGTGTGCGCGACGTTTCGCGGAAGCCGTGTTTAGGCTGACCTGGCAGGGCTAGAGTTTATACTTATCGGCGTGTGGTGAACATGAGCGATGGCTGCGATTATGCGCGAATGTTGATAGGCCTACAGGGACAGCGTGGTAATGATGGCGACGACGGCGAACAATGGTGGTGCAGGTGGTGGCAGTTCTGAGGAGCCCTGGAGTCTTTCACGGGAGAGCGGTTGCCACGGACCACGTTCACCTTAGACAGCCACAGGGCTGGCGTGGCGCGCCAACGAATTGCGGCCCCCAGCTCGAATCAAAAGAAATTGGCTCAACAGGTCGCACTTCCTCCACTTGCTTCCAAGGTTCTTCATAGAATTCGTGATATCTTGCATTTATCATTCCATCTATCTCGCGCGTGGCGGACGTGAGAGCCCTCAAGCATTAAAGACCGATACCGCGCAGGGGTTCAAGCCTGTCATCAGTCACTCCGCCCCCAGCATCACCACCACGTCGTTCGCCCTTCAGCAGCCTCGTTCTCGTCACCTCGGGCACCTCACCTCCATTCCTGCTCCGTCACTGTACGCCATTTCGTTGTCGTAGGGCCTCCTCCTGCACGACATACCACCGATACCCTGCGAGCGCGCCTTTCCAACTGCTCGCTGCGGCCCTTTGTTGGCAGCCCCCTGGTTTATGCGATCCGACATCCGGCAGACCCAAGGGCGTCGCCCTGAGAACACCGCTCGCCAAGAGCTGTGTCCGTAGTGTCGCGTACGGGTACCCGAGCCGTGAGACGCAATGTCTGGGCCGTACCAGTTCAATCAAGACTCGGCAAGGTCGCCACTGTATGTCATCTCGTCACCCCCTGGTACGCAGTTGATTGACGTATTTCCAGTGACCGACAGCCTCCGAATCCCTTCCCCGCAGGCCAGCCGGCCTCGTTTAAAACTAATGTTAATCGCATGAAGACGAAGAAATGGGTCGAGGCAAAACCATACTCGTATGATGGCGACGACTGGGGCGAATACGACGAGTATGATGAATATGGCACCGAACAAGCTCCCCCGCAGCCAGCAGCTCCAACAGGGTATCGTCAAAAGGGCCAGTCTCTGGCAGATCCAGCTCGCAGCTTCACCGATCCTCAGCGCCAAGGGCCTCCACAGCCCGGCCGCCGAAATTCGTTCGAAGCTGGTGATGAGCACCGCGCTTTTTCCACAACGGTCCCACAGCCGGTGAAGAATGGAGGATACGGAGAGACCCCATCACCCATGGTGGGCCCTGGAGGACAGGCTAGCTATGCTGCACCGCCGCCACCACATACTGGTTTTCGACAGGCAAGTGCTGCTGAGTCGGATACCAGCGATACTCCCCAGCACCGACGGGACTTCAGCCCTTCCGCGCTACCCCCTCCACTAACGACGAGAATATCACCGGCTCCGGGAAATGTAACTGCATCCCCCGCGAATTCCATGTTTCCAGCCCGCAAGAGCAGCATTGGCCAGGCAGACTCACCATCAATGCCCAGTAGTGCTGCGAATCCCGTTTCCCCGCGAGATCGTGCGCCAAGCAATCCCTCCAAGGCCCTTCCATTCATCAGACCCTCTGACATCTATAAACGTGTGGAGGAGGAGCGGCAAAGGGAGCGCGCATCGATGGACTCATCGCGGCCGAGCTTGGATTCGCTTTCCTCCCGGCCAAAAGATGATGTGACATCTTCTAATGAGCACGATGGTGTAGAGAGCCTCACGAAGAGCCCGGATGCTGGCAAGTCTCTCCAGCCTTTGGAGACTGTTGCCGAAAGGAAGAGCGAGTATCTCCCAGATATCACAGTTGCACCACAGGGTCCTTCAACGACTAGGGAAACTGTACAGCCCGTAGCTTCCCATCAGCCACTCCTGCCTGAGGTTTGTGGCATCTCTTCATTTGATACTGATTTCTGGTCAAGTGGACCGCAATCTCAAGGCCCAACCAAGCCGACTCCAACAATATCATCTCCGGATGAGCAAGGCTTTCGCTCGGTGGTCGACCAGGCTTTTACCCGTGGTGACGATCAGCGGTCTGTACCGCCAACTCCCGTTTCCAAGCAGTCTGACTCGACAGTCTCTCGGAGCAATACAGACAGTACGTCTGGTATCAGCCCGATCATGAGCCGCGTCCCGAGCTCTGCCACTTCTGCGTTAAAGAACCGAAATATTGCCGGAGATGAAAGTAGTACCCCTGCTATTGCGGAAGAAACAAGTGAAAGCAGTACGCCTGTTTCACGGCCCGTTTCCACGGCAATGCTTGGCGGCCCATATCAGATAGCTCGAAAGCCTTCTCCAAGCCACTCGCCCAACGTTTCCAGTTCATCGCTGCCCCGAACAGCTTTATGCCCTAGTCCTGGCGAAAGCCCTGCAAGATCGCCTGCAATTGAACCTCAGAAATCTATGCCAGAGGGAGAGTCTGCGCAGCTGACCTCTTTAAGCCCAACATCGCCTGAGATCATGGCAGGTGGTCTTGGTGGTCCCTCATCTGCGTATACTTCCCGGGAGGCAGACATCGCGTCCGCGATGCGCATGAGCCCAAACAAACCGGCATCAGAGTTGAGCGCAGCCGAGAAAGAATCCCAGGATTCGTTCCTGGAATCTCATCGAAATGTGCAGGCTCCGCTATCCGATGTACTACTACGTTCGCGTTCTGAATCGCCCAACAAAGGCCGCGTTCAAGAACTGGCTGGAAAATTTGGAGAAGTGTCTCAGTCGCGGCGGGGTTCCACACAGTCCAATGCCTCGAAGCACAGCATTCAATCATGGGAAAGGAGCCAAGAAAACTCACGTCCTTCGTCACCTACCAAGGCAGGTATGGCTAGGCCAGGCAGTCCATCCAAAGAAACTCTAAGCGAAAGACCCGTCGTTGGACGTGAACCCAGCTTTAGACCGAAGCTGCCAGGTCAGTGGGAGTCGTATTCTACCAACGCTCCAACCCCATCCGACCAAGGCGACAAAGAAAAGCAACTGGTGGGCGAGGAATTGAGTGCCAAAGGTCCACAGGGGCTGTCTCCACTCGAAGAAGCGGACCTAACGCCGACGACTGCAAAGCACCCAGTTTCAGTAACAGAACCGTCGAAGGCATCCTCCGATCCTCTCGCAGCATTGAAGGCAGCTGGAACTGCCATGGGAGAGGCTATTGAAGCATCTGTTGGGCTCAGCTCATCTTCAACGATTTCACAAGAACAAGCACAAACGCAAGGCCGTTCTTTTGGAGACATCCAACTTGCACGACCCCTGCAGCTCGACAGAACAACTTTTACGGCTTCCACAATACCCCCTACTCCTCCGGAAAAAGACACCCCGGCGTCTGAAGAACTGCCGCCTCCACCACCCTTAAAGGAAACGAGCCCTGAGCCTGTTTCCCTATCCAGTCAGCACCAAACTCCAGTGCGGCCAACAATCGCCCCACAGATGAGCACCGATCCCTCTGAGCAAGATCAAGAAAGCGACAGATTAAGGAAGGAAATAGTCGCTACCTTACGTCCCCTGCAGACTTCCGATACACCAGAAGCTGAGTCCAGCGGGCCTTCGCTTCAGCCTACTGTGCCATCCGCGACGAATCGCGAGAGTTCCATCCTACCGAGTGAATATGATAGCTATTGGGCAGATGAGCAAGCTTCTCCTCGGCCATCTAACGACTTTGCGCGCCAGCCTCAATCGAGCGTAGATCAATCCCCTGGCGCTGCAAAATCCACCGCTCCTAACCTTTCCGATGTTTCGAAACCAGCTATCCTCACTCGGTTCAGCTGGGAGGATCAAGGGTCGAAGTCAATGTCAACTGGTGACCAAGCTCACGTAGGAGCAGACACCCATGTTCCAGCGAATCTAGCACAAGAGCCTACATCAACTTCTCCAGTGGCTCAGCGAGCGCCAGAGGAGTCATACAGTCAGTCATTTGCTGGTGTTCCGGATCCATATTTTGGCCCTGTACACACCCTTTCTGTCTCCAAACCCGATCCTGTGACCGAGTCCGATTGGAAGGGACGATCTCCAACACCCCCGCCGGATTCAGCAAAACCAGTCGCAAGCCCAACACAAACCAAGGCCATTCAGGAAGCATCTCCTGCGTCAGGCCTCCACGTCGTAAACTCTGATACAAACCCCGAGGCTGTGGATATGCCGCCTCGTTTGAGCGCAGAGGCTTCACCAGTTCCCCCCAAGCCACAAGAAATTGAAGAAACAACAGTGCATCAACCACAGAGTACTTCACAAGCAACCGGGCCTTCCCCTGGACTAGAGCCCGCTCCTGGCTCAGCTACCGTTCAGAAAGAGTCGGTCACCACGTCACACATTACCGACAAGCCCTTGGGTTTCAGGGAGATTGTATCATTAAAGTCCACGTCGGAGCGCATTGCCACTTATAACCAGACGCGTGAATACTGGGCTAACACCGATCATGGTCTGAATGACTGGATTACCTCTGCCGTTGCTGCAAATCCTGATCTTGTATCACAACCGCTTGCTCTGCCGCCACCACAGATAACGCACTCGGGAACGTCACGTCACAAGCCTACAGGGTCACTTTCACTGTTCGGCAAGCACCACGGATCAGGAAACACCCAGCCTCAAAGCACACCATACTATGAGCAATACAATTCAGCCGCGGCACAAGTTCCAACAACTCCAACATCTGCTGCACCCCCATCCAATCAAGCTCACGGCTCCGGTTCAGGGACTGGAGGAAGGAACACTAGCCATCAAATGCAAGTCAAGGGCAAAGATCTTCTGCACACAGCGGGAGTGTTGGGCGGCAAAGGGATGACGAGCGCAAAGGGCTTGTTCGCTAAGGGGAAAAGCCGATTCAGAACAAGCGGCAGCGGCGACAAGGTAGATAAATGATTTCTTCTTTTTTGTACGATTTACATCATTTCCTTTATCGACACAACCCGAGATTGCATATTACGAACTTTCCTTCCCCCTCCCTATACAGATGGCACGCGACCGATGGTTGAAACGTCTGAAGAGGCCTCTAATTTCCATATTTCCTAGCTCTTTTGGGGGCGGTTTGTTTATTTTCTTAATTTTGTTCATGATGGCCTGGCCCTGATAACTTTTCATGATTTGTTGATCTACTCTCATGTACGATTAGGGCCCTGACCACCTTTCATAATCATGAAAATGTTAATCCTATCGTCTCTTCTCGACTTCCCACAACCTATGAGTACATGTGTTGATTTGTGTGATGTAGGCCGCGCGATCACAATCAGTATCCTCGTCCCGAGAGGTCTCAGAAGAACCCGAATTAGTAACGACACCCGAGAAATTACCTAGAATGTCTACCGATCTTGACGGGGCTAGAGAGGAGAAGAAAAAGCGTCGACTATCATCTCCTTTTCACCGTTCAAGTCGTCCAAGATCGAGACCATCTAGCATCGTACTGCCCAAGAATACGCATTTAGACTTTAGTTCTGGCGAAACACCAAGAAACACTCCATCTCGTGAGACACCTTCTCCCGAGGGCAACAGACCTCATTCCTACCATGCACCAGATTCTTGGAATGTGGTACCCGATTCCCAGCAACCGGCGGATCAAGCTACTCCGCCAGGAGGCGGGTTGCAAGCTCCTGAGCGCCTTGGTGTTCTTCCCTCTCCCGCAAAGAGCGCATTCTCGCTGCTTCCCCAAGACAAGGACGGAGACATTCCCCCAGTTCCTCCAATTCCTAATTGCATGGAGGATGGACAAAAAGGCCGGGGTAGCCAAGATAGCACCAACGCCAGTCACAGAGTCCTCCAATCTATAATCAGGCATTCCACACCACCGACGACAGAGACCTCAAAATTAAGAGAGTCTCCAGTCTCCGCGAACGAGAAGGTCGAGGGGGGAACTCTTCCACAAGACATCTCTGCCAGCGCTCGAGAAAGCGGAAAACTGTCAAAGCCGGAGCAGATAGAGGACGATGATGACCAACCACCGCAGTTGAACCATGAGCTAGCACCACCCATGGTCCTCCGTCAACCGCCTGGCAAGGGACAGAATATCTCGCCCCCATCGGCCATAACTACTTCTGATGTCGGAGAAATTTCGCCTGTGGTGTCATCTACAGGGCTAGAACGCGACGATGGGGACGATGATGACCGGCCCCCGAGACTAGAGCTTGACTTTCTAACACTAGACACTCAGCAAGTCAGGGGCGATGTAAGCCCGATGATTATGGCACAATCGCTTGCCGTAGGTTGTGAGGGCGACGGCCCGCACACCCCTGTCGCTGCCGCGGCTTTTGCGCAACGCGATGTGCGACCAGCGTATGAGACAGAGCAAATCGGCGCGGGCGACGTGTCGCCCATCTCATTACACGCTCGGGACGAGGAACCCACGCCGACAAAACCAAGCGAGCGCCCGCAAATTGAGCCAACAGAAAGGCAGGCAGATGAAGTTGAAGGGGAGGATGGCACTCCGGAGAAGGCCGCGTTAGTCGCGCAGGCTCCAATACGAGCCCCGCTTGATGCAGGTGAGGGTCGCCTAGCTGCGCCACCACCGGTCGCCACGCAGCAGCGCCAATCTGTGTCTCCATATCAGGTCGTCCACGCAGTCCAGTACGTCCCATCACATTCTTCTCTAGAATCATGGGAACAGGACAGTGTCGTCGCGCCGTCGCAGTCAGATGGGAGCCAGCTGGGCGATAAGGTGGAAGAAGCCCACATCCCGCCCGTGCCGCAGATCCCGAGCAACATCCAGCACCAGGAGAAGGCTGAGGCGATTGAGCTGCCTCCAGAGCTAGAGCAGAAGACTTTGAAAATCGCAACTTCAGATGCTTACGAGCAGGAGCATCCTCCCACTTCCGAGTCAGTTGCGCCAGATATGCAGCAATCACCAATGACTGAACCGGCGAACCCGGGAGGCCACAAGCGCTCTCAATCTCTGCTATCGGTCATTTCATCCGCAGTGTCAGCAGAGGGAGCTCCAAAATCACCAGCATCCGATCATGCCGTGAGGTCGAGGCCGTCCAGTGCCAACCGACAGCTGCATAGCGCGAAAGGCTCACCAGTCCCTCCACAGATTGCAGAAGAAGCCGCTCCTACAGAACCAAAAAGTCTTGCTCCTCCCAATGATGATGAGTATGACCTTTATGCCGATCATAATGGCATCGTCAAGGACGTGCACGACGAAAGGGGCCAGCCATTACGGGTCACAACAGTACAACCTCCGAACCCTACCGAAACTCCACCACAAGTGCCCACAATTGCCCACCCTCAACAGACGCCACAGGTTCAGGAGGAAGACGTGGCAAGGTACAGTGATGAGCGGCCTATGAGCTTTGTTTCCGTTCCTCGAGATGCGAATGGCAGGCCCCAAGAGCAGATCAACAGACCAGCAGCAGCGCCAGCAGAGATAGATATACCACCCATTCCCCAGATTCCAACCCAGCTACAAGGACAAGCCCAACCTCAGGATCGTATAGATACTAGACCACCGCATTCCCAACCGGTCCCGCAACCCGATCCAGGCCGCGAGTCACAATCCACTCCAGACAGATATTCAGGACGGCAGAATGTTTCTCCTCTTCAAAACAATCAGTTGCCCCAACAAGTTCGAACTCCTCCACATAGCACCGTCTCTCCACCCCCACCGAGCAATGCATCTCCGCCACAGCCTACACCTCCGCCTAGTCTTGCTCAAAGGCCACTTCTCCAGGATCCACGGATGCAAGGCCAGCAGCAGGACCCTAGAATGCAGGACCCTCGCATGCAGGATCCACGAGTAGCACGAGATCCCCGGATTATGCAAGATCCACGAATGATGCAAGATCCACGCATGATGCAGGACCCACGATTGGTGCAGGATCCACAAATGATGCAAGATCCAAGGATGCAAGACCCTCGATTTATAGCGGATTTGCGAATGCGCGGCATAATCCCAGGGCAGCCATATCCTCCCCAAGACCCGCGAGCGCAGATGCAAATGCCAGGGCAAATGTATGTCAAAGATCCTCGTATGCAAGGACTTGGGCCTCCTCCAACACCAAGAAATCAATTCGAGCTTCAACAACAAATGATACATCGTCAAGCAATGGATCCTCGCTTTCGCGGCTCTGAATATCATCTTCCAGGGGTTGGGCCGCCGCGGCCAGGCGCACAACCTACCAAGCAAGAAGAAAAGTCTTCATCACGACCGAAGCTTGGATCGGTCTTCAAAAGTCTTGGCAGTAAATCTTCGACGACTCCTCCAGCCTCAATTCCTCCGAATAATCGAGTCAATCCGACCCTTACTGCCCCCAATGGCCAGAATCGCAACTTCTCGTACCAATCAAGCGTAGGAGATCTCCCCATAGAGCAAGCCGCTATGAAGAAGGAACGAAAACCAAGCGTGCTTGGGTCGCTAGCCAGTCGTCCTCAAAGCGTAGGACAGGAATCGCACATCAGTCAGGAAAGCACTGCTGCCCAAGCAGCTTCTTCGCGTCTAGATTTAAGATATCCAACAAGTCCAGCGCCTTTCAAAGGTATCCCGCCAATGCAACCGCCACCTGGCGCTCCTGTTCCCCCAAAACAACCACAGCCGCAGCGCTCGGCTACATCCGGGACCCCGGAAGCAGGGAAGAAAAAGAGGTTCTCAGCTCTAGGCAGCCTATTCAGTCGCAGCGGAACGACTGGGCATGCGGTTCCGTCGAAAACAAAGTTGTCAAAAGAAGAAAAGAAGGCCCAAAAAGCGCAAAAGCACAACACTGTACCCCCAATGCAGCCTCCACCAGCACAACAATGGCCACAACAGCAACAACAGTTGAGACCTCAGCAATATATCATGCAGTATGGCCCACCTCCAGGGGCGCCGCGCCCATTTCCAGGGATGCAAGGTATCCCGCAAGCTATACCACCCCAAGCTATGTCACCTCAAGGGCGTCCATCCCAGGGAATTTCACCCCAGGGGGTGCCCCCACAGCGTATTCCTTCACAAGGCTACCGGCTACAACAACAGCAACAGCCACCACAGCGTCCTGGGCCTAATGAATCCGCCTATATGGCTACAAGACAGTTTGCCCAGGAACCACTATCACAGCAACCGGTCCCACAAGAAACCCAGCAAGTTCCTCAAAGCTCTCGTCCTGGAGCATCTACTCAAGCTCCATCCTTCGAGCATACTATTCAGCGTCCCGAAGGGTCCGGGGAAGGTCTCCCTCTAGATGGTTATTACACCCCTGAAAAGAAGCGCTGGTCTCACGGCCATGGAGCAGCTGGCTTCGCGGCGATTGAGCAGCAGCAGCAGACTGTATCTGCACAGAATCCCCCAAACCAACGTCGTGTATCATCTCCAGCATCTGCTCATGGGTCCAATACTGCCATATCACCCGTCTCTCAGCGCCGCGTGAGTTCACCTCAGACAGAGCCTCGATATGAGACACCCCAGATTCCTGCCGCATATAATCATGTATCTGGCACCTACATTTCGAATGGCGTTCAACTTCCTGCCCAGGATCCACAGCCCGGTCGTCCTTCCCCTATTCCGGCCAGCGGTACGTCGGATCGACAGTACTCCGATCCCCAGATGCAGCCAATATCACCTCAAGTATCAGAACAGTCACAGATAGTGCCGAGTGAGCGCACGCAATCCAATGCCAGTATTTCCTCTGTTGTCTCGCCTGTCTCAAACCCACCTCCCGGCATGCCATCTGCTCAACTCATATCTAGCCAAAGGGCTCAAAAGCCGAGAATGAGTAGTATTTCGGAGGCGACACATCAAGAACGGCCGTGGAATTTGAACCTACCAGAAGGAGCCACAGAGCAAGAGATTGTCCGTGCCCGCCACCAACAACATATGGAACAGATCTACCAACAGCAAATGGCTACCCAACAACAGTTGCAGGCTGAAAGGAACGGCCAATCGCCCTCCCCACATCCATCTCTTCAGGCTCAGTCACCGAGCCCCCACCCATCACAATCTTCTCAACAGCCCCAGCAGGTCCCGCCTAGTGTCATGCAAGGCTTCCGTGAAGTCTTACCTCGTGGGTCGCCTCAGCCATACTCGATACCCCAGCAGCAACAACATCCGCCGGCGCCTCATTACGAACGCCGTGATCAACAGCAACAACAACCGCCTTACCATTCGCGTACGCCTCAGCCGCTTCAACCTGCGCCAATCCACCCAGGGGATATTCAGAATGGTGCTGTTCAGCCTGCAGCATATCCTCTTCCAATGTCCCCTGACTCTGCCAGCGTGAGAAGTCCTATAAACCCTCGCGCAGATACCCTACCGCCGCCACCTCCACCAAAGATCCCTCACAGTCCTATGAGGCCAGTATTCTCCGTTGGTGAGACTCCTCCACCACATGTCCAACAGCAGGGCGGGTCCGAATATCAGCAATACCAGCCTCCGCCGCCGGTGCAACAACCAGAGTACGAACAACACCCTACTGACGAGCCACCGCCTTCCTACTCTGGCCCTGGGGTTCCAAACGAAGGAATGGACAAAGAACGAACTCGACCACCAAATATTATGACTGACCCCGAAACCCGAGGTCGCGAGCGAGAGACTCGGACCCGCCAACCTTCCATTGGCATTCTTCAACACCCGCAACCTGCCTCCATGGCTGCATCCCCTCAGCGCTCGTCCGCAGACATGGGTGCTGATATTCTCCGGCGGCAGCTTCTTGAGCAAGAGGAACGCGAACGTATGGAGAGACTTCAGAGAGCCGAATTGCAGCGCGTGGAGACTGAACGGGAGAGACAAGAGCGAGAGCGAGACAGAGCACGGGCAAGAGAGTTGGAGCGCAGCGTTTCAGGCGGTGGCAGAGTCGGAAGCTTGCGGAGTGTTGGAGGTAGCGCAAGGGGAAGAGGGCCTGGGTGGGAGAGAAGAGGTAGCACGGTAAGACCTGTGTTCGAGCTACCGGCTGAGGAGGACGATGAACCGGTTATGAGGGCGACTTCTTTCCCTGGGCAAGAGTGGGTTCCTACTTGGACGGAAGATTGATTCATCGCGTAAGATCCCTTTTCTGTGAAGGTGACACGAAGCATATTTCTTTTCCCTTCTCCTGCGGACATTTAAGATTTGGCTACTACCAGATTCAGTACTTTTGTTTCTCTTATGTCAGAGTTCGTTGGATACCATATGTCAGCGTACACAATCGCATCACTGCACAAAGGTTTGGTCTTATCTTTGCGGAGTTGGATACCCAATTTTTCTTTCTTTGTTTCCGCAGTCATTCTCTCCTCGGCTGGACTATGTAGAGTTTCTTAGCACGGTTGTAATTATCTGGATGGTTTCAAGGTTAAAAAGAATGTCGATACCCTTCTTTGTCCCAAAATTACTTTACCATTTTATTACTTCTGTCATCGCCTATCTCAATGTCATTCTTCTACCTTATGGCGGTGATGCTAAGGGTACATTTTCATTGTAATAATGAGTCTATACAGAGTATACTACTGTATGAGTCGAGAGGTGGTTCTTGCAAGGACATTGTATGGTCATAGTGACTCCCTATGTTTCACCACTTTGTCACCACCCACACCTTGAACCACGGATGATTGTGACAACAGGCAAACTTTAATCACTCCTTTCTTATAAACCTACCTTGCATTCCGGCCGACTTTGTTCCCACAACTAGGATACATCAACACTCACTATCGATAAACACACAACCAACTCAGGCTACACGGAAACGAAATCACGATTCACCTTAGAATAGCTTGGCGCACAGCTACACATTCACGATGATGCACCTGTCAGCTAGACTCGCAACCCTCTTGCACCCCCCGGGGTCTGTTCAATACATTCGTCATGCTAGACCCATCGCTTTCAGATCGACCATACGGGAGCTAAATCTCCTCCTGGTCTCAGACGCGCTTCACAATGCTAGCAACTCCCAGCCCCTGAGACCGCTACAATTTTCTTTCGCAGCTCGCCTCCCGCCCAATCCAATGGCTATGCTAGACAAACAGCCACTGCTGCAAACATGCTAGAACCTCACTTCTTTCTCCTAATATCAGAAACCCTTCACCATCGAAAACGCCAAGTCCGCAGGGTCACCCACTCAGGGAATGATAACGCTAGTTCCATCTACAAAGACTACCACTACTGCAATGATGAAAGTCTCCAGACCATGGGTGTACTCCCTCTCTACATTCCTGCAGCTAAAATCTGGAACGACAGACTATGCGATGAATGGATGTGGCCAAGAAGGCGACGCGAAGCCCCTCAGCGTGCTTCAAGCAATTCTATGCAGAGCTCCGGACCCTGACACCTATCACTATGGTGGGGAGTTTCTAAGGAGTTTTAAGGTTGTGAAGGCGATATAGATGGCGGTTCATGAGGTCAAGGTTACACAAGCAATCACCCATGGGATGAATGGGCTGAGAGAGGTCTCCGATAGATCTATGGTGGTGGTTAGATAAATCAAGGAGAGGGTGGTCGTTCAGTCAAAAGGGGTGAAGGAGGAGGCTGTGGAGAAGGTGGATGAGAAGCCCGCCCGCAGTTGTCTTCTGGATCTTCCCCAGGGCGAATGCTAGGGATCGATTGTAATGGCGAATTAAGTGTCATGCAGTGGGTAAGACTTGACAGAGTGAGTGTGTTAGAGGGAAGTAGGAAGGGGGTGGCTCCTGCTATTTTGAAATAGACAGCAAGGAAAGCTTTGAACACGGGAAATGTATAGTGTGGATTTAGTCTTCTTTACTGTTGAGTATAATTGTAAAGGATATTTCAAAAGACGATTGTAATATTGCATGTAGGCGGAATGCCCTAGAATGTAGGGTTAGTCCTTCACGGTAAGGATCTAATTTAATAGATAGGATATAAAAGTAGTGAAAAAGTTACCCCCCAAGGGGAAAGACCAGAAGAGACCCCTTTAAGATGGTTGGATTCCGAGAAGGCTGTGCCGCATCGTATTTGTCCAAGGTTCTTGTTGCCTTTCCGTCTCATCATGCTATTGGTCAGCCCCACTACGTATTGTCGCAGGTTCTCTCACAATACACCATCACTTCAGCCAAAAGATTTATCACTTCTCAAATTCCTTCACTCCCATAGCTTTCGCGACTGCCTTCAGTTTCAGGATCTATACCAATAGAGGATATTCACGGGTAGTATTCGCATCAGCCTTGCCTATGGACATCGCTTCAATGAGGCTCTCCGTCACTTAGCCTTGCCTTACCCTTCATTCATGACTGCCTAGTCACCCATCCCAAGATTTGTACAAAGCATCTGGACACTTTCAAACTTAGGCCATCGCATCACCGCTACTTAAAGGACATTAACTTGCCCCATCTCTTTCCCTGTAACTTTCCGCACCTCTTTCTCACAACCACAAACTCCCTCACAAAACTAGGCTCAATAGCTAATTTCAAGCCTTGCGGACTAAATCCCCAACGAGCTCTGTTATAGGACCGCAGATATGGCCTACTACGGAAACCTACGAGACACTGTTCGTGTAGAAGATGATGAAGCCAGCCTGCGGTTAGCCTTGCAGCTGCATGAAGAGATGAATGGTGATATAGCGCTTCCGGTTACGAAGACGGCTCCGAAGTCTTTTGTGACTATTGTTCCACACGGCGACGACTGTGATGCCGACTTAGCCTACGCTATGCAACTCAGCGCAGAATTGAATGGCGGCCAAGCATCTGCTACTTTGCAAACCTTCGAGCCACCAAACTATGGTCCACCGCTAGATTCTCCGGGTTTTTCCTCAACATCTAATGCGTCCATTCGGGGGGTTGCTGGCTACGAAGGCGGAAAGCTCCACCCATATCATGATGAACATCGCTCAAACTCGACTTCGACTTCTAGGACCTTCACTACGTTCAATGAATTCGCTTCCCATGTGCGGACTAGAAAATGTGCTCTTTGTAACACGAAGTTAATTAATGGTCAACAAGATATTGAGGAGTTATTTAAGAGTTGGTTGAATGGGAAGAGTAAGTTGGCTTGCTCACATTTCTCACATTCTAATAAGGACTACAGGTGCTGCATCTTCCAGGGTTAAATGCAAACGCTGCTCAACATCCACGTGCGTTGGATGCAACTCAAAGCCGTCCGGCAAGAACTTTCCTACTCAAACGAACGTCCAGGGCACCCAGCTGAGTTGGTGTTGCAGCCATGGCCGCCTTTTCCTCGTCTGGGTAACTCTTTGCGGAATGGACCAGCAATACTGCAGCGAGAAGCTACGGGAGGCTGCTAAGACCGGAACTCGTCGTGTTGGTTCCTCTTCCTATAGTCACCATGATACTGGCATTGGCTATGGTGGTGGTCGTCCAGGGGAGGACCTAGCCTACGCCAACTCGATGAAGCCCATAATGTATACTAGTGGTCCCGGTCATCAATTTCTCCAACCCAAGCCTGCTCAGGATGCTGGTAAGATGAAGGCTCAAAATGCCCAGCAAGTTTCCGATAGCTTCATTCATATGGTCCTTGGATTCCTTGTGGAGCTTCTGCCATCGCTAGATAGACAATCTAGCTTCGATATGGACCCTCCTGAGGCGGTAGTATCGATGCTGCTCAATAGCAAGATCTTGAACAAGGCCGCTGAGCTCCTCCGTAACGACTCACTTGAGGATGCGACCAAACGGAAGGATCTCTATCAAGCGCTGCTGAACTTTCTCCGAGCAATTGGAAACCATCATGTAACGGCCAGCAAGACGATGTTTAGCGAAAGAGTGCTGCGCCCTGACACTGTCAACCTTCTTACTCTCTCATTTGGAGGAAATCCCGGTAGTGGAAAGGCAAAGGAGGATACGTCTTCATCCCTTGGAGACTGCCTCCGAAACCTCAATCTCCAGAGCAACATGATGTTGCAAGGCGCCCAGCTCAACGAGAAAGAGTTCCGCAACCAAGAAGGCCAAGATATGCTCTGGCTCTGTCGTCAAGTCTCCGATCTTTCGGAATATCTGCTCGTAAATACGAAAGCAGGTAGCGGCGCAGTTTCGAAGAACCAAGAGGCCGAGAATATCAACCATTGCATCGTGGAAGTGCCAGACCAGCAAATATTTGCCAATTATCACTATGCAGCCACCGCTCGCGCAATTACACAGTCTCCCCCAGGAAGAATGAAGCGACTGATTACGGAGATCACAACGTTGACGACGGGGCTCCCACCGGGTATCTTTGTCAAGTATGCGGCGTCCCGACTAGATGTAATGGTGAGTTAGATCAAAATGCTTACAGTGCCAAATCATAGCTAACTGATGACAGAAAATCATCATTGTCGGTCCGGTCGGAACACCTTACGAGAATGGTCTCTTCGAATTCGACCTACTCTGCACGGGAAACTTCCCCTTTGAGTCCCCGAAGGTAACCTTCAGGACCACAGGTGGTGGGACAGTGTGTTTCAACCCTAATCTCTATGCGGATGGTAAAGGTTGGCCATATCATTCCTTTGAAGCTTTCTGTATCGTTCACTAACCGATACTCAGTCTGCCTCTCTCTCCTTGGAACCTGGCAAGGGGAGCCATGGCGTCCCGCGCAGTCAACCATTCTCCAAGTCTTGGTCTCGATCCAAGCAATGATTCTATGCGATGAGCCGTACTGTAACGAGCCTTCAAATGAGACGTATCGAGGCCGCCCAGAATCGAAGGCATTCAACAAGACGATAGAAGGGTTCACAGTACGCTACGCCATAATGGACTGGCTCCAAAGCGCCCATCCTGTGTGGAACGATGTCGTAGCCTCGCATTTCAAGAAGAACGCACAGGCCATCCTCCAGACAGTCTTGCGGTGGGAGCAGCATGGCCTTGGGGTCCATCCTCCACGTGGTTGGGTAGGAATGGTTGGACCTGGGCAGGGGAAAGCACGGGCTGAGGTCGTTTCAACCTTGCGGCCGCAGCTGGAGATGCTCTTGCAGAAGTTTGGCGCAAACCCGGTTGCGGGACACACCGCAAGCCCGAAAGCTCTTAGCCCAAGTCACGGTGGCAATAGACACCCTCCGGGATATGGATCGCAATCCCCAGGTCGCGGTGGATATGGTCTAGGTAGTTTTGGAGGCAGACACGGTATGCCTGGTGGCTATTACTGATCGCAACACATTCATCGGTTGCTCGCTGGAGATTGATGCAATGTTGCACACAAGAATGATGGAGGGGAAAGATATGATCTGGGCACTGGCAATCTCTTAACGTAAACGATACTGGGCAGGAGTTTTCTTGAGCACATGCGAATTTTATTCACTTTTCCAGGCTTAATATTTTGGAAGCTGAGCTCTAGAGTGCATTTGAGTAATGAATTCCAGGGGTTGAGTCAAGGTCACGTCGGCTTCAACCTTAATATGCCGAAGTCATGTTGTGACGGCTTCGTTTAGTATAGATACAAGGAATGTGAACAATGTTGTCAGTGTGAGGTTTGAAACGATGTTCACCTAAAGTTCTCGAGCTTGAAATGTGGTACCGTCACGTGACGATGTTTACGGGCCTTGTTTCTCCGAACTCCGGAGTCATCACTGTAATCACCACAGAGCCTCATCAACTGCTCCCCTCCATCGCTTCGCTGTACCAACAACTCCACCTTTCTCTAACCCTTCTTCCTCTCTACTTCTCATACCCGTGGCTTCCTCTGTGACTTTGCAACCTGCACAATATACAAGCGCCACCATGTCAAGCGCGCAAGTGCTGAAGGCCGACAAGGACTTCACTAAAGAGGTCGATAAGCTTCTACCAGAAGCCCAACAGCTTGCAAATGTATCTCGCTCAACACTCCATCCAGTGCTAGAGCTAACGAGATGATAGCAAGGCAATGCTCAAGCCGCGATCGAGAAGTTACTTCTGCTCGAGAAGCAGACCCGCCAGGTTCGCCAATACAGCGTGCTCGCCGCCTTCTAGCTTCACTGACGTGCCTAGGCCTCTGATCTAGCGTCTACGTCTCGAATCCTCGTCGCCATATGCACAATAGCTAAGGAAGCCGAAGATTGGAGCTTGCTGAACGAGCAGGTGCTGTTACTGTCTAAGAAGCATGGACAGCTCAAGCAGGCCACCACCAAGATGGTACAAGTGGTGATGGGCTTCTTGGATGGTACACCGAGTCTCGAGACAAAGCTCTCTGTAATCGAGACCTTGCGGACGGTCACCGAGGGCAAGGTGAGTAGCGTGGGTCCCCATGATACGTCTAATGCTGACAATGTTCACAGATCTTTGTAGAAGTCGAGAGAGCCCGCATCACCCGAATATTATCCAACATCAAGAAGGAACAAGGTGACATCACCGCAGCTACAGATATCCTGTGCGAGCTTCAGGTGGAGACGTTTGGTTCTATGACACGCCGAGAGAAGACGGAGTTTATTCTACAGCAGGTGGCGCTCTGCATAGAGAAGGGCGACTGGACACAGGCTGGTATTCTTAGCAGGAAAATCAGCACGCGGTACTTCACACGGAAGCCGAAGAAGACTCCCGAGCAGCTAGAGAAGGAGAAGAAGGAACGCGAAGAGAAGGAGAAGAACAGAAGCGCTGATGACCCACCAGTGGAGCCAGAAGACGATGTCACGGATCTTAAGCTTCGGTACTATGAGCAGCAGATCACACTAGCCAAGCATGAGGATAAGTATCTTAATGTTTGCAAGCATTACCGGCAGGTACTCGATACGGAAGCGGTTGAGGAGGACCCAAAGAAACTCCGCGCGGTAAGTCTATTCGACAGCACGTTGTTGTTTAACAACTAATGAGCTTCCAGATCCTCCAGCGAGTCATCTACTTCGTCATCCTCGCCCCATACGACAATGAGCAGTCTGATCTCATCCACCGCATCCAGAGAGACTCCCGAAATTCCGTGATCCCGCAAGATGCGCAGTTAGTCAAGCTGTTCACCGTCCCCGAACTTATGAGGTGGCCTATGGTTGCTAAGCAGTTTGGTCCTCACTTGACGGAAACCGATGTCTTCGATGCGGAGAAGGACGATTCGGACGACCCGAAGGCACACCAGCGATGGCAGGACCTACGAAAGCGGGTCATTGAGCACAACGTTCGTGTCGTCGCCAAGTACTATACTCGGATTCAGATCCCGCGGCTTACACAGCTTCTTGACCTTACCGAGGATGAGACGGAAAAGTACATTAGCGAGTTGGTCACGGCAAAGACCATCCACGCTAAGATCGATCGACCGGCCCGTATCGTGAGCTTTGCTAAGCCCAGAGATGCTGATGATGTGTTGAATGAGTGGAGTGGGAACATGAAGAGCTTATTAGGACTGTTAGAGCGGATTGATCATCTCATCACTAAGGAGGAGATGATGGCGCGGATACAAGCCCCCACGAAGGCAGAGAAGGGCAAGACAACTAAAGCAAAATAAGGGAGAGGAGGCATGCATTGATACACAAGGAAAGCCTCGGATAGTCTAGACATAAGGCTTCTATAGCTTGGGCTCGTCGCATCATATGCGCGATGTAATATAGACGTCTAACGATGTCTCGTCCATCTAGGTGCCGTATCCGATCTATGATCAACGCCATACTTCCAGGTAATGCTTCTACGATCAGAAAAATCAGAACGGGACATCCATATCCTCGACACTCTCCTCCTTTTTCCCGTCTCCCTCGAAAGAGTGCAGTGCCTCCTTCATGAAGCCTATTAAGACGCTGACGTAGGCTTTCTGACTACTTGGTAGGAAGTGACCTCCCGGGTGATAGACAACCCGGCCGTCGCTGCTTTCGCATGCGTTTGCCAAGGCCAGACTTCTCGCCTCCTCCACAATAGCGTCCAATGATCCCAGGAAGTGTAGCATGGGCGTCTTGATTTTCGGCTCATAGAATCCTTTATACAAGTCCATGCCCCGGGCAGCAAACCCAGAGTAGCTGACGGCGAACTTGAGCGGTGGATGTATCGCCTCCTCGACATATCCCGTGTCAGCTTCGAAAGACTCCGGATACCTCATGCCGCCTTTCGGATACACGGCCTCGAAGCCTTGTCTCCGCCCAGGTTCGAGAAGTGAAGCTACCATAGCCGCGCATGCCCCGCCTTGTGAGAAACCCACGACGCCATCGAAGGGCCCCTCGGATTTCAGTATCGATGCAATGTGCTCCAGACCTCGCTCTATTCCCTCATATGTGTAGGGTTCCTTCTCGCCCTTTCGTCTCCACCACGCCCAGGCATCGGTCTCTTCAGCGTCGCCGGCCGATCCGCCATTCGCCGACGAAGCTGCAGCGAATGGGACGTCTGTGGGAGCTAACCGTATCGGCGCGGTGGGGTAGTGCAGTGTGATGCCGGCCGGAAAGGCCTTTTGGAGGTTCTTTTCCAGAGCGCGGGTTTTGGCGTGGAACAGCGGTCCCGATTGTGTGAAGCCATGCAGCATGAGGACTTTGATGGGTGTGGAGGGCGGGGGGGCTTGTGAGACCATGATGCGGTGGGGGAGGAGCGTGTAGAGGTTTGTTGGGTGGATATTCTGGGGGAGGGAAGGCATGCAGCGTAGGAACGCTCTCGGGATAGTGACATGCTTTAATTGGAACGGGTTTCGGAACGGCAGACGCCAAGGGTGTTGGTTCGGGATGACACCGTGCCGACGCTTCGGGCCGTGCTTGCAGATGCCGAGATGCAACTCCAAAAAAATTATCGACAAGCTCCAAGCTCAAGTGCCCCCTCCGAGCTCGAATGTAACCTCCCCGTGCACTTTTCTCTGCGATGCTTACCGAACAGTTCATCGCATCCATATCTGCGTCAACCAAACCGAATGCTGGTGTCACGAAAGATGCAGGCATTTTCTTCCACGAATTCCAGCCATTGCCCGCACAGCGATATGTCTTCAAGAAGAGCGCAACGCCGCCAAACTGCCTTGCCGTGAGCAGGTCGCATATTTTCGCAGCGCAGGCCGAGAAAGCAGTGGTCCATATCTATAGCAGGGAGAAGGGGAATCAGGAGGCTATCGTGCCCTTCCAGGAGAGGATACGGAGTATTGCGTTGGCGTCAAAAGATACGGCGCTGCTGCTGGGGATGGAGAGTGGGCGGATATTGGCATGGGAGGTCAGTAACATAGCCCTGCATGACTCCATTGTGGCGAGGTTTCTGACTTGGAGAGTAGATATGCTCAGGGCGCCTAGTATCCACCTCAACCTCGCATCTCCAGCCCGTTACAGCCATCGTAGTAGACCCGGCCTCTAATTTCTTTCTTTCCGGTTCTTCGGATTCTATGATTCATGTCTGGAATCTACCTTCAATTCTGTCTTTCTCCCCAGACGCATCGCGCGCCCCTATACGCACACTCTCTTCTCACCGCAGTCCCATCACAGGGCTGACATGCGGACACAGCCACAGCACTGCTAATCTTGCCATCTCAATCTCTCAGGACAAGTCTGCAATAGTATGGGATTATCACAATGGGCAAGCGCTGCGAACGTACCTCCTCCCTGCGTCTCCAATGGCTGTGACGCTAGACCCTGCAGATCGTGCTATTTATGTAGCGTACGAAGACGGCAGTTTGCAGACCATATCTTTCTATGACGAGGTTCAGCAGTCGACGCCAACTGATCTCCTCCGCGACTCATCCTCATTACATCGGCCCATACAACCTTCTCCGAAGACGAGGTTTAACGCTGAATCCCAGAAACTTGGCGGTGCGTTGAGCTTAAGCTTGTGCTGGGATGGCACGACACTCATTTCCGGGCACTCAAGTGGCAAGATGGCAGTTTGGGACCTCGCAAAGGGCAACTATATATCCACGATAGCCAGCCTTCCAGGGCCTGTGACGAATTTGCAATTCCTGCCTCCGACTGGTTTCCCCAATGCATCGGAACCAAAATGTAAGATCCACACAGTTGTAAAACCAAGACAGGATTTGGGAGCGGTCAATGGTGGAAGCGGACTCGTCCCTGCCAATTATACATTGAACATGCAGTTCACAGGACGGTTGTCAATACCAAACATTTCGGCAGCGGAATCGAGAAGATCTGAGAAGACTGGGTTTGAAGAGGCATTAAACCATCCCAGCTTCCCCACTCATATGCTAGAAGAGAGCCTTGCCGAGCTTGAGACTTGGAATTCTCAGCCTAACGGGCACGTCGCTTCCACATCAGACTTTCTCTCATTCTCTTCATTAGATGGGAGTGCGCAAGATGGGGAGGACGAAGTCAAGGAGCTGAAAAAGCAATTAGCAAGCCTGCAAAGAGTGCAAAAAGTGACGTTTAAGCAATTAGCAGATTTGCGGGAAGAGAAGCAGTGGTTCACCAGGCGAGAAAAGAGGAGAGCTGTACGAAAAGAGCTCCGAGCAAAGAAGAAATTCGGTCTCCTTAATAACGACGGTGATGGAGATGTGAAAATGGGTGACGCTAGTAAAGGCAGTGGATCTGAAGACATCGAATCGGGGTCAAGTGAAGTTGACACAGACGACAACGACGAAAATAACTCTGCATCCTCAAAATCTGGAAGCGGAAGGGAAAGTAGCGGAGATTCTTCGGATTGATGCAAGCCCGGACATCTCGCATATTCACACACACAAACCTGACCTCTCCAAACCGTATCTCGGGGCCAATGCTTCACAACTCCTGTATCACTTCAAGACGTGCTCCACACGAAGATCCCTCTCTCGTCTCTCTGGCTCTAGCTCTCGCACCAACACCGAGAAATTCCAGATCCCTTGCCTTTAGTAATGTTTCCGGTCTTACCTGCCCAATCTCCTAGGAAACCCGAAACCGAGGGTACAACCTTCAACCCCCCCGGCCAACCTCCTCAAACAATCTGTACTTTCTTTTTTTTTCCTCAACCCCGCGTGCGCCTTCCCGGAAAAGCTGAACCTGATGCTTGCTTGCTCTAGAACAGGACCATACACATTCCGCCTGTATACGCACCCGGATTCGCGTTCATTCTCAAGCCGCGGCGAAGGAGCTGACCTGGACACAACATGGTTCTAGCAAACGGTCCATGACGCCACAGCGGGGTCTCGCGATATTCCACAACTCGACACCCGCCCAACATTTGACAACGGCGCTAGGAGAGCGACTCTCATCCACAACAGCACCCGAGTCTAGGAAACAACTGGAGCGGGTGCGTGATCAAAGACAAGCGTTGTTTGCTTGTGAAGAAGGATGCAGCGTTGAGGATGCTGTGGAACAGCCTTAATCTAGCGTTGTGTTGTGTGAGAAAGAGTGTCACGGACGCGCGGATTCTGTTTCCTGATCTGGGTTAGAGCTTAAGAGAGGTATGAGGGCGGGAGACCATAGCGGGAGGGAAAGCGAAAATACTTGAAAGTAACGGAGCGGTGTAGAATGGTGGATGGGAGTGTGTGTGATTGAGGCGCTTCATTGCGTTTGTATGTGTGCTTCTTCTCATCCTGCCAAGGATTCGGTGGACCCCGAGCCGCCTCCAGCTTGCCCAGAATCCCTCTGCCCCCTTTGCACCTCGTCACGCCAATCAAACAAGCACGAGTTTGACTATGCTTATCAGAGAAGTCACGCCGAACCTAGAGTACTACTCCACACTTGCATAGAAAATCCCATCTATCGTTTTTCCGATCCTTCACCACCTCATTAGGTCTTTGATCAAGACTTCCCTCATCGATCAGTCTGAAACTGATGTCAAAGGTGTAAACTTATAATTACCATGTCTAGAAACCTGTGTTCTGCGTGCCCTTGCCCTGGAGTCACTTGCCATTGGTATTTGGATCGAGGGAATGAGAGTGAGGGAAGGGAAGGGAAGGGTAAGGGGGTACAATACCGGGGGTGATTGACGCAGGGGCCCTTTGCTTGGGATTGATTGCCATTGCGATATTAATGGGGATTGAGGAGTGCGAGACATTATCAACTGCGCGCAGAGTCAACAGAGAGATATCAAATGATTCATGTCCAAGCCATGAATAGAAGAATCCCCCACTCCTCCACAAAGGCCTCCCTACACATTAGGCCTCCCCCCCTTCTCTCCACACGTTCACGCACTTCCTGCAGGAACAAATATCCGACCCTCCCTTCCCTTTCCCAACTTCCCAATCCACTCCACTCCCCTCGCATTGCAAATAGCTCATCCCTACAGCCTGCAAATTTCCCTCACGCGAGCATGGCATCCTTACCGGAAAACCGCACTCTAGCTCCAATGAACATCTCGCGTCCATCTGAGCCCAACACCAAAATATCTCAGTGCAACACCTCAATCCTTCCAGAGACCCGGAGGCGGAGGAGTCCGGGACGGAAGGATTCCGGGAGCATGCAAGCGGAGGAGGTGAGTGGCATCAACATAATAATCACGGTATCATGCCACCCCCTCGCCTATCTATCGTATTTGAAGGGTTGAAACAGGAATGAGTGATTTGAAGTGCCGAAAGAGAGGCAAGTACCGCAATGGAACCAAGAACTAGGTTAACCGACGTTTGGGGAAGCATGGAATGCAAGACAGGGGAAGAAAAAAACAGAATACAACGACTTTACAGGACACTCACAAGTTTCAGACGCCAGAAGACCTCTAGAATAAACCACCTTATTTGTAAAATTTGCTAGCACGTTTTCGTATATTCGCTACCTAAGCTAGTTTCACTTGAAAAGCTCACTCAGTGCTGTGCGTGAATCTTCGTACCCCAACGCGTGGCCTTCTGAAGCATGGAAACCCCAGAAAACTAGCGTCAAGACCTCGGACTTGCAGCAACACGCTCGGCAGCTCTTCTTTCAACGCCAGCCAGCCTTAAGAGGTATCTTTCTATTACAATTCCATCCCGCAACCCCTACCATCCTGAATCGCGCAGCCCAAGAAGCCTTTTGCGCCCTTTTCTTGCGCCCATAATCCAAAGCAAAGTCCACCTGCAGCTCCAGGAATCTCCCAGTATTGGAAAATTGAAACGCTGAACAGGGAGATGTGGGTATGTTGATTTTTGGAGGACCTGTAACCCGGGGGAATCGTCGAGAATTGAAGGAAGAAAAATAGACCTGATAGTGACCGAAGACGGAGGAAAGGCCAGATAGAACTAGTCGAAAATCGCAACAGTACCAAATGCTAGTGTTGAGTCGGTTGAGTTGAGGGTAAAGAGGGATTAAAAGGGAGTCATGGTTATTGGTCCAAAATAGTTGGAAAAAGCCAAGTAAAGCTGTTCAACTTTAAGTAACGTTGGCACCCTGAGGCAAGATAGTCTTTGGTAATCGTAGCGGTCGTGATCCTTGCGGGGGAACTTCTTGCAGTCTGATTTGTTTTAAAGCAGAGGTCCGCCCGGTTCAACGAGACAGAAATGAAATCAATGCTGAGAAAGAGGTATGTTGACACGGTGATACTGGAAATGTCGAGGACTTGGCTAGGGACCGAAAAAACACCACAGCCATAGGATATGTGAACGGGAATGGATAGAGATCCGAGAGGTGATTAACAATGGTATCGTCGTCAGTCATCGTGATATGTTCTGGCCGTGTTGGAAAAGATGCAGTCAGCAGAAGCAAACTCTCTTGTGAAGAGCTCGAGGAACGCCGTGCTAGTGTTCGCTAAGATGGCGCAAGATGCCTCCCAGAAAGTGAAAGTGGTGGTGTGGCAATTGCCCAGGAACGGGGGGTTTTTATTGAGAGGCTGACTTGTGTCTCCCCCGGTTACCCGTTGCATATTCAGAATCCGGCGACCATTCTTCTGGTTGGAAGTCTGGATTTAGGAAGTGCGCTGTATTGTAGTGGGAGCTAGTAGATGTCAGAAGGGGTTGACGAGATTAACCAGTTGCACTTACTTGCGGAATATTGACGTTTGGAAGGGTAAAGCATGTGGTTGGCCGGAATGGAATCCTGGTTCAAGCTCGTACATTGATGGTCTGAAAGGGCCCCCCCTCTCGATTGTCATCTGCGGGCCCCTGTCAATGGTCACGGGAGGCGGCGGAGGCGGATGGATTGGGAGGACAAGCGGAGGTTCTAATTGGATGGTGTGATGGCTTGGAGGATTGTGATGATTCACATGGCTAGCATGAACTGGTGTGACGTATTCCTGGTGGGAGCTAGCAACTGGCGTGGCAGGTGTCTGGGCAGGTGCGTACGTAGGGACCGGCGCGATTTGAGGTTGCGGGGCGGGGTTTGGGTTGTAGTCGTACGAAACCGAGGGCCACCGTTGGCCTATGCCTGTGGGATACATGCCAGGAATCATGGTCATGACGTCGGGTATGTTAGAAGACATTGGCACAAATTCGTCGGCGTAACCCGCCAGAGCCACATGGAGAGGCGCTTGCGTGGGAACCGGCTGTGCTTGCTGGAGCGGCTGCGCGACGTCTTCGGCCTTGTAGAGAATATCGTAGTGACCGCTGCGAAACTATTAGAACAGACTTTGAGAAAGGAACACAACTGTGACGCTTACGGTCGATAAAGAAGCCTCAGAGTCTGAGGGTTCTTTAGCGGAAGTCCATCGTGGCCTGTTGGCTCGTAACGGTAGGTGTTGATTTCCTCTCCTGGGGATCGATCCAGGTACAAGACCTCGAGCGCGAAGCCCGCAGGCTTGATGACGGCCTCGGCCAACGCGGCTATTCCCAGGTGGTCAATCTCGCACTGTGCAGCCTCGATGTTCATGGAGCAGTACGACTTCAGGTCCTGGTTGAACTCGAGGAAGGGGGCAAAGTCATTTGGATTCGACTGCATCCAAGCACTCGCAAGCAACTAGAGTAATATTAGCCGATGGACCCTGAAAACATGTACCTACCCCGTGAAGGGTGAGCTCTGTCGCGGAACTTGCCTTGAGGTAGGTGATGATAGCCATGGCCGTGCTAGGGTCGTTGAAGGTTTGGAGGAGCGTCTCGGGACCGGCGCCGTCCATGGCGCGCAGCGAGGCTGAAAGCTTCTGGAGGAGGCCGAATGCCTCGTCCACGAAGTCGATGTAGACATGCTCCGGGAAGCCCGCGGCGTTGAGTAGGTTGTGCATCGACTGCAGACGGGCCTCCTCATCCTCGAGCTTGTTCACGTCGGCCACGCGGAGCAGAGCCTCGAAGTAGGTGAAGGCGATGGCTGCATGCACATGTCAGTACGGTGCGGCTCCTACGGAATGTGCATTGCATACCTCGCCAGCCGCAGTGTCCATCGCCGCGACAGGTGCGGAAGTAGGCGTAGTTGGACGGGAGGGCCTGGCAGGCGTGTCAGCGGGCTTGGGGACGGCATCGTAGCACGGCAAGTACTCACGGCCGTCTTGACTCTGTAGATGGGGTCGGCGTTGGCGTACTCGGTCGCAATGGCGCTGCTGCTCTGGCGCTCGCCGACGAGCGGGCCCTGCGAACGTCAGTCTCAACTGCTCTTCGCAACTATCACGGTGCATGAAACTGGACGGTACTGACGGTGACTTCAGGCTGGTACTCGCTCGACAGTTTCTGCAGGTTTGCGAGCTCCTCGTCGGAGGCCATGTAAGCGGGGCCCGACATCCTGACGGTGGAGATGCGGCCGTGGTGGCCAGTGTGTTGTTGATTGTAGCCGGCGGAAAGCTCCGGCGCGCGGATTGGCAGCGGCCGGTACGACAGGCCCGTGTGGACGATGCTGTCGAATCCAGGCTGTGGGTAGGAATGGTAGTTGTGGGTGAGCACCGACGGTCGACTCATCTCTCCAATGCTTCTCTGGCGGTGAATTTTGATGCTCGTTCTCGCTCTGGGTGAATGCTTGCTAAGGGTGAATGTGAGCGAAAAAAATCCCCTATGGCGGCGTGACTTGCTCGAATGGCAGGAGTGGTCGCGATTCTACGGCAGACTCGGCAGTGCAGCAATAGGTAGAAGTTCATCCACAAGCATCCATGGACCAGAGGCAGGTGTCGGTTTTAGTAGGTCCAGCGTTCCGCGGCGATGGGTTGGGAATTGGTGTCGTTGCTGTGATACCCACCTGCTACCAGGGGCAAGCCAATATATCAGAGAAACAAAAGCAGCTGGGGGCAAGATCCACGGAGCTTGCCAGATTATCGACTATGCTGCCAGGCACGAGAGCGCTCTGCAACATCTGTCCTGGCGGGTTGAAACGGCGAGCTTTGGTTGCACCAGGAGCTGTGAAGAACCATCAAATCGATCTCGGTCAATGCTAAAGGCGCCTCATGCACATCGAGCGATGGGGTGCTTCAGGTGAAACCGGAGGGTGAGTGGTGAGCGACGGCGCACAAGAGGGCGATGGTGCTCAAGGGCGAGCACAATCAGCGCCTGGGGACCTCCAGCAAAAGAAAGCAGCCATCGCCGGCATGGACGAGGCCACTGAAGATATCAAAGCACGCAAGACGCAAGGCCAGGCCGACAGCGGATGCTTTGCGGCGGCGGGGGTCTGATATGGCTCCGAGCTACGACGACTACGGATATGGCTCTAGAAATTGTTTCTACAGGCCTCGGAAAACCTTCGCATCGTGACCCCAGCGCAGCCAGCAGCTTCCCCAGAACAGCCCGCATGCCACAGTGAGCCGCCGGAGCTTTCTAGACGACTCGACGCGCCGCATGGCGAGGGTGTGGACGAGTGTGCGCAACCACCAGCAGCTGGAGCACACGGCCGTGTGGGAGCATTATTCTGGGGGGTAGGGGGGGGTAGGGGGGGGGGGTGTATGGCAGCGATGGCGCCGAGAAAATGACCTCTCACAATCTCACACACAGTGCGTCCAGCCAGACCTCGCGTCTGCTGCGTCCTGCCACTGAGGGCTTGCAGACGCCGCATGATTCGCCCGCTCTCAGAGCCGTGTCCGCACGGCAAGCAAATGGAACTGCCTGACCCGCGATAACCTGGTGGAGATACCTAGGTACTCTGTCGATGCATTCTTTCCCCCACGCTGCACGCGAGAGCCGAGCGCACCCTGGCAGTCCCCGAATGGGAAGGCCCCGTGGGGCATACACTTTCAACTCCGGCTCTGAAGAGCCAGGACGAAGGCTGCCCATGTCTTCAAGAAAGCCTAGCCGCTTCCCCGGGACAATGATTATTTGCGACGAGTCACTCGACGTCGTCAGTGGCATTCACGAATCGCTTCCTCCGCGGCGTCACTGGGCAGGGCGGGATTGATGCGAGCAACCCTGTCTATCGCAGCCCATCTATCCAGGCAATCGGGTCTCTTGGCTAGTTGCAACGCAACAAGAAAACGAGGCCATGAGGCCATGTTACATACACAATTCGCTGCTCACTGTGGCAGGCTGGTGTCCCGCCATATCCCGAACATGTCCGCCTCCGATCGCTGTTGAGACGCCAGTCTTGTGAACTGTGTGCAAGTAAAATGGAAACTCTTACCCCAGTACCACCAGCCGGGGCCACCGTTCCCCTCCTTCTGGGAAATCTATCCGCATGTTTCAATCTTTCAGGTCAAATAAGCCTCCATGACGCTCTGTGGGACTGCAATAACCCGTGGTCTCATTCCCAGTACCCAGTTATTGGTTGTCCTTCGGCCGGCTTGCAGACGAATCTGCAAGTCATCCTTTGTTCCCAGCGCCCGGCAACCGTCCCGAAAGACCCTTGCCTTTTGGCCGTCCAACCTTAGGGAGGCCATTCAGATTCCAGGACGACCGCTGTGTTCCCCCTATACCCCCGTGCTCTCCAGGAGGATTGGGTGAGAGCTGAGGGCCGCTCTCATCTGACGACTTGAATCCATCGCCCTCGTTCAAGACCGTGGCCCACAACGATCCAATTGCTGCACTCCACTCCTTCATCGCTTGCACCCGATCCATGTCTGTGCTACTCTCGATTTCCACCGTGCCAGACTGCTGGTTTATTTTCCCGCGCAGTCGTTTGTCCACAATCAAAAAGCCCACAATCTCCTGGACTTCAGGGAGGGTAATCTTCAACTGCTTGGAGATAAATGCCAATGTGAACCGAGTGTACGGGGCCACGAGCTTAATGATAGCTTTAGTTCGTACATTACGCGTAACCTCGTCGATGTTCTCAGCGATGAACGGGTCCATAAGAAGATCCTGGTTGTTCTGCAGGATCTTTTCGTACTCGTGTATGTCGTCCCTCTGATACGCGTCTACCAAGTCGGTCATGGCAGAGATGCGAGGATCATTCTTGTAGGGCTTCGTCTCCTGTGAGTCGAACGGATTGATGTCTGAACCCGACAGCATGGTCGCGAGGACGAGATACTTGAGCACCTGGATCCGCTGAAGCGATCCCGCCTCATCGTAGTTTCGGAAACTCTCGAAAAAGTCACTTTGTGCTCCCTTCCAATTTTCTGCGGAAGGTTAGTAATCATGCCTTCTGAGATGATCCAGTCCCTACCTTCGCTCATGTGCATTTTGCCACCACATTCTCGGATGATTCCCATAATCTTAGGATGTGGAACAGCGGAACGCACTTTGAGAGCTCTTTGGTATAATGCCTGCAAGGGTGAGTATGCAAGTGAGATTAGATCCGGAGATGAAACTAACCTTCAAGCGCTTGTTGTTTCTCGTCTCAGCATACATGAGGATCTCTAGGGAATAAACCTCCAATGAATATGTGCCTTTGCTTGGGTCATCTGTTCCATCCTCTTTCTGACATGCCTTGTGCAACTCTCGGACCTTCTCCGTTAGCTGGCGGTAGTCTTTTCTATCCAACCAAAGCCTCGCAAGCTTGATGTTCGTCTTGAGCCAGAGTCTCTCGTTGTTGGTGCTCTGGAAAGTGTCGAGGGTCAGGGCGTATAGCTTCTCCATGCAGCGATATGCTTCGGCATCTTCTGCCGCCTTCTCGATGAAGTCCAGCATATTATTAATGGACTTCTCAGAGTAATTACGTGTAACTGCTGATTTGACATAGGTAAGGAGCTCTTTGAAATGCTCCACAGCCTGTGCGCGCTGTCAGCAGCAATCCAAGCTCGCGGACTTGCAAAAATACGGACTTGGTCGTAACGCTTGAGTTTGAACTCAAGCTTGATGGCCTGCTTCAGGCCTTTGAAACCCCTGCTAAGCGTAAGCTTTCTTCAGGAAATATAACCCCACTATGCGTACCAGTCTCCTTTTTCATCTTCCAGTGCGGGGACGCCAAGAAACTCATCGATAGCTTCCTCTGGAGCTTCGGCCTTCAACTGCTTGGCATTGTAGTACTTGTTTTCGATGTCGACATCTCCACCTTGCTCTTCGTCGTCGTCTTCATACTCAAAGTCATACCTAAAGCTCGTCAGATGGAGGCAGCAGTTGAGGCAGCAAAACTTACTCCTCCTGGTCGGAGTCTTGCATAAAATCGTCGTCGTCGGACATAGTTGCGGCGCGGAGCAGGAAAGGAGGGGGGTGGGCAAGAGGAGGGCGAAGGGTGAAGGTTACGTCAAAGTTGATTCGAAGGAGATGATTTGGTCGTGGAGGGGACGGCCCAGAATATGCTCTGCTGGTGCAGGAGATAGCTCGTGGTGCAGCAGTGAATATGTTTGACGACTTCGGTGGTGCCTGCTCGGAGGTGAAGGCCCCACGTTCGCTTAATCAGCTAGGGTTGATGCGCCCCTGGGGTTGTGTTCCTGCCTCAGCACGCACTCCCAAGCTGGTGGTTTTTGACATTCACATATAAAAGAGAGTGCCCACGCCGTCACTCCCGCTGAAGCGACCTCTCTACCAAGCATTCTGTGAAAATGCAGGAACAGCCATGCAGAACCAGGCACGCTTTGGTTTCGGCTTCAGGAGAGATACACAGCGCCAAGCGTTGCACGTTGATGACATTCAAGATATTGGGGCATTTCTTGAATCATGCACCTCAATTCTAGGAGCATAGCAAAGCGTGCAGGAGAAATAAAACGGTCCGACCATGCCCGAGATAATTCAACGGTTCAACGAATCTGTCCTACCCTGATCTCTGTTCCCTGCGTTCGCAAGGCTGCGGGCATGGTTGGGCCCTGCTATTGGTCAGCCACGGGTGATCTTCGACACGTTGAACATTGTTTGAACAGCGAATTCACAGTCCAGCACGGCGCATTGCGACAATTTTTCTCAAACAACCATAAGACAACACGTCTCGCCCGTATCTCGACACCTCATCATCAGCCCGTATAAGCATTGACAAGTTGCTTGGCACCTCTACCGGCACTCAAACTGCGCCACGGCCGCGAAAGACGGCTGTGAAAGTGGTGAGCCGGAGGCAGGAGTGGAGAGGCGAAAGTGGCCCATTCGGTTTAACGTTGCATTGGTTTCTCCACCAAAACCCGCTCTCCAGCCAGCTCTCGAGCGCCCAACTTCACCTTGTCCATAATATCCTCCGGTCGCTACCTCGCTCCGTGCGACTCTCGCTCCTGCCCTCGACGCGTTCCTACCTGCGACAGGCCAGCTTCCGGTAGCACCTTCGCGCCTGCGTCCTGCTCCTTGAACCGATACGACTCGATCGCCGAATCCTCCTTCCCCAACCTTCGCGATGCCGCTCTGTGGTGGAACAAAGTCCGTGCAGCGCAAGCTGGTGCTTCTGTGCGTTGATCTATCCATGGCCATAGAGTCGCGATCTGGCTCGCGGAATCTTTGCGATAGATTTGGGCTAACTCGCAGGCTGCAGTGGTGACGGCGCATGCGGAAAGACCTCACTTCTGAACGTTTTTACAAGAGGGTATGTCCTGACATGCTTCGTTCGAGCATCTGCCCCTCGACATTGCACCAGAGTCCCGTCCAACTAACTTACGCCACAGGTACTTCCCTACAGTATAGTAAGTCACTCATTCAGGGCCTACGCGTGGGCCTAGGCTAACGAAGATGCGATTCGTGCAGTGAACCTACTGTATTTGGTGAGCGCCCTTTGATCTTGAATCCCAACTACAAACACTGATCAATTGCGTGTAGAAAACTACGTTCACGGTTCGTTGCGCCTTCCGCCAACCCCCCCCCCCCCATTCCCCATCCCCGCCGTGCCCTAACGTGTTGCAGACATCTTTATCGACAACACACATGTGGAGCTCAGTCTGTGGGACACTGCCGGACAGGAGGAATTCGACCGCCTACGATCTCTCTCCTACGATGATACTCATGCGATAATGCTGTGCTTTAGCGTATGTGTCAACCATCTCCCTCGTCAAGCTGTTGTAGGACTTCGCTGAGACCCAGCTGATATAGGTCGACTCGCCTGATTCTTTGGAGAACGTGGAGACAAAATGGGTTGGTGAAATAGCGGAGAACTGCCCAGGGGTTAAGCTCGTCCTCGTTGCACTGAAATGTGATTTGCGGAAGCGGGAAGACGACGAGGAAGGCCAACCCGAGAAGCCAATGATCAACTACGATGAGGGTCTGAAAGTTGCCGAAAGAATCAAGGCACTACGATATCTTGGTGAGCCTTGCTGCGCCGTCTCACTGATTTTCATTCTCTTACCCCGGCCTAGAGTGCTCCGCAATGAAAAACCGGGGTGTTAACGAGGCATTCACCGAAGCTGCTCGTGTTGCCCTCACAGTCAAGACGGCTAAGGACAAAAGCTCCAGCTGCGTTATCTTGTGATTTTGTTTACATGCCTGTTCTTAGGCATATTTCCTTTCTATTCTTACTTTAGCCTTCTTTATATCCCTTCATTGTAGTGCAATGCTTTTCTTATGTTAGAGGCTGGAAGCCACCGCTTGGGCAGTTTTTGTATGACAGGGAGTCTTCGGTTTGACAGGTTCATGATCCTTTTCTTTCGTTTTCTGAGCCTGCAGGGAACCTTATCTCACGGTGTTATATTCCTCCTTTTACTGTGTATAAGAATTTTAGCCCTCGGGCCACCCCGGATGACCGTCCAAGAAGGTGTTTTTCCGACACCACATTAGTCACCTGAAGCAATTGGACCCTTGCCAAAGGGTAGAGAAAATACATATCATTATTTTTAATAACTTAACCAACGGGCCTAGAACTCGGTGTGGAATCATACATCCCATGCACAAACAAGTCGAGGTCGCTTACCCTTCAACAAGGAAAACCTTTCTTTGCGTTGCACATTCAAAACCTCCGAACATCAGACCATAATGGCTTGGCCAGATGGGCAATTTTCCTTTCCCATGCAAGATAAAGCAACGCACCGTTTTCGCAAAACTTGGCAGGCATCTTGCAGGATGGGTGCAGGTCGGATCTTCCGATCAAGGCCTGGGAAGAGAAGAAAGCACAGATTCCAGGATCAGTGTAGATTAACTGCTTTTGAATCTTAACGGACAGGTCCAACAGGCAGCCGAAAAACAACCTTCCGCGTCTATTCTCTCCTCGAAGGCTTTTCTACATGGGCGTGAAGTTAGACTGATGGAATGAATGCACGGTAAACGTATGTAGAATAGCAATCTATTCTCTTGAATGTACCACGGACTGGGACGTAGGACAGAACGTGACGAAATGTATGCTAATGTACAAAGCTGCACCTTATCAATTAATTACCTAAATCCAACAACAAGTTGAACTATTCCATTGCGTTAATCCTCCTTTGATCCTCCTTTGATCCTCCTTTGCATGGTACAGGATGATAGGATGACGCCTGCAAGATCGAACGCTGTCTAGCGACTATACTTGATAATAGCACCTAATAATGAACGCTAAGTTCTGCCTTGGACATACTCGAAACTCGCAGTCATCAATCGAATATTGTTGAGTCAGTGAGTGAGTGAGTGAGTGAGTGAATGAAGTCTGAGGGATTCAGCCAGCGAGACTCGTCCACGGGTGAAGGCTATTGGCGAATTAGCCGAACAATTGCCAAGCCCACAAGCCCAACTTTTGGTCGGCGCCTTCGAGCTTCCTCACCTCCATCTTGAGTCCGCCCTGTCCTCGATTTCCCTCGATCCATCCATCGACATCAACACATCAAAGGAAACAACGAGTCCAGGACTCTCGACAATCCATCAAGATGGTGAGATTCCCCTTTGCGTGACCCCAATATGTGATATGGGGGATAAGCGTGCAAGCACACACGACACCCCGAATTTTCGGCACAAAATTTGTTGAACTCCAAGTACTGGCCGCATGCAATCCTTCTAACGCCCGAGAACGAAAGAATATGGCTAACTCGTGTGCTTCAGGTTCTCGCAGTTGATCTCCTCAACCCCACCCCATCTGCGTACGCTCAGCCACATCTAAGAACCCGCAAGCAAACTAGCAGCTAATTCCTGAGTACAGTGAGGCCCGCAAACACAAGCTCAAGACTCTTGTCCCCGCTCCCCGGTCGTTCTTCATGGACGTCAAGTGTCCCGGCTGCTTCACAATCACCACCGTCTTCTCGCACGCAAACACTGTTGTTGTCTGCCAGGGCTGCTCGCAAGTCCTGTAAGCAACTCCGGTCACCAATGCAAACGCACGGAGTCACTAATGGGTGTACTTAGGTGCCAACCTACCGGAGGTAAGGCGCGGCTGACCGAAGGCTGCTCTTTCCGAAGGAAGTAGACAACAACTCGGGGCAACGATGGCGGGAAGATGATTGATTACGATGGCGACGATATATAATGGGATAGGGGTGTAGATCTCATACGGTACCGACCGGCTCGACTGCAGGATAGAAGAGGGATCTTTCGACTCGAGTCAAGTCCAAAAATCAAAACGGGAGTTCCGGATATCTAGCGTTGATCACAACAACCCTTTCACCCCGAATCCATTTTCTTTTGTTCAAGCATGCTCTTCTACAGCTTTCATGTACATGCATGTGGGAGGCGAGATAGCATCTCAGAGCTCGGGATCAATCGTCCTGGAGCGAGGACCGGTTTGCAATCAAGGATACCTCCGCGTGCAAGCGGTCCTTTGTAAAATCGAACAAAGCAATTCCTCACGCTCGCTCCAGACAATGTTTTGACGTTACCTCACTACCCGAACTTATGCTCACAGTAGAGGCTACCCATTATAGAGAGTTTCTATTAAGCCTCACAACAGATAGATGCAAGAGACAACAATGTTAGAATTGTGGCAAGCTCCCCTTTCTTAATCTGGACCGGAAGTCTTGGCTGCATTCGTTGTGCTAATGAACAAGCGCTGGCCGCGGTTCGAGGTCGATGCCCAATGATTGACCTGCAGGTCTCCGCATGACAGGCAAATGTCCATCATTAACGTCCGGTAGTGGAAACATTGATAGAAACAAACATTACCGTTTCCATTTCCATCTTTCGCGCGGCCCAGAACAACCCCAATACCATCCCCCAAAAATTCAGTCTATTAAGCCGAGTGCATGATTCAAGGCCAGTCCCACGACGTCATTTTCGCTCCTCTGCCGCTCTGTGCCGTGCCGCCAACATGGACACTCCAACTGAGCCAGCACCATTCCCGACCAAATCGCAAACTTTAATCTGGGAATTCCTCGCTGCAAATCCTGCGTTGGATGCTGAACTGGGCGATATCGAAGTCATGACGGATCGGTATACTAATGAAGAGTGGGCGACACAGATTGCGGAGACTGTGAAGAAGGTGCAGGCTGATAGTGAGGCAAGGGGTAAGAAAAAGTATGAGGCGCCAGCTGAAGGGAGTAAGGAGCTTGCGGAGACGATTGATCATACAATTTTGAAATTGGATGCTACGAGTAGCCAGATCGATGCGCTTTGTTCTGAGGCTAGGACGGAGGGGTTTAAGGTATGTGCACTCATTATTGGGTTGGATTCTTGGTAGTTTGGAGTGGCATGGATTGAAGATAGGCACTCGTTGAGGACTTTAACAAAAGTCTTTAGTTCCCTTCGTTCAGGGTTTTGGAAACTTTCAATTCTGTGGATTTTAGTTGAACTTCGGCTAATAATTCGTAGAGTGTATGCGTCCGTCTGAATTATGTCCAACGCTGTATCTCGAATCTCAAGGGTTCCCCAGTCGTTGTAGCATGCGTAGTCGGCTTCCATGAAGGCACCCAGGACACCTACTCTAAGCTCCGAGAAGCGCGAGCTGCCGTAGAAGCAGGCGCTTCTGAGCTCGATGTCGTCTTAAACTACAAGATCATTACCCAGCATTCTCCATCAATCGCGGCAACGTCACACAAGACAAACCCTAGTACATCCACCACGGCAAGCTTAACTGCATCCAACACGGCTGCAAATAGTAAACCCCATGCTGGAGACTCAACACCAGCCGAAGGTCCCTATTCCATGCCCAGCTCTACCATGAAATCCAACCAACAGAACTCCTGCACATCCTCTCAATCACTTCCGGTCTCCGACAACATCCCCAACTACAGCTTTATCTTCCGCGAACTTGCCTCCCTTCGCTCCCTCTGCCCCTCCCCCATAACCCTCAAACTCATCCTCGAAACCTCCCAACTCACCCCTCCCCAAATCCTGGCTGCCGCGCACCTAGCCGCTGCCGCAAACTTCGACTTCATCAAAACCTCAACAGGCTTCAACGGCCGCGGCGCCTCTCTCGCTGACGTCGAACTCATGGTCACAGCTGCAGAGTATCTGTCTACCACAACGGAATCCAACGGCGGGAGTCCTGTGTGCGGTAGGAAAATGCAGGTGAAAGCGAGTGGGGGAATAAGGAGCTTGGCTGATGCGACTAAGATGTTGGAGGCGGGGGCTACGAGGTTGGGGACGAGTAGTGGGTTATGGATTATGCAGGAGGGACGGAAGGTGGTGGAGGAAAAGGAGGGAAGGAGGCCGGGGGGGGTGTCGAGATTGTATACTGATGATGATTCAGCGGGTGGGTATTAGATTGGAGTTTGGAATCAGAAGTGTGGGCGCGGGTGGGTGGATTTGGCATTTTGTCTGCATGTACGCATTGGGGGCATTGTGTGGAGCATCGGGGCTGTAGTGGAAGATACCTATCCTGCTGTTCTTGCAGCGATAACTACTTGGAAGGAGCATCAACACTGGGCTGATATGCAATAGGTCCTAGATACATTCATGTAATCAGAAATATCAAGATCCAACTTCAGTCTATGTCCATACGGTTCTAACAACCTGTCTGCCTCGCGCCGAAATGGGAACTATTTTTGAAGAAAGCTTGCTCGGCTAGCTTCATAGAGGTGCAGTTGACAGACGCTGTGATTGAGAATACTACAGGGGAAATCTGGGTCTTTTTGCGTCTCTGTTAGGGAAAATAATCTCCATGATATGTTTTCACTTCGGCATTAGAGCCCGTCGCTCCAGTGAATTGCAAGAGACAATGCATACTCACATGAATAAAATCTAGACAACGGAAATGGAAAAGGATTGCACGTCCACACACAGCGCGGGGTCTTTAGGCATGTGCTCGGCCTGAATCGATTAAGTACGAGTTTAAGAATATGGTCACTATAGCAGTTGCCTCATCAACAGGGGGAGGAAATACAGACTGAAAATAGGAGGCATGATGGCAGTCGAAGAATTTTTTTGGCTTGGTAAGATCTACACGTAACTCATATCAACCACTAACCATCTGGAACCGATGTAGAGTATTTCGAAGTTGAAGGTAGAGAAACTACCTGAAGGATTTATTTCGTCATGACCAACTCCGATGATACACGCCATACCATGAAGACTACTAGCCTAGGGACTACTCCTCGTCCTCGTCATCGCCATCGTCATCACCACCCTTCTCGGCGGCCTTGGCCTTCTTCCTCCTCACACGGCCAGGGCGTCCACCGCCGAAGGGCGAGGTCAGAGCAAAGTCGATGTGCTTCTGGGAGTCGAGACGGACGACGAAGGATGGGACGTTAACGATCTGCTTGCCGACACTGTGGAGATAGTTAGCAATACGGTTCTCTACGTATTAAGCATATCTGGAGACCCACCGGATGTGCCTCTGGCGGATGAGAACACGGGCGTGATGGATGGATTTTGCAAGACCGAGTTTGTATACACAGGTCTGGAGACGGCGCTCCAAGAAATCCTCAATTTTCAGGGCCAAGACGTAATCGAGCTTCATGCGGGACTCGTCGAGCACGCCGACACGGACGAGACGTCGAATGAGGGCATTACCCTCAAAGAGGCGCTTGGGGTCCTTCTCATCGAGGGTGAGGAGGGAACTGCGCAGGTCATTAGCACGGTTTGATAATTTGAGGTTGAGCTATTGTGTCACCATGAAGGGCGCATTATATGTGGAGACAGACGTACCGGGCAGCACGACGGATCTTGGACAGAGTCAATTGGACACGCCAGACCTCGCGCTTGTTACGGAGACCATATTCGCCGACGAGCTTGAGCTCAGTATCCCTAGCCTCTCATTAACCGTGGTGTCCCAGACATAAGCGGAGCACGCTCTCGCTCAGTGGCCTTAGGGGACAGCAAATACGTACAGACGAGCGGACTCGAAAGGACGCCTTGGAACGCTGTACGTCTTCGAGTAGCTGCGGGGCGCCATGGTGGGTGGTTGTCGATGTGAAGGGAGAGTTCGTAAGAGCCAGGTTTTGGAGGTGGCCGAGTGCGCAAATCCTCGCTTGTCGGCTCGGCGTAAGGTTGTTCCGCCCACACGAACAAGCGCATTTGGGCTGTTGAACGAAGACACTAACAACACTCCATCTTCAACGCCCACCAACATTCGCCATGGGTCATGCCGCCGGTCTCCGCGCTGGTACGCGCTATGCGTGAGTCTTCGCAGATGAAACTACAGCCGCTGAGAGTCTAATTGATTACTGTGCAGGTTCTCGAGAGGATTCAAGAAGAGGGGAATGGTGAGTTTTGCGATGGCCTCAATGGACGAAATTGATGCGAGCCTACCTCCAGATCCCGCTCTCGACCTACCTCCGACAGTACAAAGTTGGTGACATAGTGGACGTTGTGGCTAATGGTGTGGACATTCACTTCAGAGGACTTTGGACATGGCAGAGGCTCACAACCACACAGGTGCCGTACAAAAGGGTATGCCCTTTAAGGTCTACCACGGCAAGACTGGTGTTATCTACAACGTTACCAAATCCGCCGTCGGCGTCATCCTGTATGTCCCACAACAGGACTGCCGTTTATACCCCATATCCTAACTAGACTACAGCCACAAGCAGGTCGGCAACCGATACATCGAGAAGCGCATCAACGTCCGCGTCGAGCACATCCGACTTTCGCGCTCCCGAGAAGACTTCCTAAAGCGTGTCAAGGAAAATGCGGCGAAGATGAGGAAGGCTAAGACTGAGGGTGTCCACATGCATCTGAAGCGACAGCCAGTGCCGCCACGGGAGGCACGGACCATAAGCACCAAGGACAACAAACCAGAGAGCATTACGCCGATCCCGTACGAGACAACCATTTAAGCGAGGGGAATCAGATGGATCGCGAGCAAAATGGGAATCGATGGGTATGGGTCATGGCGTGTGTTTGGCGGAACTTCCAAGCAACTTTTCCTCTTTGGTCTGCACTTTCGATAGCATATGAAAGCGGCGATTCACCACGGTCGTCTTGCAGATGATCCAGTGTGCTTGTGTGGCTCGGGGCTTCTCCATGTCAATACTGCACTTAATATTTCGGTCCTAGGTCGACCCGCTCCATCTTTGAATGGTTCACCGCTCTGTGAGCCTTTCAGCATGGAGTATGGTCTTCGACCTCTGTGTGGATGGTATGCTAGATCTCAGGTATCATGAGTGCCACTACTACTCGTGGACTCATAGCTTCGAATTGCTCGACATTCGTGTTTAACGTCAGCGGCCCCTTGCTATCCATTTCCCTCCACATCCACACTTTGTGCTGAACAGTCGGGCATTCCTACCATCATTATCCACCAAGTTAATGGAGTCTTCTTTGCCATAAACGGTAATAGTTTGAGTCAGGTGCTACCTTCTCAGAAGTTCCTGCCATATCTGCTGTCCATTTTGCATTATGAACCATATACCGCATAGTATCCCACGTCGCTTCAAGATTTCAAGCAGAGCCAACAGCGTGAAGCATCATGAATGAGTACGATACAGCAACTTTTCTATCGTGGGCGGGAGACGAAGTCAGCTTCTCGGGGGCCGGGAACGACCGGAGAGGAAAGAGGACGTCGATATGGCGATTTAATATAAACTAAACCTGTCTTGAAGCAAGGGTAACTGTTAGATTTGGTAGTCAGCTTTGTTTCTTGACTAAATCATATGCAAACTCTGTCCACTGCAACTTAGGAAGAATGAAGGAAGTGCAACCGCATGTGGCGAAGAAGTACGTCAACGGCCTCTCCTCTACTAAAAGCAAATAGCATCCACTCTTTCCTTCCCCGCATCTAAGATCTCTCGCCCAGCGTCAAGGTCGTCTAGCCCCGCATCAACATCACCATTCACTAAGGCGACTAGAAGCCGGGCTCCCACAAACTAGTGCTTCGAGAAAAAAAATGTCCCCGCTTCTTCGTTGGCGCTGTGCACATCCCGGCGTCTGACGGTCTGAGAAATTTCCAACGTGGCTGACCGTTATGCAAGATCTCAAGTGGAGCCCCGGAACGTGGAAAGAAAGCGAAGGAAATATTGTCCCGATTAGGCGGTGGCTCCTGTGGCTTCACGAAGGTTCAGGTCCGCCATCGCAAACCTAAAACTACAGTACCTCTTCGGACAAGTTGGCACTCGCTGGAAGTTCAGGGATGGCATGGAAGGATCGAAGGTTTTTGGTGGCTGAAAGAGTTGGAAGTGACTGAAGTGAGAGTAGTTGGTTGGTGGTGTGACCGTCGGATACATGGCATGATTCTCCTGTCTGAGCATGCGGATTCGATGGCTACATCAAGAACGTCCCCGACTGTTGGACTGAACATCACCAACCCTCAGGTGCCTGTGCGAGATAAAGTTTGAGATGAGGACAAGCAGCGTCACGCCAGAACTGGGGAGCAGGGCAATCTGGGGAATCCTGGTGGAGCTCATTGGTGGGCTGTATTGGGTTACGAGACAATTGAGGCGGGAGTGCTCCCTTGGACCGGTCGCTGTCGGATGATTGTTGCTGAAGCGAACCGTACTGTCGGTGTTGACGCTTTACACGCCGGGTGGTTTTGATGCGCAATGTGTGTCTCCGACAGCTTCGTGGAGTGATTTGAAGCTGGTAAAGTGTCGTGTCTAGGACATTGAACGTTTATTGCGAGGTGTTGCATGCGAGAACTTCTTATTAGATGCGAGATGCGAAGGCTAATGCACAGACTATAAAGTCATTGAGTGAATACAGAGCTTCCCAATCCGACGAACAATTGTGGCTAGTTCCAACTAGATGCAATCAAGTCGGAGGATGGCGGCATGCGCAAGTGAACAAGACTTGCGGCTCCTTTAGAACTCCTCCTTGGACCCTGAGCGCCACTAAAGTGCCCCGAGGTTCCTTAAAAAATGTGGAGGCCTTGGAGACCCTTTTTGTCTACGAGGCCCCTGAAGCCAAGGTTAGGGGTAGCGGATACAAATCTCGGCATTGAGTCCCACGTGGGAATGTTGTTTGTTGATTAGAGCCCCCGTGTCGGTATGTATCCGAATGAGTTCGGAAGAGGGACATGTTGTCAAATTGTGGCAAAATCACAACTGGTGCAGACATGGTAGTCTTCTTTGTTTCCTGGAAGCTACTGTACCTATTTCTGGCTTCCTTGACAAGCTCAGAGTACCGACAGAGAGGTGATTGAGAACGAAATGGGAGCTTACACAATAAGAGGGTGGGGCAAGGGCCACAGAACAAGGGTTGAGGAGAAATGGATATTCGTATCAACAGGAGATGGGTCAAGAAAGGAAAGGAGGGGGTGATATCGCATGCAGCAAACAGAGCGTGCGCCGAGTGTGGATTGAGGAAATACGGAAACGAAATCATCGAACTTGTGATGCCTCATTAGCGATAACCGTTCGTGTTTGGCCCCAGAAACAACTCGATTGACTCAGATTGAGGAAGTAATGTGCGAACTGCAGCCCTATTGCATGTTGTCACATATGACGGAAAATAACAAGATTATGATTTTTCAACGGAGGTTAACATCTGCTCACACCAGTAATACTTCGAACAAGAGGATTGAGAAGGGTTGGGAGAACAAATCTACCGGGGGTATGTTCCGTAGTGAGAGGTAATATGCTGTCGAGACTGAGGTTGAATGTAATCAACTGCGTTTCCTTTAGGCGATCATGGCGATCATCCGTAGGCATAACGGAACTTTGGCATAAGACCTGCTGTTTCGTCACCGAGTTGAAAGAATGCGCATGAATAGTAGCAACGATGATAAATGAAAAAACGCATGAAAAAGCTGATCTGCCAAACTCCTGAACAGCAGGCCGCGTGGGGTGAACGCCCAAGAGCAGAGCCTACTACAAAACTCAAAGATACTACCTTGATATCTAGTGTGGGTACGTCCTTGTTACCTCAATTGCCTCAAACAGGACATAGCAGCCTTGCATGTTCTCTTATGTCCAGCAATATTCGAAACGAGAGCAGGCAATGCCTGCGCGGGACGTCTCTGCAGTTCAGTCCGTACGGCAAATCGAACAAATGATGTTCACTACTGGGCGAAAAGAGAGTTGTCGGATAGGTGCGCGCCAGGTTCATGGGTCATCCCCCAGCTATCGGATAGGGACCGTCTGTCTTGGAATGAGGTTTAACCCATTTAGTGGCAAGAGTTGAAAATATTTAGCGAACGTTGCTTGGCTCCCCCGCTGTCAATATCGTATAGGATCGCCACTACCCCACAGTGACGAGTTCACCAAGCTTTCCAAGGTTTGTGGAGTTGAGGATGTCGTCGTTCTGGTGGGCCTGCCACAAGCGAGTGGATTAGAGGTAGCATTTGACAAAATGGAATACGGTGGTCTGAGCATCTGATTATCGTGCGACTCTTGAGCTCATAAAACGTGTTCACCGATAAGGGTTTGTGGCACATCCCGCCTTGACGTGTTAATGCAGTCAGCGAAGTTTGTTAGCACACTGCTGGGATTGAGTTGGGAGAACAATGCTTGCAGTCTTGAGCCAAAGTGTCGTGTCCTTGGGTTGGATTTCTACCTATTCCGGGCATTCCTAGCGCGGATCGGTCCCTGTGCAGGTGTGACTAGTGGCCGGGGGTTGCAGCGAAACCGACAGAACGGTTTCATCTCCTTTGCCGTATGCCGTAATAGGCAGGTTGCGCCGACCGAACTGAGACCAGCTTCCTAAACATGGATGCTCGCAGGATACAGAAATACTGTGTACACTGTGCCTCACGATCGTTGTTGGAGAGTCCTGAGAAAAGTTTTCTGATTTCATCCAAGCCGCTCAATAAACCCATTGGTATTCGGCCGCGGCCGATGTGTTTGCCAGAAGACAAATCACTAATACATGGCGACTATAGGCGGATATTGTGGAATGGGGACCTGCATGAGGAAACATTAAGTCGTTGCACAGATCCAGATACGGATTACATACCTTTAACATATCTTCCTCGAGATCCGCAGAACCGCTCATCAGAAAGGGGCAGACTGCCTAAAGTATGTACTTCATCGGGAGTACTGCAGTCAATCTCAAAGCTCTGCAGCTGTCTGTAGGGCAAGGGGCGGGAGGGGAGTTTGCATGGCAGATTCTGGAGCAACAGTGAAGCAGAGCCTACGCAAGTGCTGATTATTACGTATGTTTCATGCCGAGAAACGTAATCGTAATCACACGTGGAGATCCAGGAAAACTGCTCGAGGGAACAACAGGGGTTTCACAACTCACGTTTGAGTATCAAGATTTGTTGTTCCCCTTTTTGTTCATGACGTTGGTGAACGTCGGCAAAAGATGTGAGATAGATGGAGCAGAGGATAAGCCCATTCGACCGACCGTAGAATGCAAGCTCGAGTCATTATCGGTGAAAGGGCCTCTGGGCACACACAACGGCCTTAGAGCAAGCCCTGGATTCTAGCAAGTCAAACGCTGAATTAAGCATTTTTCGCCGCTCCAGTGCGAGAGCAAGAAGTACTCGCTTAGCCGACCATCGACCGGGTAATAAAAGGGACGGTATTATTAACATCCAGATATTGCGCCCGCTCGCGCCGTGAATGGATCGAGTGCCCTGAGGCGACGTTGATCAGACTCTGGACCCGTGATGGATGCCCTTGGGGCTCTGGTTGTGGCAGGTTGTCAGTCGGCCTGCCGTGCCAGAGCTGCAGATTCGATGGCGACAACCATAACACGGCCCCTGAATATCCTTTAATGGTAGGGGTTTTGGTGGGGTCACTGGGGTGAAAATGGTAATCCTTGCCCGATAGTGGAGAGCGGCGAGCATCCCCCAGACCAAGACTAGGTGACTCCACATCATTATTGGCGGTTTGATACTTAGAACTCAGGAGCTGCTGACGGTACCTCGAGTCACGACCTCGATAACACGATATAGATCCCGCCGCCAACACGTTCGAAGTTGGGGCACAGTGCGCTGCCGGGCAGGCGGTTGAGGTTGGCGGACAGAGGCACGACCAGCCGAGGTGCGCAGATAGCACGTAGAATATACAGTCTTTACAGAAAGCGGCTTTGACGCCATGGCCGTTGGAGCGATTGGTGCGAATCTTTCCTTTGACGCTCCTTCGCTGGTGTTCCAGGGTTGCACGGACGCGCTGACACCATGTGACGGCGGCATCTCCACGTGGTGGAGAACGAGCTGCATCGCTGTATCGCTGTAGCTCTTGAAACCCATCACACGACAGACCGTCACAGATCCTCGCGGGTCCCAGGATCTCTCTCGTCTTGGTGCTTGAGATGCAGCATGTCTCAATGCGGACGCCAGAATGGTCGCCCTGCTACCGGTTAGCCCAGAGTTGGGACATGATACAATGTCTTCGCCTCTCAAGGCCCTTTGAACCTTGACCCGCTCTCCAAGCCGCCGTACGACTGGCTCTTCGCCGGCTGGCAGGGGGCATGACGCTAGCAAGTCAAGCAAAATTGACTTCGGCCCTTGCCAGATTCGCCGTTAGCTGCCGGCACACATGCAGCGTTGGCAAGTCCTTTGCCCGCCTGCTGGTCTTAATTATGGCGTGCGCCTCTCCAGGATAGCGGTTCTGCAGTATCCACACTCTCTCCAACCTCAAAAGTCTTTAACATCTGTCCTGTGTTGGGTCTTTGTTGTGTTGTTATCTTTCCTTGAACGCACCTTCCGCCACCTGCGCTGGCTGGAAAGCCAGACTGAGCATCCGATTACCCTTTTCGGCAACCGTGAACACTCTCACTGCCCGCCTGCATTCATTGCGACTTCCAGTGTTCACGTCCTCCTAAACAAAGCCGGCACTGAACGAGCATTTCCGTGCCAATCCTCTCTGTCGACGGCGATGGCATCATAACCGTCTCATTTCACGCCCACCTTTCAACTTAAACTCTACACTTGAAGACTCCTCACCCCGTCCGCAAATTACGGGGAGTTAGCATGGCTTCATTCGAAAAGCGGTACTACGAGTACCCGTATAGCTTGGACCCCATCACTCCGACCATTAGGAAAGGGCTGGTTCCTGTGGCCATCTCCGCAGTTCTCTCACTAATCTCCGTCTCCGCGCTCCTCACCTTCATCACTCATCGATTAATATCGTGGAGAAGACACTACAAGGAATACGTGGGGTACAACCAATATGTGCTCCTGATTTACAACCTCCTACTCGCTGATTTCCAACAATCCCTGGCCTTTTCAATTTCCTTTCACTGGCTCCGAATTGGCAAAATTGTGGCACCTACTGGCGCCTGCTTTGCCCAGGCCTGGTTCCTTCACATTGGAGATATTTCAAGCGGCTTCTTCGTCCTTGCAATCGCGATACATACTTGGCTGGGTGTTGTTAAAGGATACAAACTTTCGTACGGAGCGTTCGTGGGATCCATTCTAGGATTATGGATGTTGGCCCTTGCCTTGACCATCATTGGGCCAATTATGCACAAAGACAAATTCTTTGCCCGAGCTGGAGGATGGGTGAGTCTTCCTTTGCGGTTGCCACAGTTTGTAAAGGCTAATTTGATGTAGTGTTGGGTGTCTGCGGACTTTGAGAAAGAACGACTGTGGCTTCACTATCTGTGGATCTTCATCGTCGAGTTCGGCACCATCGCCATATATGGGCATATCTTCTTTCACTTGAAAGGCCGGATAGGAAGCATCCTGAACAACGACACGAGCCGACTCTCAAGGGCCACAAAGTTCATGATTCTCTATCCTCTGGCTTACGTCCTTTTAACCCTTCCAATTGCCGTGGGCAGAATGGTTGCCATGACTGGTACAAAAATGCCGGATCTGTTCTTCGTTGTTACGGGAGCGCTGCTCACCTCGTGCGGCTGGATCGACGCTCTCCTGTACGCGCTCACACGTCGCATTCTCATTCCAAATCAAATATCCCGGCATCACCACTCAGTAACTGCCATAACGACGAACCCTGCCCGACCTGGTGATAAGACAGATTATGATCTTCAATCCATCAATGGTGGACCCGAACTCGGCACCGCTCGCTCTGTTACCATTACCGGTGGCAGCAACCGCATATCGCGACTTGCTGATTATAGCCGTGGCCGCCCTACACTTAAGAGATCCCCCTCTATGCGCGCCGACAGTCCTACTGGATCAACAGATTCGATCATAAAACCTGGCCCAAATGCCATTGGTATTGTGACCGAGACAAACATTCAGTATGAGATGACTGACGTTCAGGAGAGCGCGAGCGAAAGCGACACCCTACCGAGCCGGTTCAGGTCGCGGAACCAGAGCGACAGCGGGTTCAGCGCAAATAGTAAATAGTAGGCATGGGTAATGTTTCTTTTCACGGCCGCTGCTCATGGTGATGAGGATTGGGGATCTGGGCGTCGCTTGTCCAATTGTTCTTGTTTCACCCTTCCCCCTCGCCCAAATGAGGAAGGGATGAGGGACAATGTTCTTCACGGCATTCGTTTGGTGATACCAGGTAACGCAGCATCATGGGCGTACGGCGAATACGATATGTGCTGTACGATATTGCCTTTAGGATGATCACCAGAACTAATATGGGATAGCGAATTGAAGGGCAGGTTGTTGACCCGGTGATTTACGGATTGTGGATTCGACCTGTGCGGTTCTTCGGTTGCTCCCATAGCTATACCCAAAATCAATGCACTCGACACTTTTCATTTACCCTCAATATCATGTAGAGACCGCCCAAGGCCCGCTTCAAATGTCAAGCGGTCACTAATAGCGACGAATAATACGACCTGAATCCGACACTCAGTTTGGCTGTCCCAGCTCACCGGTGACAGTATCTTCAGCTCTGCGGCGCTGGTAAGCTAGGTGCATTCCCCCCATCTCAGGCACACTAGCATCTCGTCTTATCTCACGCGCAGCATACAGCACACCGACATACGCTTTTGTATACGTTGCGAAATTCTTCTGACCTGCAGGAGGAGCCCTTGCTAGAAACCCATTGTCTAGAATTCTTTCTAACGGAACGTACCGCATCCTATTGCTCCGTCGTGTTCCAATTCCTCACGTCATCTTCGACGCAGTCGAGTCAGTGACGTGTCTAAGCTAGGAATCTGGTGTGGTGCTCTGAGAGAGTCCAGGCGACTTTCGTGAGAAGATGAGAAGGTATGTGGAGGAAGATCGGATGTCCAGAGATCGGATAAGCGAAGGATAGTAGCGGGCCTACATCGGATGAAGCTAGGGGAGTGAACAGGCAAAGTTGGGGGACACACCTTGATTGCTGAGCTGTTTCGGGGGAGCGAGGGATTCTGTATCACACAATCAAGCTTATACTGGCTTCTGAGGCAGGTGCAAGAAAGATGAGTGTATTTTACTCTGGTCCTAGCGTAGTCGTATATCCACGTACTTGGGTGGAGTAATCTGAGTAATCTAGGGGACGTGATGCATCTGACGAACTCTGTACTAAAGGCGAACGTCGTTACATTGTCACACTGCTTACTACCTTCTGCATACCAACTACAAGGCAATCTCAAGGCTCTCAAGATGACCGAGAAGTGGGTCTGAAGAGCGAGATTTGACATAGATCCTGGGTGTATGATGATTGCAGCGAGAACGTCTCACGACTGTTCTAGATAATCGGTCAATTACACCACCGAGGGATTTTGAGTAGCCGAAGGCAGGTTAGGAAACCAAGAACAATGCAAATGATTCTACAGTAGTAAACATTGCGAACTACGGCGGTCAAGAGGCGCAGCTTCAAATCGTGGCCCCCATTGAGGCTGATGCTGAGCGGGATCGATGTGGCGGACCGTTCCATACCAGGCTGTGGGATTCTGTCCGACATCCAGAAGCTATGCAGCGCCAGCTGGCTCAAAATAAGTATCGATACGATTACCGTGAAGCTGTACAATGTTTCTCTTTCGTACATCGGACTTCATGCGAGACTTTGACTCGCCCAGCCTCGCAGTCTGAAGAGCATTGGAATACAATTTGGGTCTAGGCACAATTCTTCCCTTCGCTTGAGACAATATTGATGAGGTTGAAGGAAACGCTCGTGTCTACCTGATAATTGCTGATCGCCGAAGCCATGCAGAATGTTCCAAATCGGCAGGCGTATCTGACATGCTGGTGCAGATGCTCCTCTTCGCGAAGCAGATCTCGCCACCACCTGTTGCAATTGGACCACCTTAGCTGTCAGCACTGTGCGACAGCGTCGGTCCAAATAAACTCGCGGCACAACAGAGGTGAGGCGCAAATGCGAAAACACGATGACTGGAGGAATCGTTGAGACGTTCGGGGTCTGACACGAGCTGAAGTTCTTAAACCCCACTGAATAAAGAAAGTATACGGATCTGTATGTGAAGGTCGCGTGTTAAAGCCACGAGGCGACTTGGCGACCAAGGGTCCGGACTGGAGAGAGTTCCGACGGTGTGAAATGCAAGGAGAATGACTTTCGCGATCTCGTCTTTGATGTTGTTGCCCCTTCGTATCTTAAATGCACACGGGGATGAAAACGTATGACGCTCTGGCCAATTACATGCTGGATTCGCTTTACGAAGTCGGCAATTCCTGGTTCTTACTCGGGGACCTTACGACGTGGCGTTGAGTGTGGCTTGTCGGACTGAAGGTGACGGTAAGGCTTGCAGTTCTCCCGTGCAAGAGAAACCTTCGCAAGCCCATCGTTCGTTCTTCGGCAGAGCCAATGTCTCCGCGATGGGCTGAATGAAACAGGCTCGACCTTCTCGGTGGGAATGAGAGGATCTGCCAATACGCCTCCAACAATGACCCTGAGAGACCTTCTGCAAAGCATGCGGCACAGTACATACAGAGTCTGAGCTTAGGCACATAGAGATGGGCTCTTCAAAGGAGAGAGTTCTGTTGGTAAGGGATGTCGCCAGTCCTCCTCAGATGGACTTGAAGGGTGACAGATAGATTGATTGTCCCTATGTTGACGGGGAGTCCCCAATCTTCACACATGCGCCGCTCAGTCTGGGAATTCATGAAGGGACTTCGCTACCACATGAGAGGCTGGGCCTCATATAGAATATATTACCTCCAACAGGAGAACCTTGCTGCCGTCGCTCTCGCCGTGGTGGTGGGTTTTGCCATGTTCCAATTCATCCGTGCCCATGTCCCCGCGAACTCGGACCGCAGGCTTCTGGGCTCCTCGAACCGCATTGCGGTATGCTCGTACATACCAATATCAAAGCATGAGCATTCCCTCGTACGGAGTTTTTCGTGAATGGGACTGTCCGTTGTACCGACCAATCCAAGGCAGTGCAAAATGACGAAGGATGGCGCTTTGGGAAAGTTAAATTGCGCGGCACCGTAGCCGCATTGGCTGAGCTGAGGTTCCCCAACGTCCCCGAGAGAGGCCGGAAGAACACGCGGGACTGGCGGCGGTTGGAAGTGCGCCTTTACCTTTACTCGAAGAACATTGGATGCGCAAGGACACCATCATGCTCGTTGCTAGGAAAGGAGACCTTTGGAACCTAAAACATTCAACCCGGACTGCGGGCGATTCCTCGTGCTAGCGTTGATCTTCGCAAGCGTAAATGAACGTCGTCCTGAAAGCCCCACGAGTCACGGTCAGTCTCACAAGTCCAACTTCAAACGCCTCGCTTCAACGCAAGGCTGAAGCGTGGACAGCAGATTATCCGAGTGAAGTGCGCGTCCTCAGGAGGGGGTTCTGGGCGACCCCCCTCGTCGATTTGGGCATCTCATTGCTTTGTGTCAAAATTACCATGCCACCCTTACTGTGAGGTAGCCAGTGAGATTTTAGCCTGAGCAGCCTTCATCAGGTGACGGCTTTTCCTCTCTCCCTCATCCATGACCTGCAGCACCTCAAACACGCAAGAGTGGTCGCTCCAGCATGCCAAGCGCGACAACTTCTTGGTGGCTTGTCAAACTCCCCTTCCAGTGTCTTTCTAGCTTTTCTAGCCCGGCTACCAAGCAGCGAAGGCCCCGCACAGCACGCAGCGCGCCGCCTGCCGACCAGGTTGTGCATCCCGTTCTCATGCCCTTCCCACGCTGTGATGCCACAACCTCTTCACACATTACCCTCGGACCAAGAGTCCGGGGTTCCTTCGGTGGATATTTGCGCCTTTAGCGTGCTCAATCTGAGGCTGCTTTGGGATCCTAGAAAGTCTATCTGTTAATTAGTCGATGAGCGTCAGCATTGGCCCTCGCTACATTATCAGCACATCCCCAAAAGCTTCCCCAGAGATCTTCCTCTCAAGCAGCCATCTGAATCCACGAAGCTTGGTCGAGAGCCACGTACTGTGCCGCTTTGTGCAGCGATCCCAATCTTCCCTTCTTTCCCCCTTCTTTGTATAGAAACGATTTGGCGATGATATGACACTATCCCTTTGAGTACCTCACTTAGTGCGCAATTCGGTCGCGATTCTTTGTCCACTAGCCGAGCGCCTCAACCACAGCGACAATGCTCACTCCAGAGCCTCTGGACCACGATGCTGACAGCCTAACGCCTATCCCGCCTCAAATTCATCACTGGGTACGAGCTGTGGTGATTTTTGGGTTCCTATCCTTCGTCACTTCCGTCACGCTTCTCTTCCTCCTCATCTATCGACTCATCCAATGGCAAATCAAGTCCAAACGCACCAACCAGTTCGTTATTCTGATCTTCAACCTCGTCTGGGCCGACATTCAGCAATCATTGGCATTCGTGCTCAACATCGAATGGCTTCGGATGGACTCGGTGAACATTGCATCGCCGATTTGCTGGGCTCAAGGATGGTTCGTGTCCACTGGTGACCTTGCAAGCGGGGTGTGGTGTTTTACAATAGGGTTGCACACCTTTGCATCTGTTATTCTCAACTATCGACTCCCGCCACGCTACTTCTTCCTGACGGTTGCTATGCTATGGATATTCATTTACGGGATGTCAGCCATTCCAGCATTATTGTATGGCAAAAACCTGTATGTTCGTGCTGGCACTTGGGTAGGTTACATGTCCTCAACTTGTATTTACCCGGACCTAATGGAATACGCAGTGCTGGATTCACCACAACCTTAACGACCTCCGCCTTTGGACGCACTATTTCTGGATCTTCTTATTCGAATTCGGTAATGTTATTATCTATGCCGTCATCTATGCGATGTTGCTGCAACGCATCCGCTCGGGTTACTACACAGCCATGGAAGCGGAGCGCGTTAAGGCCATCTCGAATTTGATGGTTGTGTATCCCATCGTCTACGTTATTTGCACCTTGCCTCTTGCTTCGGCCAGGATGGCCAGTATGAGCGGTCACCCACCATCACTCGCAAGACTGTGCTTAGCTGGAGCAATGATCACTTCAAACGGTTGGCTCGATGTCCTGCTATACACGTTGACGCGCCGGATTATGGTTTTCAGTGATGAGCCTCCAGCCGATGACAACGGCCTCGACACCTTCTCCGCCTTCTGGGCCGAATCGCCACGACGCTTCGGCGCAGCAACTACGATTGAAGCTGTCGGTTGTCCCAGTTCCGCCAGAGAGAAGCAGAAACCGAAAAGGACCCGCGCGGGACGAGGTTTAGTGACTCTTCCCGCTAAGAGCGAAAGCTCTGATGATCTATGCGGAAGCAAGGATATCAAGCTCGTTACGACCACCCACGTCACCAGCGAGCCTGCCCAGCCTGCGGACTACTTGGAGATGGAAGCCGAGGCGAGGAGAAAGCGGCCTCGAACTCCGGTTGGGCGTTGGAGCGAGGAGAGTGGGAATCTGAAGGAATTCCAATTGGAGCGGATCCCGGATTGAGATGGAATGAAAAGAAGATTCTAAGGTAATCGTTCATGATCTATGTATTTGTATTATTAATGAGGGAACGAACTTGCATGGGTGGGAGCGAAGGAGTCTTGGGTTTCCTACTGCATAACCGCTTTCTTGCATTTGCATGTCGAGGGAAAAGGGTTCGGTTGGCGCATGGAATTAACACTTGCGTTTGGTATATATGTATGCCACGGCTCAACCACGGGTGGTTTAGGGAAGAGAGGATCGAAACTATGTCAGCCTGGCGGGTGCTTCGCGTTTATTCTTTTCGGAGGGCGAAGGAAGAAAATACCCTATCGTGGGGACGCTTAATGCTGAAGTGAACAACCAAATTTAAAACGCAGAGAAGAGTGCGTTAAAAGCCTTCGCATTCCTGGTGAACCTATTAGAGTTCTTTGCCTTGATGTTAATGTTTGGGTGTGGCATGAGTACACTGACGAATCGAAAACTCATACGAATTGTTAAAACTCCAAACTCATTAGTCTGAGGTAATTTTTTGACAAGGTTTTAACAAGGGAGAAGCTATCCAAGCTAGAGGTAAAGAGAAATCATTCATCAAATGGAATTTCAAGGAACAAATACACCAAGCTATAGAAAATACCGAATATGCCCGCTAAACTGAAACCAGCAATTATTCTATAAGTACGGACAGAGTTCTTCGGGTATCATGTACATAAGAGAAAAAGCCGTTCGAGTTCGCAGTGAAGGAGCGTCTTTGAGAAAGAAACGATGTAATTCGGGTTATCGTGTGTGCTGACCATTGGTAGTTGTCACCTCTGCTCCTGCCAACTCTGCAATGGGATTGTTTTGCGGTGACAACTCCCCGGGAATTGTGACCTTAACTGAAGTATAGTTGGGATTGTGTTTGTACGTCTCTCCCTGGGTGGGAGGAGTTGTAACGAACTGCCCCTTATAATCTTGCTGTGGATGTACTTGCGGTTGATTGGGAGAGGATGAGTAGTATGGCTGAGCCGGTAGCGTTGTTTGATGCCCGATTTGGTACTGTTGTGGATATGGCGCAGTTTCAGGCGTTGAGTGGTAACCTTGTCCCTTGCTTCGTTTCCTTGTTCTCAGTAACCAAAAGACCAAGCCAGCTATCGCGACAAGGGCCAAGCCTCCAACAACAACCCCAGCGATCCAAGCCTTGCTTGCGGCAGCAGGTTCGGATGCTTTCGTGGGGGTTGGTGATGCTGTCTGCCCGGCAAGACTTGGTGTAGTTGAGGGGGAGTTGGAAGAAGCTCTTGACCTAACGGTAGAGTCGAAAGTCACGTGGTTCGTTGTTGCGGGCTTCACCTGAAAGTAAAGGACGCCGGTTTCGTCATTGCATCCTATCCACAGAAAGGCACTCGCATCTGCAGTGCTAGAAGTGTACACGGTGTCCGCATTGCAGTAGCTTGTACTGCGAAAGAGCCAATGTTAGTCTTGGAGGCAAGGATATTCTTGAGCTTTAAAGGAGGCTCTTACCATCTTTGACTGCCACCCACAGACAATGCAATGGCACCAGAGCAGGATGTGACTATCTGAGTTGCACAGTCTTCGCTAGCCATGGTATCGCAACAACCGACTAGAGAACCACTTGTGTAAAACGAGTATCCACTGGAGCAAGAGTTTTCATAATCTAAAAGACAAAACTTAATATAAAAGCAAAAAGATTTTCAAGATGGATTCATACATGAATTATCAGCTTGATCGGAATACCATCCGACAAACTGGTCCTCCACTCCACGTGGAAGTATGGCAGGCGGTGTAATCATCGGGTCCACTAGGTTGGCCAACACAACCGATGCTGATACTAGAATCATAGTGAATAAAAGTAAGGAAGCCATTTTGTGAACACTAAATCGAACGAAAGGAAATGCAAGAACGGGTGAATGAAAACTAGTACCGCGAGCAGCGACGAGGGTATGATCTGCATATACATCTGAAAACTCAGCCCCCAAATGTGAGTATCACCTCAACCGCAGGATCCAGGATTCGTATCCTTGGGGGACATAGCGCCAGTAGAATCAACGGAACGCCCCACAGGAGACCGTCTGCGGCAAATTCAAAATAATGCCGTCTCAAAGGACGAGATAAGGGGTTCTGTGAACTAGGAAGGCTCCCAATGCGCTAAGTACTATCCGAGTGCAATTCAGTCTATGCCCAACGCTTCAAGTTATTGTTTTTCTATGATTAAGCGACGGAAAAGAAGAAATAAAGATCAAGGTAGCCACAATAAAATGACAAGAAGACGAAGCATTTCCGCCCGTACGGCAAGGCGGAGTACAATTGCCGTTCTTAAATTCAAGTATTTGAAGGGCAACCGATCAGGATCGCGAGGAACCTTGTTACATAGCATAGCAGGTGGGTGGGTGAATGAGTTTCAGAGTTCAGACCTGACATGAGGCAAAGCGCGTTGAAGGATGAGAAGGAGAGGTTGGTTTAAGGGGTGAGTTGGCTGAAGGATGAAAGCTTACCTCGCAAAATATTACATACGAACCGCACTAAGCTTTTTCAGGCAAAAGCTCAGCACGTGGTCGGCACTTACGACGAGACCTGTTAGGATTAATCGACCCCATCACACTTGAACCAGCTGTACCTCCCCCAATCCCAAAGCATTATCATAGAAATGGGGATAGAGTAGAGAGTGGCCTCTTCTTAATGTTCTCTCTAACGCTTGTGAGACAGCCTCCGAAGAAGCGAGCGTGAACGAGAAGGAGTAGACCAAGGCGCATGATAAAGAATATTGTGGCCGGAGCACATTCGTAACACAACAACTACGGAAAGCCACCCTGGTGCGAATCCAAGCAGTCGAAAACGACAAGGCACGATACGAGGGTGCTCAGATGTGAACATTACCCTCACGGGCAGCCGAAAAGGTATGCAGCCGAAAATATTCCAACATCTAAACTTAGATTCGGACAGCTTAAACCTCCACCTCCCTCATCAGAACGCAGCAGAACCGCTTCTCCTTTCCCATAAATCACATATTCACAGTAATTATATAGTCCTTCTCTAGGGCTCGCCAAAGCAGTAGCAGTGATATCGACGGTGGGGATAAGAAGGCTACTTTCTATCGTGATCGTTGAAGTTAAGTGGGGCCTCAATCATAAATAGGATAGGGTAAAGGTTGAATAATGACTGAAAGTTTGTCGAAGAGAGTTCAGTGTTAAGTCCGGTAAAGATTGAGTTGAAATAGGACTTGAATGAAGACTCCATCGCGATAGTTGAGGTTTCTGGGTGACTTTATACTTGAAGAACAGCATACTTCGATCTGGCAGCAGCTTGATACTACGCTATTATCTAACCGGTGAGGTGCGAATAGAACTCATGAGACTTGCTTACATTTCACTTAGAATAATAATATGGCATATTCCGAGATGAATTCAAGTGCTACCAATACACAGAACATGGCAACTTAGAACATGGGGAAAGTACGGCAGTTCAATATCACATCACTTATTCCGCTCTTTTATCAGCCTAGCTGCAGCAATATATAGTGCTAGGGCTGAAATTTAGTATCTATGTATGTTTGATATCGATGCCTGGGTATGGCTTAGCCGTGTTATCCGCAATGATAAATTATAGCTGCCAAATGAACAACAAGAAACATGGTGATATTTACATCATACCGAAAGCGCACCGCACTTAGATGTAGTAACGGCAATATACCAATCTCAGGAATATGATATAGGTATATCCTCGCTACGGGTGCTGGTTATGATATTTAATCTGCGGAATGATGTATGGCGCCTAATTTTGGTGATTGTCTCTAGACTAGGGTCTGCCATTATCACAGGCCAAAGCTTAAGGATTTCGCGGGCGCCTGTGCAGCCAGGTACCTAGAGGAGTAATACTTGTAGCGGAGAGGGTGGAACGAAGTTAGATGGTTTGCATCGAAGAAACGAACACCGAAACAAAAGATCTTGGAGTCTTCACCTCCGAGATTGAACCTACATTATTTGTTATCGGATGCAAAATATGAGGATATTAATTGCTGCAATGGATGGTTAGCTACTATAAGCTCGTCATTCAGTGGTAGTGCCCTTAGATTAGTTTAGATCTCGGGGCTTCGCTTCCAACCCCCTTCCAGGGCTTCCAACGGGGCGTACTACGGTCCGTACATAGTGAACCGTATCGTATGTTTAATAATCCCCTAGTTACAGTACGTACTACAGCTTGTATAGCAATTCTAGAGAAGTAAGAGGACTCTAGTTAGCTAGAAGTTTTGCGAGGATGCTTAAATCTCTTTCTAAGGGTACTAATTATCTATCTACAGTGTGTTGTCTTAAAGATGCTTACTACTAACTATTGTCTATTGCAGAGCTATCCACCCACGCACCTTGCTGCCTCACAGGCATTTTCTAGTTAGTTGGGTACCTCTGCTGTCCATTTTGTGCAGTCTTGTAGACTGCAGAAGTCAAGAGCCTCCCACACTGCGTCTCCTGCCTCATCCTGCGATAATACGCTGTCTGTAGCTGAATATTAATAGCATCAGGGCAAACTAATCCGCCTCTAGCTCTGCTGTTAGTGCCATACGCAGGACTCTCAAGGCGCTGCAAAGGTAGTGAACGGTGAGCTTTTACACCTCTCTGCTTACGTTGCTAAGCAGAATAAGTTATCTAATAGCTATATATACCCTAGCCCTTCTTCTCTATGAGCATATAACATTATTTGTTTAAACTAGAGTATCGTGTACTACTATCAAATAGTACTACTCGTACAGATCACGTGAGTCATAACAGTTACGATAAGTTCACCTACCTCTCATCCTCCCTGCCGTACGAGCGTACACAAAATCTTACCTATACAGGCATCGAAATCACCCAATATTACAATACTACGCCTCGTTAGAAGTGCTACCCCCTTCTGGTTCCCTGTGAATATCACCCAGAGTGATAGGACAGGAGTTTAGTAACGATCTTTTTCACGCCTCCACTAGTGTGCCCCAAAGCGCAGCTCTTCGATCTCACTATCCCCTACTAAGATTCCTCGTATCACCATCTCTCAAAAGCCATTTCGTATTGGCAGTATTGAAATTTAGCCTACAGACAGAGCACACCCACTCCGACAGCGGAGGACCTCGAACTCAGTGTCCGGCCGGAAACAATCCTATCTTAGGTGGATCGAAATCGCCCGCGTGTTGGTTCTTCCTCTGATAGTAAAAGCTTCGAAGAGATTTGGCATGCCTACGTGCCCGAGAGAGTGGGGTAACGAGAAACGCAGGTAGCGATAGACGTCCAGTAATTGTAGAACGATTCCCAAAGGACGAGTAAAACTACGTCAGAAATCAGTAAGCGGATTATGGGTTAGGAATGGTTCCGTAGTAGGCAGATATGGAAGGCCTGAGAGGTGAAACTACCATCTTCGTCACTGCTCTTCCAGTGCATCGAGACCATGATTTGGACGACTTCGCACGGTTTTAAGCGCGGTATGAGCTCTTTTAGCATACGGAAACAAGGCATAGGAAAGAAAAGGATTGCAAGCGTTAAGTACTAGAGGGTATCAAACTTATCCCACGTCACATACCAACAAACATCTGTTCAACCATGTGCTGTGTCGGAAAGTCGCTTTGACAGTCATCTAATTGACTCTAAAAAAAAAATCCCCCCTACCCGAATGCCTGAATTCAAACCCCTCAGATGCAGACTACGAGCTCCTCTTACCATACGGCTCGAAGGGAAAGACCGCCGCAATGCCAGCCATGACGATATACAGAGCCGCGCAGATATAAATCGGAACTGGAGTGTTGGTCTACAGCACATCTTTAGCAAACTTCCATTATCTTTCTTCCTCCCTCAGAAGCAATCGAGAGAAGGAAAAAGAAAAAGTATCGCTTACATCCGCAAATGTCGCCACAACGGCACTCATAATTCCCATAACCCTATTCCACGCAATGGCAATCCCATTGCCAGTCCCTCTATGTGCACTCGGTAGTACCTCGGGGGTATATGCATACAACGTCCCATAATAAATGTTCAGACAGAAATTGATAGTGCAGTTGAAGGCCAGGTTCTGCGCCTCTGAGCGAACTTGCGTATACGCAAAAAAGAACGCCATAGTCACAAGCGCGCCGACGACCATGGTGTATTTTCTTCCAAGCCGCGTGGCGCACATGTATCCCGCGAGTATAGGTCCAAAGATGCCGCACAAGTTGACTAGCGCATAGTTCCTCCACGTGATGTACACGGATGTCTGGCCGAAGGTCGCGCCGCGGGACGCCAGGTATGATGGAAGAAAGACGTTATAGAGAGGATAGGCCAGCCCGATTAACGTCCAACTAAACCAGATCAAAGTCGTGGAAATCCCAATCCTGCGCGTTGCATATAAACCCCTCAAGTGTACGCCAATTTCCCCGAGCGAGAACTTCGACTTGGCATGCGATATCGAACCTCGACGTTCGGTGTTGATTTCTCCACATGCGCGCATGTCTTCAATGGTTAGGGAGCATGGGCGGCCGTATTCTTTTGCAATGTCCTGGAGGGTTTGGACACATTCCTCATCTTTGCCTTCACCGATGAGGAATTTGGGGGTTTCCTTGAGGCGGATGACTGTGATACGGAGAATCGACATCACGAAGACGAGGGCGCCGGACGCAAACCACACGTATCTCCAGCCTTTGTTGTTGTCGTACGAGCAAGGGGCGGCGTCTGGGATGATGGTGGGGTCGGAGCAGCTGTAGTTTGGGATGAATGCCCATGCAAAGAGTCCGGCGATTAATTGGCCGATTCCTAACAATAAGTTAGTCATAGGTACTCTTATTCCCTTGGAGTGAAGGAACAGGAAAAATGTATACGAACCCCACCAAGCAGCCATGAGAGTCAAAAGCCACTGGTCTTTACTCGGCAAATACTCCAAGAACACCGCCGTATCTAGCACCAAGTTCCCGCCTCCTCCGAATGCACTGAGACAAACGAAGAGCCCCAAGACGACCCAATTTGGCGAGGATCCGGCTACAATAGCAAAGATGGAGCAGATCATTAAGGAGACATTGAACGCGAACTTGCGTCCAATAATATCGGCTGTCAGACCCCAGAAAAGTGCGCCAACCAGCATTCCCACATAGACAGCGATGGTGAGTCCGCGAGCAAAAGAGGGGTTGAATTCGAGGGCGGCCTGGCCGGCAATGATGGATTGGATGAGCAGGATTAAGGAGTCGACGGCGTAGCTAAGCGGACGTAAGCTTTGAATTACTCAAATCCGTCGTCTCTTGACGTTTCGAGACGAGAAAATACTCACCCAAAGCCATTCAGGACGAATAACTTCCACTGATACTTCGTGAATCCGATTTCATCAATGGCCTATGCACACATTAGCTTCTAATTCCTCTCTGTATTCCCTCCCTTAGCCCTGCTAAAACACAGTCAACTGCCAAGGGCGTCCAGACACTAACGTTATTGACTAGATGCATCTTAGCATTCAACACCGGGTCCGTATGCTCCAACTGTAATATATCCGCCTTCCCCGTCCCCGCCGCTGAGATCTCATCGTCCGAAACTCTTTCCAGATCGCCATCTCTCACTTCAATTTTCCTATCTGCATCGGCCACCGCTAATGAAGCCATTACTTCAATCCAAAGTATCCGCGCAGCCTGCCCTTGAAAGTATCTCGTCTTGCGAGGGTTGTATTTCGTTTGGGGGTCTTTAAAATCCGTTGATGCTGAACTAAGTCGGGAGAATATGGCGCAGGTATCCAAGATAACATAGGCCCAGAAATATAGTCCAAGACAGGTTAGGTGGCCTGCTCTGGTTTGTCGATGTCGTAGTGGGCTGGGACCGAACGTCAATCCCGACTCCCGGTGCACCTCAATCCGTCACTTCACAAACAGTCTTAATCGCTTTTCAACAGGTCGGTGAAGCCTGTCTTCACCCTGAAATGAAGTTCCGATGAGGGTCCAGTAGGTATTTAAACCGGTTCGACCACAATTTCACCCAGTTGTTGATCACAGAATGTCAGCACGTGGGCCTCATTCGATTGGTCCAAACCGGTGGACAGTGAGGGGGATCATCCTTCGAAACCTTGGCCACTATCTCGGGCACACGATCACAACGAGATTACGGATCCAACTGCCAAAACGGAGCATTGCTTGCCACACTATGTATCCCGACGATGTAACGAGCTTGCAACCGAGATTTTGTATCCTTGGCCTTCGGCTTGATGTGGAAATTCTCATTCTACGATAACTATTTCTATTGAAGAAGTCGTAATGCACCCTGATAATCTCATCTCGCACAAACGCCGTGTCTCGTCTGTTCAACCAAGGGAGAGTCGTCTCCAGTTAGAGGTGGAAAGTAAGTATACATGGCCCATAACCTGGTATTCAGGCCGTCATTTTGAACTCCCTTTAAACGCCCTGCTGGAGATGGTATGACCAACTCTCAGAAAACGCGATAAATACTCGCCTTGAAAGAGACCTCAATATTTGGACAGCAAGAAGAGAATCATCCTTCACCATTTGTACTGCCCCCCTAAATCGTAATTTTCATCGTGATGCCTTTTCAGCTGGCCTACCGCTGGATTGGCGTTTGTGTCGTCGGGGTGTTCTCCTCTGTCGATACCAATGCACTCTCGGAAGCATCCACAGAATTTCCAGTACTCACAGGCGTCGGCGCGATTCTTCGTCGCTTGCCTTCCCTACCCTCTTCGACTTCTGGCACGGCCTGAAGGTCTCTCTTCCTAATCCCACCGTTCGAAGCTCCATCTTCTCGCTCTGATTCGCTTTCCCTTCGTCCAACAACGCTAGGCCCAGGAATACCGCTCACAGAGCTGCTCGCACTGTGCGTGCCTGTGTGTCCATGCGCCGGTGTGAGAGGAGGCGTCCACATTGGCATTGCGCCCACAGGACCTGAGTTTGCGGCTGCCAGTCCAGGGACCGATGACATAGTAGGGGTTGGTGCATTCATATTCTGCTCACCCGCCCCTGGTGCAAAAGATGACGCCGTGGCAATACTGGAGACAGAATTACTTCTTGTTGGACTGCCAGGTCGCGCTGGGATGAATGAGCTGGGCGATGCAGGGAATCCCGCAAAAGGTTGCTTTGGTAATGTTGAAGCTGTAGCTGTAGCTGAAGAGGGCATACTTGTGGTCGTAGGCGTGGGAGTTGGCGTAGAATGGGTTGATGAATCTGTCGCAGTTGTATTGATGGTGGAAGGGGTGTGGCGATGTTTTGTCTGAGCAGCAAGTGGTCCGTTGTATTTCTCTCCAAGCTCGCCTGACGCGAAAGTTAATGAAGAACAGAATCCATCGGATGAACTCATAAGGAGTGTCAGTCCATCATTTGACCTAAGCGCTGTTAGCATTTCCGAAATTCTACACACAGATAATGGACCTACCATGTGACATCTGTAAATGTAGCGAAGTGCAGATTGCTGACGACGCACAACGGCTTCTGCTGCTGAGTGTCATAAATATGAATGGCATCCTGAGTTGCTACTGCATACACCATACGATATGGTAAACTGAATGCTGAGGAAGGGCCCGCGGGAACTCCACCTGAAGTTGGCGCGTCTGCATCCACTGGCCTCGGGGATGCAGCTGGTAGACTCGGGGAAGGTGAGGGTGCGTTCGTAAGGGGGGGCGGGTCCATGGATGAATGGGAGGTTGGGGCCTTAGATGGAATAGCGGGCTCAGGTAAAGCCGGAATCTCATCGTCTGCTGATGAAGTGTCGATCGTGATTTGTTTTGTTGGTGGGATAGCTTGACGTAAGGTGTAGTAGACGGGCGAGCATCGAACAGCTACGGAAGGTTTTTTATGACCCGGGAGATAGGCAACTGGGGGTCTGTTCAATCCTGCTCGGGTGTATATGTACACTGTGTTGATAATGTCTTCAGTAGTTTTTGTTGCATCCCCAAGCGAAGGATGTAAAGTTTTGTACTGGCCGGCTGGGGTGAACAACAGACTGCCATCCGGAGCGAATGTGAGGCGCCTGAAGAAGGAGGTGAAAGTCTCGTTAGCATAGATTGGAGCGTTCCTGACACCCACGCTTCCCATGCTTCCCATGCTTCCGATACTTGGAGAATTTGGCATGACAGCGGGTAGAGGCATAGAAGGAGCCGGTGATGCTGATCTACGCATTGAAGGAGATGACCCAAACGACGACCGGCGACTATGTGAGGTTGGGGGAGGATTCATTGGGAGGGCCAATGACTGGGGGGTTCCTGGGGCGGATGGCACAGGAGAGCCAGCTGCCATGGCCGATTCATGTACAACAAATTGAGCCCTGCCTCCGAAATCAGGCGGAGCTGGACTCGTGGATGATATTCGGCGGGCAGGGAGATCCATCTTCGTGACTTTGCTATGCTGTGCTAGAGAGAACTGACCATCCTTGGTCTTCAGGGTATAGATGTGAACGGAACGATCCGAGGACTGTGTCGCAACGTATTCATTCAAAGGATCCCATGCCACTCCCTGCACATAGTGGTTGTGCTCGGCGATCTGTCGTACACAAGTACCTAGCCGTTGATTAGTGTCAAGTAGGACTGGCCCTGCGGAAAGGATGGCGCACCTGTCTGAGCATTGTATATCCTCGCAATGTTGTCCATACTGCCAGTGATGAAGAAGACACCGTCTGGAGACCACGCCAGGTCGTATATTTCCGACCCCATAGATCGACACATGTGCTTGACCCGCCATGTTTCTTTGTCCTCCAGCCCTTCTTCGAAGTTGGTGTGGAGGGCCTGATTCTCGGCGGGGATCCAGAGGAGGATATTACCATCGTCACCGGCGCTGCCGAGGAGCTCTCCTGGATGCATGTTAGTTGCCATACACGATGCATGCTCATGATTACTGTGTCGTACCTCGCGGACACCACCGGACCACATTCACGGCTTGTGTGTGCTTTACGAGGGTCGAGAGGTACGAGACTTTCCTCTCCTCGCCGTTGGAGTCAACCTTCCAAAGTCGGACATTATTATCTCCCCCGGCCGTTGCCAGACGTCCCTTGCCGTGGGGTTCGAAGTGGGCTGAGTAGATGGGGGCATTCTCGTTGTGCCAGGACACCAGAAGCGGAGATGCCTTCATGATGGCCGACGCAGGGAGAGGGAGGCGGACAGCCTCACGATACAGGGGAAGAGAAGAATTGATCGGATCGAAGGAACTTGACAGAGAGCAAGGGCGAGGGCGGATGTGAGGACGGGCTCGCCAACGGGAGGTGCTTGGAAATTATCGAGCCAAGAGCGCTGCGGGCTCTGGGGTGGATGCGGAGGTGCTGGGTATAGGAGGAACGTTGAGCGGAGACGGGCCTGTCGAGTGGGACTGCAGCAGCTGTCCTCACCACATCACTCCCCGCGTGCCTGTGTGCATTAATAAGGTGAAAGGGAGGTTGCAGTGAGGTTGAGGTCAGGTTGCGTGTGAGTCGCTGCTTGTCTTTGTGGCACAATTGAACGGGGGTTTGGGTGGTTGGGTGAAGGCCGGCGCGCTAGACACACGGGTCTGACCCGATTGAGACAGAGAAGTGGTTTCACCGCGCGTGGCCGTGTTGCAGTGAGAAAAGGAACAATGCGCGTCTGAGTCCCACGAGAGCCGGCAGGCTCACTTATCAGGGTTCAATTATTGGGTTAATAAAAGACATTGCACAGTGGCATGTTGTTTCAACTATGGTTGCTCACCAGCCGGCCGTCTAAGAAAGAAATAGTGCAGCATCCAAGCCTCTGCTGTGCCGCAACGAGCGCATCAGAGCGGATCCAATCCACCCAACACCAGCTCATGTCGTGTGAGCAAAACCTGCTTGTAGACGCTCCCAAATACCACCACATTTTTAGGAATTAATCCCTTCACACCTACACGTTCAGGTGTCATGATTGGAACGTGGTAAAGCACGGAACATTGAACTTCCAGTGAAGTCCAGCCCACGCCTGATGCACTGACGCCTGCAACTGAAGCGGGGCTTCCTTTGGGTCTTGAAACTTCGGCCTTTGTCGTCGGAAAACGACCTGCGATGAGGAGAATAGCGAGGGATGAAGGCTGCAGTGCTAGTCAGTTTTCTAATAACAGAGGCCTTGTTTCAACTCTTCTAAATGACTGAAACACCGTCGAAGCTCCTCGTGTTGGGTGGAACAGCTGTAGAAGGCTTGATGCATAATAAATGCATGATATACTGCAACTTGGCCCCAAATTACGGAGGGATTGCCGGGGAGATATGTCATGTTAAATCTTCTTGCTACGATTACATAGAGGGTTAATGGAATGTAGACTTTTGTCCTAAATCCGACCTGTTATGTTCCGTCCGTCGTGTCCACATACAGCAGGTGCTTTGTCTCACGTATATGGCTATTGCAGCTGGTACCCAATGCCAATAACTATATGGGCCGCTGTTACGGTCCGGGAAGCGCTTCCATTTCTCCTCCATATTCCAGCAGTGTACAATGACTGCATAGCGGCACCGTCGGAGACCCTTTCCGTGAGGATAGGCATGCTCCGCATTTGTTTTTTCTACCAAGTCGCTGCATACCATCCCACCTAATTCTCAAAGCCTTCAAGAAGTCTTCCTTCATTCCACCACCCTCTTCTCTAACCTCGAGGCTCTTCAACACCTCAGTCATCATCTCACACTATCCAACTCCCACCTCGTGCGTGAGCTGCCACAATTTCTTCACCCTCCAATCGCACCTTGAAAGTCTGCTAATTCTCCGCTTCCAATGCATTGAAATAACCAGCGACCGCAGAAACTGGACTAGCAAAGATCATTGCACCCGGATAACAGGGCTTTGTAACGCTGGAGGTTGTCGAACGAGGAGAGAGGGCGAGCTTGCGTTTCGACAAGGCAAGGAGGTGGTGAAGCCGGATGACGACGGTTTGAGAGGCTCCTGGGAAGCCACTGCGTGTGTTTACCCAAAGCTATGTTGTTATAATTGGTTATGTTAGTTTTAGCGATGGTTCTTAGAAAATACCCAACGATTGCATCCATCGCCTCTTCTCCCTCTGCCAAATCTAGCCTCGCAATGCCCGTCTTTACTCTTATCGCGAATGTCTTCTTAGAAGACTCACTCGCAGACCTGACGTATGTTAGATGAGCATCTGGGTATATTTCTGGCAGCCACAGCTGGAGCAAGGGGGTAGTATCCGAAAATTTCAAGTCTCGACTTCTGCAATTGAATTCGACCTAGCAAAGATATGTACATAATTTAAAGGGGTTCGAGTTCAATGACCAAACAAAACTCGCTTGGTGGAGACATTGTATTCAGGACGTAGGTGAGTGAAACATTTGTGTGTAGTGATTGTAAGGTTCAGTGTCTGTCGACAAGCTTGGAATGCTGAGAAGATCAGTGGTTCGCATACTATGACTAAGCACGGAGGCACGTGGGCATCACACCAAAATAAGGAGCATCCCCGGAACGCCAACTTATCATTGATGGAACCTGCAATCAAGACCCTACCTTCCATCAAAGTGCAATTGAGAACATAGTAATAGGGAATCAGTAACAGGTCAACCGGAAGGAGGCAACCTGAAAAGCTTTAATAGCCTCCCTCGCCCCTTTCCGGCTTCACCAAGGCAATATGAGGCGGCGAAATTGAGGAGAACTATTGCCTTTTTGCTATGATAAAATAGACATTGTCTGGTATTGATGACTGTCCCTCCAGTCTAAATTCTTGAGTTTTGTAAGGATCGCATGATCATGGCCGTATCCATCCTTTCCTACGATAAATGAATGTGACTCCAGTCATCAGCCGAAAACTTCGGATCTTATAATTACATGGGGGTATCGCACGGAGCGTTCATCCACAACGCCTTCACTCAACCAACATAACGCCGCAATTGCGATAGCCTCCTAAACTCCAATACAGATCAAGTCGCGTATCCAATCTCGCGACTTTGCCTCCGAACCTTTGAAATGGTCCACCGCGATTCCTTTGGAGGCATATACTCCACCTCTTGCGTAACTTCTCTCGTTTTCACAATTTTCTTCCCATGACTCGCCCTCGAGGTCCAAGACAACATGCCGCCAGCATTCTCCTCGTCATGGCTCTTCACACCACTCATTTGAACGAATTTCTTCCAATCGTCTATGCTGTGTTTTTTGGAATTCTTTCTATTGTCTCGGTCCTCGGCGGCGTCGTTATCGCTCTGTGACGAAATATGCGTGCTGAAGTTACGATCCCAGCTAGGAGTTAGCTTTAGTGGTAATTCAACGAGGGGATCCCGCGATTGGTTACTCCGCGAATGCGACCGTGAGCGGCCGTGGTGAGCCTCACAAGGTTCTGAGACAGCCCCGCTGGTGCTCAGCGAGCGTTTCGGGCCGGAAGCTTGTGTTCCGGCAAGTGTCCCGTTTGGGTGGGCGAGTTCGAATTCAGTAAGGAGGGTTGTGGCATGTGAGGTTTGAAGTGCGGCTATAAAGCGATTTGTGCGGGGTATTGTGGAGAGCAGGACGGAAAGATTTATTGTACAACTAGGGCTGTTAGCAATTGATATGTTATATTTGGAGGAACAAGCCTACAGTTCCCAGATAACATGGGTAACGTTATTAACTAGATGTGTTAGGATCTGGCTTGTTTGAGGAATTGACTGAAAGGTACATACAAGTTTGGTCTCTGTCATGAATATGCCGGGATACCGCAATCAACTGCCCTATGGCCACTCCACAAACTCTGTTGATATTAGTATAATGGGTTTTGCCGCAACGAGCGAATGGTGAGGTCAACTTACATAAACCGAGATCCAAAAAGAACTATGACAGTGATTCGCCTCTCTACGTCCATTAGTAGCTTCCATAGTGTAGGTAAAATCCACGTCGCCAGTATAGCATCTGTGATGATGTTTAGAATGATGATGGGATATTGTAGGCTCCCACGGCTGGGGCACTCGGAAGGCACATAGACCCAGGGATGTGGTAGAGAGCATTGGAAGGCTGTCGCGAATATCGAGAAAATGGTCCAAACGGCAATGAGACCAAGCATAAGGTAAAATGGAACAGGCGGGCGAGGTGCAACTCGATCACTTAGAAGCACAACAGAGGTCTTGGCCCAAGCCATTGCGGCGATTCCCATCATCTCTGCTGCGTACATCATCTAGTCTTAGTGAGTCAGAGAAATGCAGCATGCTTGGCGGCTACTAACCTGGTAGTATTGATTAAGACGACCTTGGTTGAGGGACGTGATATGTCTTCCAAGGCCCCCGTTTGCCGCAAGATGAAAGCATACTGAACTGGCGCAAGCGAATCCCTGAGACAGAGTTAGAGCTAGGCGCTCAGGACGTGAGACACATAAAGATGGAAGGACTTACCACACCCAACACAAAGGTGAAATCATCGACCTTGAATCTGAGCCTCTGATTCACCGCAATGCCGAAACGAATCAGCACAACAAGAGACAGAACAAAGATCCAGGAATAAGCAATGATGATGACTATTGGGCCTCGGTCATCTTTGCTAAGTCGATGGAGTGGTGCGAGTTCACCGGGCCCAGAAGACATCGTGTGGTGACGAAGCGGACCGGTAGATCATTCATGGAAGGGCGGTGCTATCGACATTGAAGTAGACAAGAGCAGGCGGCCAACCGCATTATGGGGGCGCTCAACAAGAGCTATTGTTCGGCTTCTGGAGCTATCGTGATGAGAAAGTAAGGGCTTGTTTCAGCTTTTCAAAGGCATATCTGCACGCAGCTCGAAAAGACTCGATAATGAGAAAAGCAGCGGGACCCGCTGTACTTTTCCGCAGGGGGTCGGCTGGGGACTATGATTGCTGCGCATGCAGCGGAAGCGGACGGACGGCTTGGCGCGAGACTTCCGACTGCTGATTTGCGAAGCCTGGACCGAAGCTTGAATTTGACAGGCAACGTGGAGCGAAACTCGACGAATGGGGTATTGGACGTGGGATGGCGCCTCCGGGGAGGTGGAAGAAGGAACCATGCACTAGGCCAAAGGTGGTTGGTCTATACTAATGTTCACGCAACCGCCGACTTCGGGTCAAACCGACACACTTCGACTGGGCTCGAGACGCACGGAGCCACGGGTCCATCAGCAATGAACAATGAACAGCATCGCTGCACCAGTGTGCGCCTGCAAGCCAGGTGGAGCCGAGGAGAGCTGTGCACAGTACGCTTATCACTACCGCAAAGCAATACGAGCACCCTGGGAATGAAGGAGGAGTTTTGCGGCCCTTCTCCGCTCTAATAATAATAGCCCTGTTTCTTTTCTCTGCCGCGCTGTTCTCGAATGTCAACAGCAGGGAGGCTCCATTGCTGTCAGAGAAGGATCAAAAAGCGTCGCATGCAGCCTGCTTATTGGCAACGTTCCATCAGCCGCAGGACTTCTCGGGTCATTCCCCAGACGTGCTGCGTCCCAGCGTTCACCGTCTGTTCGGTTGCTCTCGGTTGCTCTCGGTTGCACGCCTCTCTGGTCTGATTGCGTCTTGGCTCTGTCGCGCGCTGTCTGATTTGAGCGAGCACGAGCTGGCCCGGACCGGGGCGCAAAAAGAACATCTGAAATGTTCGACGGCTCGTTTATATGTATCAGGCGGTGGAGCAGCACGTTTTCACACCCGCATCCTCCCCTGCAATACAAACCCGGCACGCTGGGGTCTGGACAATTTCCCCGCCACTGGAGCTGCCGGCTTATCAAAGAATATAGAAACCAGGAGCTTGTCCTGTCAATTGGGTCCCCGGCGTGATCCTGTCGTGTTGTCCCGCTCTGCTGGTATTCTTCTTCTTCACAATCTTCCCCTGATACACTATGACGACGGACAAAGACATCGAATTAACCACCCGGGCGGCGGGTGAGGATGAGCTCGCCATCCAGGAGGCAATTGAGGACGAGAGAGTCAAGACAGAGAAGCAGCAGTCTGGTGGTGTGCTCGAGGTATGTGACATCCCAATCGCGCCCCGATCCTGCGACTAGCGCTCATTACTTTTTGGTAGAGATACATCAGTTTCGTCTCGGCCATCAACTTTGGCTTCATCTTGCAATGTTCGTGGGAGGCTGCTGCTGTCACTTTCCAGTTCTCTCTCAGCAATGGCGGCCCTGCATCAATTGTGTACGGCAGTATCTTCGCCGGCATTGGGACGAGTCTCGTGGCCATTTCACTGGCAGAGATGGCATCCATGTAAGTACCTCTCCCGTTTCAGGCTTCGTCACCGGCCTACCTATCGTTGTAACCAGTAATTAACCTTACCCAGGGATCCAACTGTTGGTGCACAATATCGCTGGTCCGCAGCCTTCGCACCGAAGTTTAATCGGTTCTTCGGACTGATGCAAGGTACACCTTGACCTACCCTGAATCTGCTTCCATCCACAATGTTGTGCAACCTGCAATGTCTGACTCTGTGCAGGATGGATAACCGTTTTCGCATGGATATGTTCCTGTACTTCTAATCCTGCACTGATCTCCAACGTTGTCGTCGGTCTTGGTAAGTCGCAAATAGTGGCCTTCACTAAGAAGCCTAGCTGACGTTCCATTGAAGCAATTTTCAACAACCCCGAATACACACCTCAACGATGGCACGTGACGTTAATCATGTGGGCTATCACCATCTTCCCCTTCCTCGGAAATTTCTGGTTTAGGAAATTGCTCAATCCTCTCGTAAGTCATGGCCAGTGTGTGAAGCCAATGTTTCGTTTAAGAATGCGCGAAGACCTGCCCGGTTGGTTCCTTAGCACAACTATGAACATGCTGCGACTAGTACCATCATCTCCTTTACATTAAAACGGTTTGCTGACCTTATATCCTACCCCAGGAAGCTGTGGGCGCTATATGCCATGTTGTGTTCTTCATTGTCAGCATTATTACCTTAGTTGTGCTTGCACAAAGAAGTTCAGTTGACTTCGTCTTCAAAACCTTGACGAACGACGTGAGTGGGTGGACTAACCCTGCTGTCGCTTGGGGTATTGGGCTGCTAACCGTCACCTATCCTTTGACTGGTAAGCAAGCATTCTTTCTCAATCCTACCCAATCATATGTCATACTTCCGCTGTATTCGTCCTACTTTGTGTGCTCTAAGATAGCTTTGCCCTACATTATCCTCTACCTCACTTCCCCTTAGGATGAGTGCTAATCTGGTAGTTAGGTTTTGATGGCGTTCTCCACATGTCTGACGAGGTCAAGAAGGCACGCATTCGAGTCCCGCGTTCCATGATTATGTCTGTCGTCATGAACGGCCTTATGCAGTTCGCCTATATGCTCACTGTTCTATTCACAATCGGCGACATTGACAAAGTTGCCTCGGACCCACTCCCCATCATCCAGGTCTACTATCAAGCTACAGGCTCCAAAGGGGCAACGAATCTCTTCGTCATTATGCTTGCCGTTATCATCTTTGTATCATTCTTCAATGTCTTCGCTTCTGTCTCTCGACTTCTGTGGGCATTCTCAAGAGATAACGGCCTTCCGTTCTCCAAAGTTTTCGCAAGAGTATATTTCCCTCCTTCATAGAGATATTATTGATACTAACATACACTAGGTCCATCCCACCCTTAAGATGCCACTCAACGCCCTCATCTTGATTGGTGTATGTCTCTGCCTTCTAGCCATCATCAACATCGGCTCTAGTACTGCGTTCAACGCCTTCATCTCTCTCCCCGCAATGGCCCTCTACATCTCCTACTTCTTCCCAATCTTCTTCCTCTGCTGGCGACGCATGTCCCGTAATCATCCTACGCCCATTCCTTACGGTCCGTTCAAGCTTGGGAAATTCGGTATTCCCATCAATCTCGGTGCAATGGCTTACATTATCTTCATTGTTATCTGGATGCCTTTCCCAACATTCTTGCCTGTAGATGGGATAAATATGAATTACGCTGGCCCACTAGTAGGAGCGGTTATTGTTGGTGCCCTTTTAGACTGGATCATCTCTGGCCGGAAACGTTTCCAGGTCCCAGTTGTGAGGCAGAGGCCGGATTTTTAAGATTTGGTTAGATAGTGGAAAGGAATTTGGTGTTAGGGGAATAGAGTTTGTGCTACGACATATTAAGAGTTTTGTGGAGACGGAGAGAGCTATGGAATGAAATATCAACTTTCAACGAAGTGTATGATTCGCTATGTACAACGAACTGCTTTCGTCTTCAAGAAGATCAAGGCTACGTACTATGCTTGGTTCAACGTATTTTTCGAATGAAAACACCCTCACTAGCCGCGTATTCCATAATGCTAACAACTCGGCCATAAAACCCTCAAATTCTAGACTCAACCCAACCATCTGCTTTCCGCCCTTGCCTTCCCGCGTCCATCCCTTGGCCAAAAGCTGCCGCACGAATCCTGGATAAAGTTCGAACCCGTCGCCCCACTCCTCTAGCCTCCCGGAAGCGGCTCTTTCCGCAGCGGATACGACTGCTAACCATGCAGCTAGCTATCAACGGCAACAACTCTGAAAGGGGCAGGGCCTTCGTAGAAGCGATTTTTTTGTTGAACTTGCCTTGCTGTCTCGTATCTCAATTGCGCTGCATCCTGCTGTGAAACTTACCGAGCGCCCGGGCCTCTGGACAATGAGAAAGACCACGATGGTGCGATGGAAATTTGCCGAACCTCGTGGGAATGATACGATCTATTACGACGCCAGTGTGGAGGCGTTCTTAAGTTGGCATAGTCTCAAATGAGATGAATGGATGCCTGGAACCTGCAGCTTGTTGGATTATTGGCCGCCGCTTTTATGATAGCTTGCGGGAGAAACTTTAGCGAGCTGTTTGGAAAAAGCTTGTGGAAGGAACGTCGTGGCTTTTGTGAGGAGGTCATTGGACGCAAATTCGAAGGGCTAACAATAAGAAGAAAATCGCAACGCACCCAGTTTAGTGTGTCTCAGCTCACATTTTGAGGGCTTCTCTTAGTCTGCTTAGTCGGAGTGATGGGACGCCTGAAGCCTCTTGTTCCCCTCCATTTAATACCCTCAATCCATTGCCCCCCACCCACTTAATGTGAGAGCAAGAACCAACGTAAAAATTTGAACTAATTACTCTACAAGAACCGGGTGCCCTTCCTCAAACACAAATTACCAAACCGCTTTAACAAGTTCTGCCCCGAATAAGCATAGAAATTTTCCCAATTCGTCCTCCTGCATCTCGCCTGCCCTTGCACCTATCAAGATACAGACCACCTTTTCCTTCTTCGCCACCCCCCTTGCTACTATTCGCCAACATACATACCACTTCCCTTAGGTCGAGGAGTCCACCACTCAGGGTCACTTTCGGTCTCTCTCCAGATGGCGGGTCAGGGAGCCCATCGACTCTCTCTCCAGGGTTTCGGTGAATTGGTCCTCCTTCCCCGTTATTCTACCCTGTAAATGAACCTGGGGTCTCTGTGGACTCAGTCAGAGCATTCTGCGTGCTATCACTGGGGAGGATGTCTGAGTATATCCTCGCGCATTAGGAGGAGTATTGTTCGAAGGTGGTTGGGACGAAGTCTGCAAGGTTGAAATGCCATAGAACTAGTCTGAAAATCACTACTAGACCGTGTCGAAGAAGTGGAAGGAAGCATATTTACTAAGTTTAAGAATGATTGAGAACCGCTTGTCAGTAGTATAGGCTGACGAAGAATTGGTGAACTTTGCTTGATCATGGCACAAGTACTGCTAATGTTGAATGGGCTCTTTCAGCTAGCTGCTTATGGTATGAGCACTTAAGTAGCAAGAGTAAGAGTAGTGTACGGTGTGCACAGCGTACGGAGTAGGTAGGGTGGGCAACAGATTTCTGGTCATTACTTATCTTCTCTATGTACAAACGCGAGCGACATCTAAGGAGGCGCGCCCGCGCACGGGCACCACGCGCGTAGTCCCGTGATCCCATGCCGGGCTAGATAGATACTATGCGCCGTATCGCTCCTGCGTACGGACAGCTAACAATTTCTAGGGTCCTCACCGCTCTCTTCAGGTTACATATACCCTCAGTGGTGAAGACAACCTCCGTGCAGAGACTGTTCACTGTGCAAAACAGAACATATTAGTTCAAACTCAGAGTGCTATACTTAACCATAAATATGTTGCTGACGTGATGATTTGTATCGCATTCAAACTTGGAAGGTTGCCGGAGAGTACAGTTATCTTGCCCGTATATAACACTACCGCGTGATTTCGCGCTGGAATATGGTTTAATTTGTCCACTAATTATGTTCGAGCACTCAATGGACTCAGCAGAGCAAAGCTACTTCCCGGGGTTTCTTAAACGGAAGCAATGTTTTGAGTAATTAACGAAGAATCTGATTTTTGAAGTTGGCTTGTAATTGGTGAAGGGGAATATTGGGAAAACGATGTAGTAGAGAGCAAACCAGAGACTGGGCCTCTAAATTGCGATCTTAGTGGTAGTGATAGAGAATTGCTTACAGAACTAGATTAAGCATTTCATTGTCTTGAAGTTATTCAGTCCCTTTTGGGTCTACTAAGAAGACACAGTGTTCGTAATGGGTGGGTGACCCACCTGTAGTTGATCAACTATAGGGCCCGCGGGTGATGCCTTAGGGAGTCTCAGGCAGAAGGCCAACCTTAATCCAGCAGGATCCAAACATCAATTAAAAGGCCACGTATCCTCAATACAAAGTCAACACACCTGAAGGTGGCCCTACTTCTCCACCGAGGGGCAACTGTAGGTAACTGAGTACCTGCGGTTGATTCAACCACCTGAAGTTCTAGGTGGATCAACCACCCATTACGAACACTGAGAAGACACTGGTAGAAGATACCAACAAGGCGGACCGCACCTGCAATAGCGACCGAGCCATGGAAAATAAATATATAGTTCGGGATGAAAGTTGCCCTGGGTTGGAAGAAGCGACACGGGTGGTAATTGGACGAACTGGGTTCGAGACTGAAGAGACCTCTGCCGAACCATCTGGAGAACGAGAGGGGCCGGACGCTGTTTGGCCCTGAGGCCGAGGTCCACGTCGAGGTCCAAGTCGTCGTGTTGAAATTGTGGGGTTGGATATGGAGGTTTGCGTTCAAAGCGGATAAAAATCCCGGAAGCCCGGACGCGGCGGATTGTAAAAGAGAGTTTAACAATGACTTTGTAATAGGCTGCTGCTAGAAGAGATTGCTAGTACGGTACTATCTGTGAAAATAGAACTGGGGTCGATTTGACATTATTGGTGGGCGTGTTGGTCAATAAGGTTGGTAATTAACTAGTATGAGAAGGACATAGTGAAGCCGTTCTATATGGGCAAAGGGGACTTAGGATAGATTCAGCAGGACTAGCAGGTGCGTTAGCCGAGATACTTAAGGGCGACCTGCTCGTAGGCGAGGATACTGATGCTGAAGTAGACGGGAGAGTTGGCTAGGAAGACGTCACAGCCCTCACAGCACCGCCTATCCTAGCACTAGAAGTCAAAATGTTGACACCTGATTTTAATTTGCAGTCTCCAATGGGAGTATCCCAAGCAACAGCCGTACAAGCATAGGTACCAGCTCAAATTTCTACGCAGACTGTGAACGCGGTCCCACTAGCCATCGTTGATGGTTATCGAGATTGCCATCTACGAGTTATGGATAGCTCTGGTGTTAAAGTTGTCCTTACATACTTGCCAGCGGATGCACTATGGCAAGACACGACAGGTTTTGATTGATTAGCGGGATCAAACCGTGGCGTTGGCTACATATCTTGTAGAGCTATGACCATTATCGAAAGGCAGAGAAGATATTTCAGATAATGATTCAGTGCTTGTTGGTTTGATTGCAGCTCTGCTACTTTGTGAAATGTAATTTGATGTGGATCGAACATTCTGTGATTGGGCGATCTCCGAAGTGGGTGTAGATTCTAGTACCTAAGAACCTGCTGAGCTGCTTCGGACTCTTCCAGAAGCCTGGGTATTTGATGGAGCCCAAGGGTTAATTTTAGATACTGGCCAGTGCTTGGAGATTGCCTCCCTGTGGTAGTACTCAGTCTGATCGGCCGCGTCGTGATATGAAGGTTCTGAGATTGGGAAGGCCCTAGACTTGAAGCCGTACTTGTCGTGGGGAGAAGTCTGCCAAATGTCTTGAAGCTGGTGGTAGATCGTGAAGCCTGAGAAGAGGTTCTGAATAGCGAATCTTGCATGATGAGGACAGAAGACAACAGTGACGACTAGGATGATGTCACTAGTTGCTGAGATACTATGGCACATCTTAAAGTATTGGGAAGCGATGACGTTCTGGTAGCCAATATACTTTAGAGCATTCTTAAATGCAGCCATATAGATTAGCAGCAGCATATTTGAGAACCATCGGAATACCACCACAATAAACTCCATCATTGTAAAGGGATTGGCCCTGGAGGCCGCAGCATATAGCGGAGGCTCTGTTGGCCTTCATGATGGTAAGTAGCGCTTGTGTTTTAAGCCGCTTACTTCAACTTCCATACCAGGTACAGTCTCGCTATTAGCCACGGAGGACGGTGGAGTCATAGCAGAAGATGAAATATACAGTGTCGCGGAAGCAGCGAAGGTGTAGGGAGAGCTTGAGGGGCTCAAAGTACTTGATGTACTCAGAATGCTCGGTGTGCTCAGAGCAATTGATTCTTCTGATATACTGGGCGTGCTTGGAGTACTAGAAATGTTTATAATACTCGAAGTGAATGTTGAGCTGGATGTGGTTGTAGTTCTGCACGCGTATCAACCATTAAAAGTGGCCGGAGTGCTAGGCGTAGGTGGTACTCCAAATATGCTTGAAGTTACGAATGCGCTTGAGCTGCTGGACTTGGGTGCTGCGCTGGGCGTGTTCAACGTACTAGAACCTGGGCTTACCCGAGTGTCAGCGGGTATGGACGTCGTCGAGGCTAGAGATAGTGAAGCACTAAGTGGTCTAGATTCGCTACTTCGCGCAGAGCTAGAAATGGAATGTGATGAAGGTTCACAGGAAGTGCAGCCCGAAATGAAACCCTCGCGCTTACAAGTCCAGGCTGTGATCGCGGAGCAATCGTTCATACGGACCCCATTTGGTAACATCCTTGAGTCACGTTGTATATCTCGTAGTTACGCAATCACTATTGGCCGCAAAAACATCAAAGCATAACTATGGAGGGCAGTTGAATAGGGAAAACGACATTTTTGTCAGACGGATATCTACTTGAAGTCAGCGTGTATGCTGATAGTACAATTTTATTTTATTTTATACCGCCAACCTCGGTATTGCAAGAATAGGAGAACTTCGTGACAGTGGTGTACGGGATTATCTATTATTCCGATGATTGAGTTTCATCACACAAAGGTGGGGTTTGAATTGGCGGCGTGGCCTCGATCGGCGTCGAAGGAAACATACTGGTAGCAGCAGAATTGCGGGCTAGAGATGTCGGCGAGCTGGCTATTGCTGCTTCCAGCGTATGTTAAGAGAGGATGCTGGAAGTTGGAACTTTAAATAAGAGTATTGCCGTGAGGCTAAACTTCGAACTTGAGCCGGTAACTTAAATCTTTGTTGGTCTTGAAGTGGGGGAAATGGCGCTTGATAGAGTTACTCAAGCCTGAGCTGTTAATCTCTCTGACTGCCTACGGTATATTTACGTTCATGGCTGAGTGATAGAGTTGGCCATGATCAAAAGAGCCTCTGCATGACGTGAACGTGAGGAAAATAGAGTATTGCTAGGGATGCTTAAGACTATTGTCGCTGAGTTCCCATAGTTTGATAGCAGATTAGCACTTGTAAGATATAACTAGCTAAACTTGTAGAAGATGATGAACTTCCATCGTTCGTTGTGCTGCTGTACTCAGTATGGATAGAACAGTTTTCGTAGAAGAAATCCCAGCAACAACAAACACTTTTCTTTTTGAGGAGGCCTTGCGGCCCCAGTCGATCCAGCCCCAGATGTTGCTAATAGGCATTAATGTTGCGCTGGAATTTGATATGTTGAGGCCTCCGATATTAAGACCCAAACCCAAATTGGTTGCGAGAAGCGGATCTAGGCCTAAGCTTAACGCCGGTAGGGGGCATACCTTCGGCCTCGCTCTGAAAAGGGTCGAGGGATGTGTGTGTAACCTATGGATCTCCGAATATCCCGAGATCGAAGTCTAAGCTAGCTGTAGGTAGTGGATTGATAATTGCAGGTAAAAATTCGAAACTCAATCTTGCTTCTACTAGAGGTTTTCCTACAGCCACGGTTTGGAAGGGGAGCCGGTCCTCGACTGACAACAAGGAGGAGCACAGATGATCACAGGAAATTAAATGGCTTGGATGGGGTGTCTTAGTGAAGCGGATGCTTCGTAGGACTGCATACCTTAATAAAGTGCTTTGCACTGTTTGATCACTACAATTCAGTTGTATCTCTTTATTTTAGCGAATGAGCCCTTGAATCTATTTACAAGACCTAAGGGGTGACCTGCCCTGCGATTCCACTCGCTCAGTCCTTCTTCTCCATGTAAGGCAGACATGCCTCGTAAATCTCCCTATAACCAGGGTACTTGATAATCCTTTGGAACGTCCCTTCATCTACCACCCTCGCAGATTGGAGGGACCCCGCGATGAAGAAGTCGGTGCCGCTCGGCCAAGCACCTAGCACAAACTGCCCGTCGGCCTTGTGCGTCCGCATCAGCTCGCCGACGGCTCGCATGTCGTCGGCTACTGCGTCCCAGGTCTGCTCCTCCTTGTCCGGGTCAAGCAGGTCCTCGAGCCGGTGCCCGAGCGAGGCCTCCCGCGTGCGCCGAAAGTACTCCTGTGCGCGCGGTGACAGGATGCCCATCTCCCGCGGCATCACTGACGTACGGAAGGCCGTGCCGACCACAGCACGTGCTTTAGCCTCGATCTCGCGGCCCAGCTCCGACGTCAGCGGTACTGGCGGGTCCGGGTACGTTGACTCTAGGAACTGCGCGATGGGGACCGAGTCCATTATGTATGTGTTGGTCGGCACGTGATGGATTGTGGGGACTGTGTATTTGTATTTGGACCCAGAAGCAGATTGGCCTGGGACCAGGCCGCTGGGAAATTTCAGGTCAGGAGAGTTCTTTATGCGCGGTCGGGGGCTTTAAAATTGCGCATTGGGACATGAAAATGAAGAAGGGGAAGGAAAGGGGACTGGAGGCAAAGAACGAAAGGCAAAAGAAGGCGAATATAACTCACAGCTCTTTCAACGTGGGCTCAATGTCTGGAAATTCGAGGAAGATGGTTCTGTAAGAGATATGCTTATAGTTAAGCATTAAGCGGATTCGCCAGACAGTGGGAGAGAAGCAGATGTTCTTGGTGCAGGCCAAGTCATACATGACAATCTCGGGCTCAGTTTGGGCGGTCATGTTGTGCTATGCTCTTATGAAGACTCAATTGAGCAGCTAAAAGCAATTGTAGAGTTTTTAATCGGTCTATTTATCAGTACAAGTTTTCGTTTGCAGTTCGTCTGAAAGATTAAAAGAGTGCTGAGGAAGCTGGCTTCGACAGGGCAGGTTGCTCGGGCCCGAGACAATCCGTTATTAGGCCCACCCCAACACCAGCATATCGAGGAGATTTCATTCTGCGCTCCGCCGAGGCTGATTCCACTTGCAATGAACTAACTATGGTCTAGTCAAGTTGGAATAAATGATTACTGCTATTCACATGTGTTGCCACCGCTTCTAGTCGGTAACGTGATCTGTAATGTACTGTAAACACTGCACGTGATTGGGTTAAATTTTTCCTTGATTGGTGGCTTAGAAAAGCTATGCTTGACTTGATATAGCCTAGGACGAAGTCACAAGCCCAAAATGTAGGCCTACATGTTTTTGAGAGTATGTAAAGGCGAGCCCACAATTGAAAACATCTTTAGTGGTGATGGGAAAGGAAACGGGTGAGAGGCCGCATTAGGCAATAATGTGAGAGAGCTGGTGGCTGTCCATAGACGCAGCTAGAAATATATGCAACACTCCAACTCTTTTCCGGTATAGTTCCTTATATAACACTACTAGCTGATTTCTCAGTACAATATAAAGTAAGACTCTCAATCCTTAACTACAAGATCACGTGTGGCTCCAATGTGCCCCCCTTTTCCGGCTACCCTCGGAATCCTAGTTTCTGATAGCTAAGTGTCGTTAGGGAATGGGGGTAGCTCAAGCACTTTTCAAGGGGATGAGGACAATAGACAAAGAGAACGGCCAAGACCGCCATATTTTTCTCGCTGCAACCTAGGAACCTGTGGAGAAGTGGCTGGAAAACAATGAGCCATTAACGGTAAGCACGTAGACTCATGAGGGAAAACCTAAAATGTTAATTAATGTCCCCTATCAGCAAGCTGCGTACCCTAAAAACAACTAAAAATTAGAATAACTGTAACTTGAGACCATAAAAACTGCTTAATACTAAATACTAAATTTTGCAGTTGCCTTTTAATACAGATTTTAAAACTCTAATTTAACTCTAAAGGTAACTAATTTCTTAAGTATTTTGAGAGACACAGAAATTTAGCTAAAGACTAGGCTCTAAGACTTGATATCTTTATAACAACATGGTTTATCATGCTAGAACGTTAACAGGAATCTTAAAATAGGTAGTAAAGGCTATATATATAGATTTTACATTTATTATTAAGTTGTTGCTAAGATATCAAGATACAGAATTTCTTATTTTTGGTGGTTTTCGGGTTGCTCAGCTTATTGATAGGATACGTTAGTGGAGCTTGTTCTAGCATACAGGAAGGAGGTCACTCCCAAAAGAATCGTGTTGAGCAATCTGGAACTTGTTGCTGAAGAAGCAGCACCTGGGCTAAGTCCCATATCAATATTTATACCTGATAGGAAGAGTTTCTGTCGCAAGGGTGATAACTGATGGAGAAGTATCGAGTCCTAACCCAATCACTAGATCAAGTCCAACAAGTTGATTCTGCGCGCCCTGTGAGGTAATACTGGATCTGCTGGAGTTGTAGTCTGAGGTTGAGATTTAAGTTCACCCCAACCAGGGGCTCTGGACCTTGTGTGTAGTGGAGCTCAACAGCACTGTGAGAGTGCTGGGTAAATGCACGACAGAATAATTAAGGTCGACTCCTTGGTCCGAGCCTAATTCTAAAAGCAAACTTTCGTTAGCATTAGAGTTTACTGAACCAGTCAGTGTCGATATTGGTAAGCCCGCACGAGGAAATGATGTGAGATGAGATACTAAGCCTCTGTCTAGGCTGAACCTTGGGTCTACATACGTCGCGGGAACAGATGTCTAAGATGATGCCCCATTAGTTGTTGGGGCGAGGATACCCGGGCGGAAGATGGAGCAGCCCAAACTTAAGCCCAACCCCCGCGCTTCTTCCTAAGACAGGGGCCATCTTGATCCGGGCGTTGACTAGGTTGCAATCCTGGAGTGGCTAGGGAAAGTAAAACCTGAAAATGGAAATGTGAGTGAGGAAAGGGTGTCTAGTCTAAGTCTAAGGTCTAAGTTAACAACTGGAAGTAGACTTCCATTTACTTGAGAAGAGCTAGTGTTCATTGAGAGTCTAAGAAAGTTGGAGGGATTCTGAAGAGGTTGCTATAGGAGCAATGTTTCGAATCAGCAATAGCGTGGGCAACGTAGGATTCGGGGTAAGTATTACACCCGAGAATATTGCGATTGAAAAGCCGATGGTGAAGCTACCTTCCCCAAACTAGAGCCTAGGTCTATACCTAGACTTAGAAACGAATATCCTGCATCACCCTATGTTCCTGTTGATGTCTACAACATTGAACATGAGGAATATGAGGCTGCTGTAGAAGAATATGCTAATGCATAAGCATGCCCGGTTCTGAGTCCTAGATCTGGTGCCTCTAGTTTATCTGGCTACAAATGTAGGTGCACCAGAAGCCGTAGATAGCCTAATAATGGGAGACACAGATAATGAAGCTGTAGCGCCAACTAACCTGTTTCCGACACTACCACTACTCGACGACGCTGATATACTAGAGGCAGTAAATGACCATATTGTGGTAGGCAGGAGAGAGGGACCCATTGCACCACCACTTACTCCACCATTTATTTTTAGGCCCGCAACTAGCAGACGGTTGTTTGGTCCACGCCCGGTCACTGCGAGTATTTTGTGATTAAACAGCCTATAACGCGGAGTTTATAGAGTTTGAGATCAATCCTTTCGTTAATGTGGTTGTCGTCTGTAAAGTTAAAAGACCCATGAAACTACATGGATGGAGAACTAGAAGTCGCTAAGGAACAAGATTGGCAGCAATACTTGAGGGTTGAGAAACCTGCGCTAGCCTTGTTGGAGAGCTGGACGACCCTAGGGACCGATCAGTGCAACGGTATTCAAGGACCAGAGTTCAATCATTCCACTTAACTGAACTAGTGTGCCAATAAATGGAGTCACCAGCTATCAGCCAAGCTACCACCACCGGTGCACCTTTCAATGAACAACGCTGTGTGGTCGAGTCATATGTCGCAGCCACACAGTATGGACTTTCCACGCAAACATCTACACAGGCGGCCAGGAATAGCGTCACGTTTAGAGAAGATTCTGTCTCTGCGAGTTTTATGCCACATAGGATCTAGAATTGGCGTGGTCTGTCTACTTACATTGACACGTTCGTATACATGGTGCCGGTCGCATCGGTACAAGTGAGCGGAGAGACAACGCCGGGCAGAACATTGAGGTCTCGAGTTTGAGACCTCGAGTTTCAGGCCTCGCAGTTGCGTTCTATGGGAAGAAGAGCCATGTCTGAGGCTCCATAGAGAAGAATAATTCGCCACTGCCATTTCGACCTGCTTCCCTACTCCGAGGGTAACAACGGGTACAACCAATCGATAATATCAAAACTCCAGCACATGTACTTGAGAAATGAACGGGGGAAATAGACCGTGGATGCTTCATATCAAATTGTGCACTGTGGAGTGAAAGCACACGTCGAAGCAGTGGAGACTTTGCATAGTCGAATCGTGTAAGTGACCAATGTGTTGTCGACCTCCCGTAGCGCGTGTTGGAAGGGAAGCCGACCGGGCCGATGGTGATCTGAGCCGGTGAGGGAAAGAATGAATACTGGAGGGGCCTCGGCTGTTAGTTGCATGTGGAGGATGTAGCAGTTGTACGAGAATGACAACGTAAAAGTCGACTCTGTAGGTCTCGAATGTTGCTGTAATGACATTCGAAAAGCATCTTCGACTTTACAGATTCATCATAACAAGGACCGCGAAGACCTATTTGCTTGATGGTTCCCCAATCACTGAGTCTGTTCAACCATGCTAAGCCAGCCCGAGAATGATAGGCTGAACATACCGCATATTTCACCCGAGTTGGCAGGATATCGATGCAGGCAAAAGGATTCCCCAGCGACAAGGAGCCGCTAGTACACATTACATTTTTGAAGCTCTGATTTTAATGCTATCTACGCGTTTGCCCTCATCTGCTTGCTCCTTTACGGCAAGGTTTGGGAACTCCTCAGGCATAATTCGACGAGGCCTTGCTCCAGGGATGATACTGTACTTCTCAAAGTCAGTGACGCCTGTCTTGCGGAGAAAATCTTCGTCCAATTCAAGACAGCCGTTGACACTTGGGACTGGGGCTTGGAGCATTGCCAAGATTGCATCGGAGTAGATTGTAGGCTTCCTCAGATCCTTCGTATTCCCTGGGTCCATGTTTTCCGTAGCAGCAGACTGAATGGCTGTAGCAGGCCAAATGCTTGTGATTGCCATGTCGGTCTTCCCCTCGCGTTCCCAGTCCATTGCTAATCCTTTAGTCAACACACTCATACCGACCTTTCCCATTGCGTATGCTGTCTTCCCACGGAAGAAGCGAGAGTATATAGGTGGGCTGACGACGATGACACGCCCTTTCCAATTGTTTGCTCTGAAGTGAGGAAGGGCAGCTTGAATTGTCCCATATAGGCCCTCAACGTTGACGCGTTGCATGAGTTGGAACCGCTTCATGGGTGTCTTCTCGACGCTCGCCCACCATATCGCGCCGGAGTTGTAGATCAAAACGTCTAACCGGCCATATATCGCAATCGTCTGGTCGATCATGCGCTGTATGCTAGCATAATCGCGTGTATCGACAGTCACGGCTATGGCATTGCCACCAGCTTCACGTATCTCTCGCTCGACAGTGCTGATCGTAGACTGAGGAGAATTGGGATCCGGTGGGAACGGATGTACTTTAGACGCGTCCGAGGAACTCTTCGCGGAGACGACAACTACACTGATTAGCGGACGGAAGGGAGCTCGCAGTAACAAGACAAACCTGCATAGCCGTTCTGCGCCAAATCGATGGCAACTTGCCTCCCAATCCCTCGCGATGCGCCAACGATAAGGGCGACTGGCTTCTTTAATGCTGCCATTGAAGCTTGATGAACCACCCCACAGGAGTTTATAGCAATCGATACAGACTCTAAAAGTCGAAGCAATTCGATCTTTCAGACGTCATTCATCCACCCTCGAAGCTCAATAAAAGCCAAAGAGAAGCTGACATCATCAGCCTCGGCTTCACGAGGTTGAAGAGCAAAATCTGGGTTGATTGAAATATGGTTGGAGAAGAAGAGGTGAGACTGATTAGTGATAGGCTATAACCATCATGAACCTCGGCTGCCGAGACCATACGACTACTGAGTGCTCCCCGCAAACCTCCCTTCATAAGCGGGTCTGCAACTCGAATTGTGGATTTCTCATCTTTCCGAAGGACTCGAGAACTCATCATGACAATGGGAGGGAAGATTACGTGCTACCTCGACTGCGGTAAGTTTCCTATTCGGCGAGATGCAGCATGCACCCAAAGCTAAATCTAAGCTAGTATCACCATACTCGTATTTTGCTCTTTTGTATCTTGAAAGACATCGAGAGGCTCTAAAGTCGCACGATGTGGAGATAGAGTGAGTACACTCTTCATGCACGTTTCCTCGTACTATTGACGACGTCTCAAACACGTGAGACCCAGCATACTGGTTATTCAAACCAACTCCCGCTTCCTCCCGTGTGCGTGAATGTTCACTGATGGTGGACCATAGCATAATCCCTGTGTTTCTGGGAGGCATAAACGTTGGGAGCGGTACATTTTCCGCTTCCCCGAGCTCGCAAGAAAGGAATCTGATACGATGGCGTAGGCAACAAGCCGCCGTGGACCCTCCCCGCAAAAGCCAAGTATAGCAGCTTCGACAGTGCACGGGCGAAAAAGTACTTCGGCGTTCCAAATGTCAAAACGCCATCATTCTTCCCAATCCTATCACTGCTGCCCCAACGTGCTCTGGTCTACGTCAAGGCCGCCCACCCGAAATCTTTCGTCCTCACTTTCTTTGATATCTTCTCCGAAATGTGGGAGAATGGGATTGATGTCAGTAAACCAGAACTCATGGCTAAAGTCCTCTCCAAACGATATACCGATCCGCAGGTCCGCGAGATCCTTGAGAATGCGAATAATACGGAGTACAAACAGAAACTCAATGACAATACCAAAGAAGCCCTTGATCGAGGGGCATTTGGCTGCCCGTGGTACGTTGTGAAAAATTCCAAGGGAGATGAGGAGCCGTTCTTTGGAAGTGACAGGTATGTGCCTAGATGTTCTTTTCCTCTTGGGTATAGTTTCCATCGGGCCGACTATGGCTCAAACGCGAAGCTTTCAAGTGGGAACCATGAAACGAACGACAAAGAAGTGGGGTTAATGATTCATTCACAGATTTCATTTCATGTGGGAGTATCTAGGGTTGCCTTTTAAGGACCTTGAACTACCTTTCGCGGGAAAGGCAAAGATTTGAGCCGAGTAATTATATCTCCTCGAACTGAAGGACGGTAGCCGACTTGAACGTGGGGCAATACATGGGGAAGTGACGAGTGCCCGGCCGTTCGTTTATTTGGCGCTCCCAAGAGGACGATATGCATCAGACTTGGGGTGAAAGCTCTCGGGTTATTCACAAAGTGTAGGCCTCGAGTAGGTGCAATAGCACTGGAATTATGCGTCTTCAACAAGTGAACATTGGAATTCTCTAAAGCTATCTGCACGGGGCCAAGATCTGGCCTGTGCGAAGAAACATGAATGGTAGTCGTTTCGTGACACATCAGGCGACGTGCTGTGTCCCGTGGCGCTACCGGTACGGGAAGGTGCATCTAAATGGATAAGAGAAAGGGTATCTGAGACCTGTCAGTGCGGTGCCGCCTATCCGCCTTTCGCGATAGGGAATGGGATGATGGCAGCGACTCCGTGCAGAGTGCTGCCTACCGACTTCCACCGGGTACATTGGTCGGCTGGGCAGAGATCTAATTAGGAGAACAAAGTCTCTGCAGTGACCCGGTCGTATAGCGTGGCCAGAAGCCATAGCCCCCTATTTGGGGGAGATGAGCTAGTAGAAACGCCGGCATGATATAAGAAAAACACGTCTTTTCTTTGCGAAAAGTCCGAGTGGCAGGGAAGAGTACTCCCTGGGTAGATTGAAGGGACCAGAAATGTAACCTCTTACGTACTCCTCCACAAAGACTGCTTCATGAGATTGTAGGTCAATATATTCACAAGTGACCCGAATTGAAAGCAGACGTAGGGCGCGGTGAGAGCATTTCGCATTTGTTGACCATGAAGCTGGCAAAATGTGCTGAAGATGGAGCCTTGGAGGTTGACAGCGGTGAATCACGTGCTGTGATCTGTGGTCATCGTGTCACTCATTGTTACGCTGGCCTTAAAAGATCGAGATAAATCCTGGAGAAGATCCCATCTATTAAGTATTCGTCGCAGTCTGCAGCATCTGCATGCACGCTTGCGTGCTTGCCGGGTCATTTCCTCATTGGCCGTTGTGAACAACAAGGTCGTGCCAAGGTTTGCTATGCACTTGCCCGTTCGCATCTGTACGTCAGCCAAAGAGGAGGGAGTCAGAGGCCGCTAGCCAGCGCAACCAATTCTAGAAGAGCAATCTGCACTTAGGTGAGCGTTGCTGCTCGATGCTGATAGGTGGTCGACCGAGCAAGAAGTTTGGAAACATCCGACAGGGCTGAGAGATATGGTATCATGCTCGCGAGCATGCCACGTTGAAAGATCAGGCTCGTCATCACCTTGTTTTCTTTGGCAAGCCAATCACCTTGCTACTCACCTCCAGGCATCGCGAAATTTTGATTAAGCATGTCTACCGGCAGCACTGGTTGGGAGCGTACCCACGCCCGTTCTTTTCCTACCCATATCGGTTCCAAAGTTGAAGTGATAAAATACTGTGTGGACCCGTACGGAAGCCCCGGCCCATCCTCCCGCAAATGTGAAGAAAGACATGGGGTATCAAACGAGTATTCGCAGTACGGAGAGAGGCGCTCAGACTGTCTTAGATACAAATGACGAACCTTATGAAATCTCAATGGATAACTATAGTGCTTCTTGTCGGGTTGTTGTGCTGGTTTCGACCAGCTTGTTTCGTTCGTATATACAATTGCTGATACCCGTTCCACAAGTCGATGTCGCTGGCATTTGGTTAGTGTGTTTGTGCTGTTCATGCGATCATATTGCGCTCCTTGAGCTTATAATTCTTGAAAGCGCTTCGTGGCATGATTGTAAAGGCGAGTCTTCCTTTTAACCTGGCAAAGGATGTTAGCACGCTGATGATGATGTAGGCTCTGTAGATTCTTAGCGCGGTGCGCCGCTGTTGCGTGATATAGAAAGCGACGCCAGCCTCGTCTTGAAGCGCAGCAGTAAATCTTCACCACGGCAAAAAAGCAATAAGACGCGGGATAGGCTGAAGAAGTCTTAATATTATGTTCTGAGATCTTGAGCCGCACGCCTACGTTATTTCATCGCTTAGTTTGCGTGAAGCGGTCTACATCATTTGGCGAATTATACAGCTCCAACTAGTGAATGGTCAAGGCAGCTACATCTTCCCCTCGAAACCCCACGTTATCCATTCACCGCCGCCCCTCCCCCCCTGGGCGTTCCTGTATATCCCGAGATATCCTGTGAAAGGCGGTCAAGTGGCTCCATTTCACCAATGATAATTTCCGAAGTAGAAGGTTGCCTGAGGAACTGTTAAAGTACTACCTTCTCCGCTACTTCTCTATACCAAAAAATATTGCGACATTGAGAGCACACTGTAGCATTCTGTCAGCCGCGCATCAACTTGACCCGATCCAAGCCTACATTTACCTTCGATAGTATGGCCCAAACGATGCATCTTGGATATCCTGGTGTGACCTTAACCCAAACGGAGGGGTCGAATTGGAAGGTAAATGAAATAATCCTCGAATGCGACAATCTCTTTTAGCTGACTCTGATATAGCCGCGTCTGAAGTTTGAGGATGCCACTGAAAAGTCAGTCTGGGCAGTCCGACAAGCCAGGCCCAACGGGCGTTCTTCGATCTCGATAGCAGATTCCAACTCTTTTACCAGGCCAAATTTATCACAGGATCCACATTGGGTTGGAGTCTCGCCAACAGTGAGGCAGTTAGGATGGTGTGAGCCACAATATGGACAGTGGATGGTACCAACGTTTGAACACCAGCTCCTTCCAAAATGCGAAACTACTTGTAACGCTATCGTTACGGGGCAAGATCTGGGTGTGAGAGATGACTTTGGGCACTGTGGAGACAACTTGGGGGCCGCATACGACACAACCGGCCTATCTAATGCCACGAAAGTCGTGGGGGGCTCCGATATTGACACAAATGCAGAGCCCTTGTCCCCAGGGAGCTACTTTAGTGATCTGCCGTACTGTGGTACGTCTCTTGATCACGAACCACCCGACGACCAACTTTCATCAAGGAGTAGGTGGATTGATGATGAAACGAACACTTACGGAGTTCTTGACCGTCTTGGTTCTCATAGCATCCCAGCCTCCATCTTTGGCATTGACCCGATGCTCTCCCAAATTGATCAAAGCGTTGCAGAAGTCAACTGGAAAACATTGCAGCAAAATGCTTCGCGTAGACTCCAATCACAATTGGAGCCGAGCCAGCTATGGACCACCAGCACGGCATTGTCCGCAACTCCAGAGTTGAACACCATTGAGTGGGCATACCAACCGCCTCAGAGCGTAGTAACACCCTCGCAGGGGTCTGGACGATGGAGCCTCCCTCAAAACTCACCGTGTTCCTCTAGAGTAACTTATGCACAAGGGTACGATCAATGTGGCCAATCCTCCGTACCCGGGTTCAACAATACCTTCTCTAATTCCACGAGCCTTGGTCAGAATGGCAGCATAGTACACAGCACCCAGCCAGGGGTCCATGCGTACAATGATGCAGATGTTCGGGACGACTCAACAAGGTTCCAAAGCAGTGATCATCAACGACGGATGGAGGATGACATTCTCCTTCGGGGAAAACGCCAAGGGTTGACATATAGAGAGATAAAGAAGAAGATTCCTTCGAATGTAGCCGAGTCGACTTTGCGCGGGCGTTATAGGTCCCTGACCAAGGCGAGGAAGGATCGCGTCCGCAGACCAGTATGGACGGCCAATGATGTAAGATCTATGATGACATCGCTGCTCGCATCAAGTGTCTAACGATTTTCTCGGTAGGTTTGTCTCCTGAGAAGAATCGTCTCAGTCGAGCTCGAGAATTTCGATGCCGCATGTTATCGCGAACTTACGCGAAGCCAGAAACTCGCAAAAATTTCCTGGAAAAGGGTCGCAGAGTACATCTCCACGCATGGAGGGTCGTATCATTTTGGAAATTCAACATGCAAGAAGAAATGGAGCGAGGTGGACACAGACGATTAATGTGGTGAGGATGTTGCTGGAACAACTACTCAGCTGACATGTGAAATTATGCTTTTGCTTCCCATATAGTGTGTTATTCAATTGCAATCCATGTAAGATTGAAAGCGTGGAGATGTGGCATTGTGGGATATCAGGACCAGGAAGGAATGGGTCGGTATTCTCAGCGCAGGATATTTAGACAGGCATGCTGCAAAGCAATACAGAACGGCTGTGCGGACAGGCAGCTAGTCACGGGGACAATTCTACCTATACAATATTGAAACAAGCATTAGGTACAATCTCAGGAAGGATCAGGTGAAATGAAGATTGCTGGTGATGGTTTGCTGATGAAGTCGGACATCTGAAGCCAAGACTATTTACGGCGGACTGTTAGCTGGTGAAGGGAAAAAGCTAATCGCCAATTGCTTAGGAGCATTTTAGGTATAAAACACTATAGTATTTTACTAGGCAAAACATACTATAACGTACTTCACAGGCGAGTTGCTCACACACCTAAGTTGCTTACTTTTGCTAAGACCCTACTAAACTACCCTTTTTACACTAATACATTCCCCACAACACTACTTAGACGTGCTAAAAAAACATTAAATACAGCTTACACTCTAGGCTTTTAAATAAAACATAAAACTCTTAAAGAAATATGCTATAGCTATATATAAAGTTTTATAAAAAATAATAAATAACTATAGCGCTAGATAACCTTTATAAGCTAATTCTACAGCTAAATTATAAAGGCTAAGTAATAAAAAAAAGCAAGTAATTATTAAAACTATACTTAAGCTATATATGTAAAGAATTTCCCCTTAAATAGCATTTATAGCTAATATAGCTAATTTTTTATACGCTAAGCGTAATCTAGGCTATGTTTACATAAACTAGCTTAGTATATTTATAAAGCGTTATTTAGAGCTTAAAGTAAAGTTTTAAGT